TATGAATATAGTATAATAACTTTGTTTCAGTAACTTGCATCATCACTTCATTGACTTCCTCTGGTCCCCCCATGTATGTTAGTTGTTCCCTTATATCTGAATAAGAAATTGAAATCGGCAACAGTCAGTGTTCATTATTCTTTTAGTCATGGGATGAGTTATTGTTTCTTGCTTAACATTATATATTTGAACAAAAAAAATAAATCTACAAAAGGAGAGAGGAGATCAAACAAAATTGAATTTAAATATTTACAAACTCAAACAATCTATTTACATATAAACTATAGGAACAGGCTAATCCAGAGAGCCAGTGAGAAGAGTGAAGGAGAATGTTAAATGCCCGTCCCACACCTACTTACTGCTTGTGCACAACACAAGAGGAGAGGGAGAGCCCCCTGCGCTGCTGGCAGAAGAGCCGTAGACTCCGATTTACATTTTTAATTTTTGCCTGATCACGCCTGATCACCTGTTAATGTGAGATTAATTTTCGTTCTCCAGGTAGCCAGAATGACGAGCCTTCAGCTGAGTGCAAAGGAGGAGATGGTGGAGAGGTTTCTGGATGCTGCAGCCCAAGGAGACCTGACCCAGGTGTCTATGCTGCTGTCCCATGCCCCCTCACTCATCAACCAGACGGGATACAGTGGCTGGACGGCGCTGATGCTCGCCGCTCGCAACGGACACTACCATGTGGTGAAGGCGCTGCTGTCAGATGGGTACAGAGAGTTGAGATGGAGACAAAATGGGGAAAAAAAGAAAGCAACACTACAATCAAAATGTTATTTTGAGTGTAAAATACTAAAATAATCAGATACTGGAGTATCACTTTGAAGCTGCATTCAGAGATTTTTGGCCACCAGGGGGCCAAAACAAGCCAGACATAAAGCAGTTTTGGCTAATATGTTTTATTTTATTATATTTTTTATTATAGTTATTTTTGTGGTTCTTTGGTGTTATCTGTCTCACGTTTTTATCAATTAAACTAGGAGTACTAAAGGATTGCAGGCCTCACTTCTAAATCTTTTGTTTGACCAATTTAATTAATGCTTTATTTGTTAGGTTAATGAATTATGTATATAAATAAATAGCAGTCAATAGCATTGTGTTCCCCACTTCTTAGATCATTCCTTCTAATCTCTTCTGTATTTTCAATCTTGCAGCTGTGACAAGTTCTCAGTGAACAGTTCTTCACAGACCGCCTTTGATATCGCCAAATTCTGGGGCCACAGACACATCTCAGACTTCCTGGGTCGGACGGATGACGGCTGCCAGCGAGTCCTGCCAGGCTCTGACCTCAACCAGTGCGAGAACTATTTCAGCAGAGAGACGCTGGACCGGCTGAGTGAGAAGAGGACGGACAAAGTCTGGTTGGAGGCCAGACAGAGTGACCCAGACACAGTCTACCTACTGTTCTCCAACCTCAGCCCCATGGTCAGCAGCTCCCAGGAGGACGACAATGCGGGGGTACGTGGCTGAAGGCAAATGTTACTGATATTTCGGATTTGAAACGATCACTATGTTTGGAAATTAATTCAGATGATTTGCCCTTATTTCAGAGCGTTCTGTTGTACACATCTAAAAACAATCATGACAGTAAGCAAGGGATTGGCTTGAAAAGTAAAGTACCATATCATCTGCATAAAGGTGTAGGTTTGTATTTGTGATTATTGAGGAAATGTAACTTATAACTTCGTCTTAGCGGTGTGATATTCTCTAATGGCCTCATCACTCTGTGTGCTGAGTTTGCCGTCAGAAACCAGATAGTTTTTAACCTGCAGCCAGCAGCTAGTTTTTTGTTGGTCAGTCTAACTTTTCTACACATCAAAGATTCACGTTGTTTTATTCAATGTTTCTGACAGGCTGAGACCAAGCTGTGCCGGTTCAGATATGAGGCAGTTAAAGACCTTCTCCAGGAACCTGCAACTGTGCTCATCTTCTTAGGAGTGGAGAAGAGGAATAAGCCATCCTCTTCTTCATCCTCCTCTCAGACAGAGGAGGGTGTCCAGGAGCCTCCTGCTTGGTTTGCCATCGGCACCGATGAGGATGCTGCTGGACTTCTTAAACGCTGCAGAGAAAAGAACTGCTCCTTCCCAAAGTCACCCAACAGAGACCTGCTGAAATTCAATGAGGAAGAGGCCGGTGAGTAAGATACAGTATCTTTTTCTTTCCCAGAGGCATCTTTTGCTGGTCTTTTTCTGCTGAACTCTAATACTAAATCATAGGGAAATGTGTAATAAGCAAACCAGCACCGTAGCCCTTTAATTCTTATAGTTTCTTACAGTCTCTTTTTAAGCTGCCATATTGCCAGTGTTAAAATGTAAAGTGTCTTTCATGTTTTAAGATGTTTCATGTTGATTTTGTAATGTTTTTTTTATTTTAACTGAATGTTCCGTCTCTTCACCCTCTAGGAGTTGTGGCTCAGGCTCGATCAGTGTTGGCCTGGCACAGTCGCTACAGCTTCTGTCCGACGTGTGGCAGCAGCACCAAGCTGGAGGAGGGAGGATACAAGAGGGGCTGCTTGAACTCTGACTGCAGGAGCCTGAAGGGGGTTCACAACACCTGCTATCCACGAGTCGGTACGCAGCTCCACCCCGTTCTCACCTATCTGGTCTTGATAGTTGCTAATAGGTCGAAACCTGCAGGAAAAACAGTACAAAAGTACATATTTAAATTAAATGGACATGTAATGAAGTGAGAATGTGAAATTTCCAGGCGGAAAAATTGTCTAATGTGGTAAAAAACATCTGTCACCTATGAACGGAGTGAATATCTGTAACAGTAAAGTGAACATCTTTGGGTATGGGGCTGCTGGTTGGACGGAACAAGTGATTTAACAAGAACAATAATAAATAAAAAAATGAAAAAATAGTCAGAACAGTTGCTAAAAAAATAAAATCAGTTGTGACTGAAAGGTACAATAATTAAGTCTGTGGTAATTAATAAACTTATTCCTCTGTCCTGTGTGTGTTTTCAGATCCAGTGGTCATCATGCTGGTGATCCACCCTGATGGAAACCAGTGTTTACTGGGAAGAAAGAAGATATTTCCAGCTGGCATGTTCTCCTGTCTGGCTGGATTTGTGGAGCCTGGTAACACTCTCACACACACACACACACACACACACACACACACACACACACACACACACACACACACACACACACACACACACACACACACACACACACACACACACACACACACACACACACACACTGCGTTGACTCACATTAATTCTGTGAAGCATACCCAAACCTTAACCAAAAACCAAGTGTTAAGTTTAACAGTTTCCCTTAAGAGGAGCAGCTTTGTGCACTGTGTGCACCAGTTAAACTACCTACAATGTGATGAACATAGAAGTCGCACACAGTGACCTCCTCCCCTTTTCACGTTCCTACAGGAGAGGCAATCGAGGAGGCCGTGAGGAGGGAGGTGGAGGAGGAGAGCGGTGTGAAGGTCGGACCTGTCCAGTATGTCTCCTGCCAGCCATGGCCGATGCCCTCCAACATCATGATTGGCTGCCTCGCTGTAGCCATATCGACCGACATCAAAGTGGATGAGAACGAGATTGAGGAAGCTCGGTGGTTCCCACGGCAACAGGTACAATCATAACAAATTCTGCTACTTCTACTAGCACAACTACCAATAATAATAATGACAGTGATAGTATGAGTATTATTACTACTGATCACAACCATTAGAATAGTTGTCATGGAGATGGTTCAGTTATCAATGATGATAATTAAAAAGTAAAATGGATATGATTACATTTACAGTATATACAACACTATATTTATCCAGAAGAGAAAAATATATAATTGATATATTGCTTTCAATAAAAATTTAAATAATTTATAATGATCACATTCATTCATGACATTTTGAACATATTCCACAACTTTAACAGCACACAGCATGTATTCTGCAGAAGTCAGAATTCTTCCTCTTTCTGGACTGTTACTCACAGTAAAATTACATTATTCCCACCCGAAAATGGAGCTTTACAAAGAGTGAAAATGCCAGCCTGGCATTTTAGTGTGGACGAGAACAACTGAGCTTTTGAAAAAGACTGACATTAGCCTACCCATACTGGGTCACGTGCTATGTGGCAGTAAAATTACCATTTTGTCATCTCTAACTTGATCTGTGATCACTCATTTAAATGCCAATATAGCCGAATACACAGTACAACCTGGAGTTAAAGGGCAACAAAGCATTGAGTATTTCTGTATTAAAGCACAGTAAAAGTGGTGATGGAGAGCAGGAGGAAACAGAACAGAGTTTATAATGAAAAATCTTCCCATTTTCTGACCAAAAGACAATGAAAAAAATTTGGATTTTCTTACGGTGTGAACGGAGATCTTAACAAAAACAACCTGAAAACACATGTTTAGTGTGAATACACTGCTGCAATGAAATCTAACTTTTGGGGGGTTTTTTTGTTTAGGTGATTGATTCCTTGCTCAGAAGAGCCCCTCCAGCCTTCACCGTCCCTCCCAGACAGACCATTGCCCACCAGCTGATCAGACACTGGATTGGCATGAACTCAAACCTCTAACCTTTAGCACTTTAACCCCAGCCAGTTTAGGCAGACCTGCAGACAGTGAGATGGGTCTAAAAAACCATCAGCTGTCTGGACAGTTGCTGCTCTATCACAAGCCACCTGCCAGTCGAGTGAATCGTCTTCAGGTTGTACATGACACAGTGCTTCTACATGGTTTGTATTTAATGTTAAATGACTCCAAATGCACTGCTTGTTTGTGCAATGATACAGCCTTTACAACACCTACAGTTAGAGACAGAACTGTACAAAATGGGAAAGCTGACAAATACACTCTTACTTGACAGCAGCAGTCACTTCAGATCTCAAGTTTGGACTTACACTTGGGAACTTGCAGTGTGACAGTGGATCAAATAAAAGGCAACAGTGCAAAGGTTGGGAAGAAATGGAAGCAGCCTTGTTCCAGATAGAATTCAGATAAATTATGTCAACACTACAGATGCTTAGAACATAACAAAACCAACATTTTAATGTTGATGCACAATTTGAAGACATGTCAAAACAAATATTTTTAATAAATGCCCGGATATGTACAGTTTAATGCCTGTTGGTATTATGTTTAAGCAAATTGAGGTTTGTTGTAGATTTTTTCTTTTTGACAGTTAGCCAAAAACATCTATTATGGGATAATGTATACTATATTAAACAATTCCTGCCCACAATTTAAGACAAATCTCGACATAAAATTTAAGCTCTACCATTCATTATCACAGTAATCTAAAACTCCACTCTCAAAATCAATAACCATTAATCATCTTAATACATGTAGTTTAATACAGTATTTAAGCAGAAGAAAATTTGATGTCGCCCTGATAAATTCTCCTTCACAATTTGACTACTGCTAAGATGAAAACAGTAAAATGGCGGATCACTGATACTGATAATTGATGTATAAACGTTCTATGAAGTGAAATGAACTGGAAATATTAAATTGTTAAATTTAACTAATTGTCTTTGTCTGTGGCAATTTTGTCTAACATGTTACTGTTGTAAATGTCCATCCATGCATCTGTCCATCATTGACATGCTAACTGTGTGCATGTTATTGTTGTTTTTTAAAGGTCCAGTGTGTAACATTAGGTGGATCTATTGGTAGAAATATATAATATAAAATGCATAACCATGTTTTCATTAATGTATACTCACCTGAAAATAAGATTTGTTGTGTTTTCGTTACCTTAGAATGAGCCGTTTTTATCTACAGATGCCATTGGTCGCCTTCTATGGAGACCACCTTGTTTAACCGCTATGTTTCTACTGTATCCCAGAAGGGACAAACCAAACATTGGCTCTATGGCACTGGCACTTTCTCCTTTGCGTTTAGAACAGAAGGGTGGAGCGAGGGAGTTGCAATCTGCAATTACACTGCTAGATGCTAGTAAATCCTACACACTGTTCCTTTAAGAATTTGTGTTTGCATTTCTTATTTTTGATAGTCATCAGCTGAAATACTGTATACAATAAATGTGGGGCAAGAGAATGAAGGCAGTAACAAAAGTCCCTGACAGAATAGGCCACGTAACCATGCTATGCTAGCATTCAATGTTATATTAGCAGGTTATTATGCTAACATTAGCGTGACAGTGTGTGAGTACTCTTTGATCCTAAGTAGAAAATCATAACCATGGCTGGACCAGGATACCAGGTAAGAAAATGAACATCTGGATGATTTACATTTAGATGTAATATTCTAGTTAGCCGCTTTGTAGGATTCTACCTCGCCCATTTATTTGCTTTTCCCATCTGGCCTTGCCCCCCTAGTGGGGATACAGGTAGGATACAGTAAAAAATTACTTTTTTTATCCGTCCAGCAATTTAGTTATCTTCTGTGTAATGAACGTGACAACCACAAGGAGTCAGCAGCTTGTCTGCAGCCTTTTGCTCTTTTTTTCTCCATCTGTGCCACTGATCATGCAGTTCTGTCTTCGTCTGCAGTTTTTTCATTAAAGCAACTGCTTGCTATATAATCATTCTCACAGATCAGGTGAGAGCAGTTGCTCTGTCCACTCTCGGTTTCAACATCAGTTTTCCCCAGGAAGGAAGAGTTCACCACGTACTCTTCCTCACAGGTCATCTGATAAACACATCGACTATTTGTGTTAGCCATGAAGTAAAAAAAACATGCTTTTACAGCAGTTTCTTTCTGATGCAATGTCACAGAAGAGTCAACCAGTCTGCTCTCTTCCTGTTTTTGAGGAAAACAGCTGTTGGCTTCATGTGTCTGATGCGGCAGAGCAGAGTCTGCCTCTCTGCTCTGCTCAGAGAAGAAAACTCTGTCCGGATGCTGGCAGTTCACAGTGTAGTCAGGATGATAGGACTGGAGAGAAACCAGTTGGTTCTCTGTGATTACTGGAGCATCACAAACATACTCTGTGTCCAATTCGAGGGCTGACAGTTTGGCGCTGAGGTGACTGATCGAAAGCAGAGACGTGTCTTCATGTAGGTCCTCTTCTGAGGAGGACTGGGAACTCGGACCGACGATGATGAGACTTTTCTCTCCAAGTACATCTGTCACCTGGAAGTCCTCTATGTTCAGGATGTTTCTCTCTGCAGTTTTCTGTTGAAGGGAATAAGTTTTCATGGATAAAAAGTATAGATTTCTGGCAGGTTTCCACTAAGGTTAAACTGAAACTATGTTCTAATGGTGCGTCTGTCTATACCAGTGCAACACAAAGTACTACATTTTGAGGGATTTGAATATTTCAGTGGAACATGAAGCTCCAGTGAAACTGATGCATCATTTCCCCACTAAATTTAATAAAAATCAAGTATCAAGTAATGTCTGGTTACAGGGATGGATCCCATAACCTTTCACCAACATAAAATAATCATAAAATAATCAATAAATCATGTTAAAATCAAATAAAAGGAAATTCTAATGACTGGATACATTTTATGACCACTTAAAGTTTCATGCAACAGATAAGATTATTTAAATTGGTTAAATAATATAAAATCAACTTGTTCTAAGAATTGTCAACGAACACACTTTTTTGGAAAATTGTCTTCTTCTGTGTTGTTTCAACATACTGAAACCAATTGCTAGAAAATTCCTGAACTGCAGGTAAAAGACGCAGATTCTTGTTTTAAGAAAAATAAGTCTTGAAAGCTCAATCTGTGACTAGATATGATTGTTTCTTTGACCAAGGTGGATTCAGCTCTAAACAATAAATTAATGAATACACACAAACAACAATAATACCCCAGTTTTCTAAAAAGCAGATCACCTTGGGGTGTGGATCCATCAGCCACTGGCCTGCTGTACTGCCCCAAGGGCTGGAGATGGGTGGGAAGAAGTAAGACTTGTATCTGCACAGTAATGGTACCAGAAAGAAATTTTAATTCAAAATGGCATTTTGGAACAAAACATGATGTATGTCTTGATTATCTTTTCAACACACTATAGTTGCCATTTTTTTTTTATCTTCCATAAGTTATTGTAACAACAGAACAAATTACAGAGATGCTAATGTCGTACACAAGCGTCCCATAGGATTGAACCAGTCACAAGCCACAATAAAACAACCGTAGGTGCATTCCTGTGTTATTAGAGCCATCAGAAGTGATTGTGTGTGTGTTGACTCACATGGTCCTAGACAGGATGGAGATGATGAACACAGTAACAGCCAGCAGCAGCAGAGGAGTCGCTGTAGCAACTGCTGGTACCACATCTGAAATGGAAAAGCATTCACGGTTTGCAGAACTGAAGGGATTGGTTTTGAAACCAGAATCAAAGGATTACTGTGGAAATGCTTCTTCACCCCCTTCCTGAAACCACATTGTTGATAACAAAGTAAACCATTGATGGGAAACACTGACATCTTGAAGCTCTTACAGTGGATTTGCATCTGCATCTTACACAAGATACAAGAAGTATCTGTGACTAGTTGACTGGATTGTGACCTCTGAATCATCATTTTCCAGAGTGTGTCTATGGTGGACCTGAGAGCTCAATGTACTAACACATACAAATAGACAAAACACAAGTTTGTGTTTTGTCTATTTGCATGTATTCTCTCAAGTCGCAGTCCGCTGAGCTCTTAGGGCCACCGTACCTGTGCTTTAGACAAATTTCCCATTCTTTCATTCACAAAAAAGGAAATGACAAAACATTTTTATTATTAGAGTAAAATATAATATTTGACTAGTGATATTGCAACACTTCACTCGACATATTTGTTGACTCTCTACTTAAATTAGATAGATTATTCTATTGTAATTCATGCTGCTAGATTTAAGATATAATCTTCCAGGATTCCATTTGACATGTTTTTTTATGTTTACTCTTCAGTTGGGTCTCACTTAAAGTTCCAGTGTGTAGGATTTAGTGGCATATAGCGGTGTAGTTAAAGATCGCAACTCCCTCGCTTCACCCTCCCCTTCCAAGCATGAAGGAGAGACTGTGGTTAGCAAAAAAACGTAAATGTCCCTATACAGAGCCAGTGTTTGTTTTATCCCTTCTGGGCAACTGTAGAAACATGCTGTTTCAACATGACTCCATAGAAGGCAACAGTGGCATCTATATGGTATATATGAAAGGCTCATTCTAAGGCGACAAAAAGATAACTACCGGTATTCCTACATTCAGGTGATTATACACCAGTGATAACATAATTATGCATATTATATTCTCTTTGTGCCAATAGAATCTCCTAAATGTTATACACTGGAGCTTTAAAATTAGTTCTTAATCTCAATGTAGCTTCCTGTTTAAAGTATGTATACATGTTAGTTTAATCATTGCTTGTAAGCATGATGGGAAAAGCCCAGGAGCAAAAAACTGTTAAACTCACCAAAGTCTGTTTTCACAGGGATGATGTTTCTGGAAACATTATCAGCCAACAGGATAAGAGAATACTCAGTGTTGGGTGTCAGGTTGGTGAGGGTGTGGTGACATTGGTCTGGCCACAAAGGAAGAGCTAGAAAGGAGAACAGTCTCTTTACAGATAGATTGTAAAAAGCAACTTGCAAATGTCACCTAAAATACATTCGCTAAAGGCAGTTTGGATAAAAGTTTCAAAATAATGAGCAGCAATTTAACTGTAAGCTTGTGTTGGGAACAACACAAAAGAAAACATGTTGCGTAGGTCATTATTACTCTTTACTTTTGATATGAATAAGTATTTAGCAAGAATCTGAAGTGTGCAAACTAGGGGGGGAAGCTAGGCTCCTCTTAAAAAGACACAAGCTCCCCTAAAAACATGATTTGTCAAATTTTGGGGGGTTTAATACTGAAATACTGACAATGTGCATTTTTATTTTTCTGTATCTTTATCATCATGGATCATGTGTAAAATTAGGCTATTATTGATGTATTGATGTAAATATCAGATATGCTGACCAACTTGTTGTTGTTTTTTTCTTTTCTCTTTTTAAACACACATAAACATTGACATAAAAAACTGAAGAAGAATTTTTCATTATGCTGTGACTTAAACGGCACAATTAACCCAAAGACTGATGCCTAAAACATCATTAAAGACACAGTCCACGCTGCTCATGTTCTGTTCCTGCTCCATCCATCGAAAAAATATTATTAATATATATAATATATTACGTTACATCAAATCACACACCACTCCTCTCAGTAACAGTTTCTTTCCACAGGCAGCCAGGTTGCTGAACAACCAGTGCACCCATATGCACCTCAGACTGTATTGTATACTGTGTGTATAATGTATGAAATTTGTGTACATACAGAGAGCCAGAGCACACAAGCATTTCATCGCATTTCTAATACACATCAGTAAACCTACTTTCCACTCTCTCTGAGCCTTTCCTCAGCATTACTCTGTATCTGTTCACTCTGATTGATCCGGACTTTCTTTGCCACGTCCACCCAATCGTCACTGCAGTCTTGGTCACGTCCACCACCTTCAGTTTGACTGCCTCCATCAGAGCTGAGAAAACACAAAACATGTGCTCTGTCAGATACATCTGTGGACGTTTTCTGTCCTGAAGAAGAAATTAGATGATGTTCATGTTAATATCTATTGTAAATCAAATTCTGTGGATAAACAACAGCATGTGACAGTTTAAAAAACAAACGTCCGGAATGGTTTTACTCATTTTCCTGCTGCTAGTCTAATCTCAAGAATAATACAGTCTAAAACTGTATTTAAACTAGAGGATGCGGTTAACCGGCTCCAGTCTCTGTGTCGGCTCAAGTGAGTAAAATCTGTCCAGTTTGTAGTTGCAGTTTGTAACCCTGAAAGGCTGAATAAATGAAGAAAGACAACCTAATAATAGAGTAACTATAGTACTTATATATTATATGCTTTAAAAGAAAAATCTGTGATCTATTCTTTCTTTTTTGTTGCTCTCAAAATGATCTCAAACTAATATCCAGAAAATCTTTTTTTTCTGGATATTCAAAACACAAATAAAACTGTTGATTTTGCTGACACTACTAAGCTTTGGCAAGCCCTGTTCTTCCATTATCTATCCAGGACAGAGGGCTGGATTAGTTTTTTGATTATTGTTTTGTGGAGAGAATTCCACTTATTCTTTCCAGATGTGATCTTGATCGCCACCGCATGTGTTCAGCTCTTCTGACTTTACCTCCCTGCTGCAGACTGGCAGGCAGTGACTGAGGAGATCCACACTGCTGGTTGTAGACAGGGAACACACTGATCAGGTGAGTATCACCAGGGTCAACATCTGTAAACACACCACACACACAGGTAATATAGTACCTGTACACGCTGTTAATAGATTATAATGTATAGGAATATATTGAAAATCTCAGGATATTATATTCTTAATATTTATTCACCTCAAATATAGGGTAAACCAGGCCTTCATTTGAGATGGGCCTTTATTTTTAATTAGGCTATTTTGTCCTGTGGCCCTTTCAGAGTAAAGTGCTCAGACACATCACATTTCACTGCTGGAAGCAATTTACTGTAAAGCAGCTACAGAAAGTGTTTGTTACCTGCAGCTGCTTCTTACAGCAACTTAGCAACTCATAACAAAACAACTATGTGACAAATGTTGGTTTACAGAGGAAATCAGTGTGATGCTTTTTTTTAATGTGAATGATCAAGCATTCGACGTTGAGGTGCATATAAAGATTTTCCCCAGTCGAAGGCTTCTATTTTATGTAAGTGTCAATAAATCCCATCAAAAGACCCAAACTCACAATTAAATTAATAAAAAAGGCTCAGTAAATTCCTAAAACTGCAGGTCCCCATAGTGTTCATCAAAGATTTCTCTAACAGGAGGAAATAGTGCATTAGGTTTTTTTTGTTTGTTTTTTTCAAGTATTTTTTTGGGCTCTTTATTGCCTTCATGACAGAGACAGCTGAAGATAGACAGGAAAGGGGGACAGAGAGAGGGGACGACACGCAGCAAAGGGCCGCAAGCCGGACCCGAACCCTGGGCCGCTGCAGCAAAGGCTCAGCCTCGGCACATGGGCCGCCAGCTCTACCCACGAGCCAACCGGGCGCCCAGAAATAGTGCATTAGTTGAGGACAATTTGTAGTGGTAGATTAATCTAGCTCTTAAAAAAGCTCTAGTGAGTGTTTGTGGCAGCAGGACGGTCTACGTGTAATTGACTTAAAATAAACTACATTGTGTGTGTGTCCATGGTAATGAAGGAACATGTTAGTCAGTGCAACAGCATGGCTCACTCATGTGTTTTTAATAGTTGGACCTCTATGGCACAGAAGAACAAGATATATCAGGCTTTAGATGTACACACAGTACATGTTCAGTCTTCAGTGTTTTGTTTAGGTCTTTGCATTGGATTTGTTGACAATAAGTAAAATATTGAGTATCACCAGATTTATCCTTGATTCAAATGATAATATGGTCATTTGGTCTGGTTTGAACAATCTGCTAAGTAGAAAGTCTCCAGATATACAGATATACATACTGATCTACCACATAGGTGTCAACACCATATCTGCCTGCTGATTAGTGAAATATTCACACTGACTGATACAGCTTTTGTTTTAAACATGCACAACCAAAATGTAGGACAGGCATCTTCTCTGGTATAGTTGGATATATTTCCTAATGGATAATTCAGAAAATAAATGAGGAGTTGAATATTTTAACACAGTTGCACCTTGTATGACAGTGGAGGTGGTGAAGCTGCTCATGGTGGTCCAGCAGTTGGTGGATGGATGAGTCTCAGAGTGCCACTGAACAGCAAAATGACTGAGAGGCGGGACAGAGTGCGGGGCTGTGGGATTCTCCCATTGGACCAGAAGGCTTTTCATAGCTGGGAAAGAGCTGGAAACCCACATGTTTCTGACTGAAGGGAGAGCTGCAGGGACAACAACAGGATTATTAAAAAGAACAAGATCACCTGCATCTTCATCACATCATCAGCAAGAACACCAACATAATGTTATCAGCTGCCAATTTTCAGATCTCTTATTTTACAGATTCCTCAAAGCACATTAACACACCACAAAGCAGCATTTTTGCATCCATCTATCACTTATCTCTGTCTGCTTATCATATTTCAGACTCTCAGGGGAAGAGGACCCTGTGTAGATAAAACGGCTCATTCTAAGTTAATGAAAACACAACCATTATCTTCAAGTGCCTATACACTAATGAAAACATACCTATTATATTCAATTTCTGCCAATAGATCCTGCTACATATTACTCCCTGGACCTTTAAGTAACTTCAAGTCAAAACACACAAAACAAGCATCATTCAGCTGCTGCATTTCAGAGAGCATTCGAGTGTGAAAGTGCTGTTGCAAAGTGTTTTATCTGAACATCACCGTCACTGCTCTGTTGCTTCCTTTCTCTACTAGAAAACACACACACACACACACACACACACACACACACACACACACACACACACACACACACACACACACACACACACACACACACACACACACACACACACAAGGATATTTTGTAACTGGAGAGCACAAGCTTTGAATTTGTTAAAAAAAAAAAGTTTTTAACAGACAGACTCTCTGCCACTCACTGTTCTGCCTTTGTGTGTCAATGCTGAGATGTGCGGCAGGTCCGTAGCCAGCCATGTTGAAGGCTGTAACTGTGATAGAGAAGTTCCCTTCCTCCACCAACAGCAGCGCTGTTAACTCTGTGACGTTTTGAATCAATCTGTCCTGCAGCTGCTGCTTCTTCGCTGGCTCGTAGCTCACCTGGTATCCAAGGATATGACCTCCCGCATCATGGAGTTCAAGGTCCTGTAGGGAGATGTTTGCAAAATAAATTTGATGCCACATTTGTTTGAAGACATTTGTCAACCTGATTTTGACAAAAATGTCTACTAGTTTAAGTCAAATTTGAGTTGTTTAAGTTGTATTAGTCAGATGTTTTGGTCTAGTTTTCTCAGAGATATTTTAGTCTAATTCATGTTAAATTTTTTATTAAACCATAGTTTTTTTCCTTCCAAGAAATGAAACGTGAGAGTTACTGCTTATCAGAGCAGTGTCACGCTAGGTCAGACAGCTAAATTAACACCCTATTTTGGGCTATTTCTATGCGAAGGAGGAAATGGTTGTACTGATCACCAGTCATCATCAGTCATCCAATGAGACTTTGCATTAGTCCTCTAATGTCCGTCTTTCATATTATCATCTAGTCTTTATTTGTTGAAGAAAAATTATTATTATTCTGGTTTTTGCTATTTGAAAAGCTTGTCAATAAATACTTAATTTGATTCTATGGTTTTTGTTTTAAATTAACACTGATGACAAGAATATGTACTAGCAAACACAGCTTAAGCTTTAGGGATGTAATATTTTGACATAATTTCAACCAAAGGACCACTTAAACATTTTCTTTCCTTAGATTAAATGTCTTGTTTCAGATTCCCTGAAGATAACGGACCATAAAAGATAAGGCAAGAGCGGACTTAATACTACATGATGACTTATCTTGATATGCTGAAAAGGGAGACAATTTTATACATGACTAGTCCAAGTATTTCCAATGTACCTTCCACATGAGATGAAGGAGTAAAGATCCACCAGGGTCTGTTCTCTCCACTCTGTAACACACCTTTGGAGACTTGGAGGGGACTGGCAAAGAAAAAGTACAAAATTAAAACTTGAATGTCAATGGTTTATTCTTTAACTTTATCTCTGTTTGAATGTAAACTGTTACCCCTCTCCAGTGTCCTCACACTGACGTCAGAGCTCCAGTCACTCCAGATGTTAGACTCTCTGCAGGCCACAGCAGCTATGTAGTCGGTGAATGGCAGGAGGTCTTTGATTGTGTGGGTCAGTACCTGACCTCGATGTGCAGGGATAGAGTCTGGAGCCTGGTGACAAAAACAAAAGGTACTCTGGACAAACAACTAATCAATGCATTCAATGCAACAACCTCAATAAGTACTTCCAAATTTAAAAAAACAAACAGTTAAGACATGCACTTTTAAATATAGCAATTTATGTGTTCTTGTACAAATTGTGTTGTGGGGACTCAAACGTGTTCACTCAATCACATTGTGGGGACTTATGGCATGTGGGGACAAGCTGATCCCTATACATTTTATTTTATTTTAGGGTTAAAGGGCCATACAGTATGAGCCTGTCACAAATAAAATGGGAAAAATATGCTTGTAGCTCATGTATACAGTAGCTAAGGGGAAGGAAAACCTCTAGGTGGTTAATGTATAATGTATAATGTTCTCCTTCATAACAAAAAGTGTTTGATGCTAACCTGGGACCATATGTTAGTGTGGTTGACTCTGTAGCGAAGTTGACAACTGCCGTCACTGCTGCTCATCCAAAACACATCAACAGAGTCTGCAGTGAAGCCAAGTACTGTTAATACAGGCTGAGATGGTTTGACTGAGGAGAGGAAAGTGGATGAAGAGAAGAGAATTCAGCTACTTTATTATAATTTCATGTTAGCAATCAGTCTGTGGATTGATATGTTAATTATCTCATATTTTCTGGAAAATTCAGATTGGGAACAGCAGAGGAAGACAACAGTTAACTGGCATTACACTTATTACTGGGTAGTGGAGTGATCAAATGTCTGGGACACTAACCTGCATTATAAAAAACCACAGTATGAGGTTGGGACCAGATCTCAGTGCCCGTCATGTAGTTTTTTATCCTCGCTGTGACACTTAGGACAGCTACTGGGTTGAAGACTGCCGGACAGGATAAGACTTTATCCCTGCTAAAGAAGAAAGGAGGGAAATCAAAAGAGAGATGAATTAGTTTTCAATATTATTGATACAAAGAAAAAGCAGCACTGACTGGCTACATTTCAGAAATATGAAATAATTAGCTCTTAGTTAGTTATAAGTTAGTATAGTAGTAGCTATAGTAGTAGCTATAGTAGTGTAGCTTCATACATAGAGCCTACATCTGGAGTACAACTAAAAAAAAAATTATATCAGTAGTAAGCCATCACAGTTTTGTTAGTGTTTACCTCCTGAAGATGAGCGAGACCTCAGACTCGGTGTGGCCTTTTGCCTCCTCACTCCACTCACAAGTCATGGATCTTTCTGATATCTGGTAGTAACAGGACATGTTCAGGGTCTCTACAGGAAAACAACAGAAGAAACCACTTTTAACAACACACGGTACACATAAGCCAACATTTTATTAAAATCTGAAAAATGGTGTCGCAGTTAAGGCCTTAAAACCTATTCTCTTATATTGCCGCACCTAAATGTAACTTTTTCTGTAAGCCAGAACTTCCCATGTGTCTCATCAAAGCTGGACAAAAATTGCAATCATAAGATTCCTGATTTTTATTATTGTTATTGTGACTTGCAGTTAAAGTACATTGTACCTATGTGCTGTCTTAGTCAACATGTTAGTGATAGCTTCCTGCGTTGTAGTCCTACAATCACATCGACTCGTTATTCACAAAGAAGTTTTACTCTGCCATTCTCTTGTGTTAGAGAGAAGCCTCCAGGTACTGTGTTAGTACTACATGTTATACTTTTGCAAACTCACCCAGAACAACTGATATAGATATTTAAAAATGATTAAACAAATTCCTACCCAGCATAAGCATGTTTGATCATACATGTTATATACATGCTTAGACATATCCATGAACCTGGTTTAACCTTATCTTGTCTTATTAAAGGTAAATTACCCTGTATATGGATACAAATAGGGGGAAATGTGTTGAATTTCAAAAGAACAATGAGATGGAAGAAAATTTGTGGACTTTGGGGATGCTATAGAGTGACTACAAAATTAGTGAGTTTACAAATAAGTCAATACCTATTTTTAAGAATTGGTTGGAATTTAGGTCAAACTTAATCAAACCAAAATAGGAGGAACCAGTGAAAGACAAGGTAAAACAAAATATCTGACTGTTCTGTGTGTGTACTCACTCAGTACAGATGAAGGAGGTCGAGGGCCACAGTCTCTGAGGTCAGTGACACACACTTGCTTGTCCTCTTCACACAGCTTCAGATCAAAGTACCTTACCGTCACATCTGACACACACACAACACAGAAAACAACAGGAATGACATCAAAACAACACCCGATGATTCTACTTTTTCCTGAAGTTAAACGAGATAGCTCTTAATAATGAATCATTATTAATAATAAAATAATTAATAATTAGACATGCCCCTTTTAGAAGCTGAAATAACTCTAAACCTCCTTCAGTCAAGTTAATTCAAGATTAATCGATAGATCTACGCCAGTAAATATCTGAGAAAGGTCATTTAAATTCTAGATTAAAAACAACTTTAATCTAGATTTTAGATTAATCCCTTCATGGAAAAGCAACCATGAAGTTTAACATTTAAAAAAACAGCTAAATGCAATATGTGGCTTTCATTGAGAAATGTTTGTGGGCAACTCACCATGAGAAAACACACAGAGGAGGTTGATCACAGTCCAGGTAGCACGGTGCAGTTTAAGAGACCAAATATCCATCTTAACTGGTAAAAATGACGATATATTCAACAGATCAGCTCATTCTAAACATCTAAACTGCCTAAAGACCGTTTAAAAAACCTGCAGAGAACATGTTTTTATCTCTGAGGGGTGTATGAGGAAGCCAGCAAATGAAGTCGGCACCTCTCAGTTTCAGCCGCTGAGGTCAGGAAATTGCTCCATGCCTGTAGATGACACACATTAACACATCGTGTGTGTTCGACATCTTACGTTCCTTGGAAATGGGGCAGGTTTCAGTCTGTTCAAAACTTGTGCAGACTTCTAGCATTTGATATTTAGTTCTGTATTTTTTGCTTTTTCCCTTTTATACAATGTGATTTGTGTTCCACAAAGATCATCCTTGTGTTGCTCAGATAACAAGATTTGTTTGTTAGGTAATAGTTTAATAACACCCACACCACAGGAAATTACTTCTCATTTGTTTATTTTTCACTTTCTTCAAAAGCAAAATTTCAGCTCGTCTCCGCTCATTTTTTTTCTTTTTTCTTATAGAAAATGGAAACAAAAATTGCCTTGTACAAACATTTAAAAATGACTAACAGCGGGAAAAAAACCAAACCCAAACAAACAAAAAAGAAATAAACAGAAAGAAACTCTGTACAGATTAGTAAAGAAAGAGGATTAATTCTTCCTCTGGACTTGCCTGTGTCGGCCTCAGCACTGCTCTCCACACTGTGCAGTGAATTACAGCAGTAAACAAGCTTTCTAAGCTCAAACTCTCCATTTACATACACACACACTGGATTGGCAGAGGAGTGCATTACTGCTGCTGTAGACAGAAAGGATAAAGAAATACTTTTTCTTGATGTTCATTGAAGTGTTGGGTTTCATGACCTTTAGGCCTTTAAAACCTATTAAAATGTCAAGTTAATGGATGTCAGACAAAAACATTTCCCCTCTCAGTCCTGCAAAACTGTTGTTTTTGCAGTGGTTTTTGCCTGGCAACAGATATAAAGTAAAGAGAATGTGGTTATTTACAAACAAGAAAATAAGTGAAACAGACCAAATAATATATATATATAGAGATATATATATCTCATTTCTCCACTGGCCCTCTCTGATCACAACCTGATCTGATGAAACGTTTACACAATTTCAAGAACAATAAGACAATCCTACAATCACAGATAACTGACAAACCATTTTTGTTGGATTGAATGAGTAAAAAAGCTGCACTGGATGTGGTGAGCAGAGTTGATAGTGTCTGTGAAACTATAACACATAAAAAACTGTGTCTTTGATTACCTCAGAGGCCTGTTTGATACATATATACCTTGAAGATTTAATGAGTATGACATACAGGAGCTCAGGAAAGCTGACAGCACATTTTCCTCAAACTCAAGCTACTGATATTTACAATCAATTAGTTTGAATGTGACTGTGACACGAGTTTATAGTAAAAGAGGTTCAAAAAGTCTCAGAAAAACCTGCAGATCAGAGGATTATATGTTTAGGTTTTGTGTATGTAGAAGAACATAATTCTGTTTTCCTGTCTTTCTGTGTTCTCTTGCTAAACACCCGCAGACAGACAGGCAGGAGGAGGCAACAATAAGGTCTACAGTAAATATGATATAATCTGAGTTGTCATGATAAAGGTTAAGATCTGCCTGAAAAATGAGTTTGGTTCTAAATCCACTTATCCAGCACATTGTAAATGTGATTTATTAAGCACACTCAATATGTTAAATCCTTGGTTGGCAAGTTATTTGATTATCTTGATTTTAGAGGCGATGACGAAGTTTAGGTAAAAAATGGATGCGTTGTGTAGAACACTAGCTGACATGACTTCAAACTGTTGTTTAAAAATGGCAGCTAGCATCGACAGCTTGCACTGATGTCTCAAACAGTTGCAGATCAAAGATGTGATTAATCCACACTACCACACATCTACAAGAGATTCCTGCGTTGCCACAACCTGATAATCAGACTGAATTGCCAGTTTCTTTTTTACTGCAGTAACAATACAAATTCAGCTGTTGTGCTTCCGTTACATCTTCTCACATCTGAGTTGCTTTAAGTGCTCTTTGACTTGTGTATGGTTAGAATAAGCTACAAAGTGACTAAAGGCAAACTTTATTTCTTCACTTAAATATCTGAGATCCCTTCTGACTCCGTTTCCCAGAAGTCCATCTTGTATTTCATTATGTAAATTTGATTTCCAGCGATGATCTAAATGTAATAAATCTTTTTTCGCTGCGACTTTACATTTTGGTATTAGCATTGTCACTTTTAAAGACAGCCAATATACTCAAAACTTCACCTCTTGGCAGACTGAGTCAAGAAATATCAGCCTTTAAAACCCGGTTGAACCTTTGTCTGGATGCCCTTCATTTCCTTGCAGATACAGGTGTGTGGTTATTTCTACAATTAAAGGCATCACTTTGGTACAAGCATATTGCTCCTTTACATCCATTCTGATTCCTATTTTTCCTTTATGAACGTCTCACCTCTGCTCTCTCTCTCTCTCTGAGGAGGGAAACAGGCTTGAGAGCGATTTAACAGGACACACAGCTGCTGATGCTGCACGTGGCAGGGATCAAACCTGCAACCTATCTATCACAGTCTCTCTTAAGTTAATCTTTTTAAGTTCATGATTAGGAGTGCAGGAGAGAGGTGCATAGGTCAGGAAAAAACACATTAAGCAAGAAAGAAAAGACAAAAGACAAAAAGTTCAAACTGAAATTGTGATTAAAAAAACAACAAAAAAAAAAAAAAAAACACTAAGCACCCACTTCTCTCCAGTGAGCAACAGCACTGAGACGTCCCAGCGCTTGAAAGGCTGTGAACTGGCTCTTATTAAAGTTCTCACAAAACACTCTGGTTTTTCCAGCCAGAACAGCGTTTCAAGCTTCCCAAGTGGAGGAAAGCAGTCAAAAGTTTACCGGAACCGAGCGGAGCCGGGACGAACCAAACCGGTTTCATGATGAGTCCAAGTGTGTGTTTGTGTCAGTCTGTGCATGTCTGTGTATAGCAGTGTGTGTGTTATTTGTTGCGCAGCAGCTCCAGCTGGTCCTGGTATTCGGTGAACAGTCTCTGGAATCGCAGGTTCTCAACAATGACAGGTAAAACCTCCCGCAGCAACTCCCGCTTACGTAGACCCTGAACACAGAAATCAATGAAAACAAATAGTTAGCAACATGTATGCAATGCGGCGCCAGAGCTAGCTATGGCTAACTCATTAACTGGTCAAAACAGGACTACAGTGTCCACAATATGATGTACCAGTGAAATGTAATCAGTTTGAAAATAATTAGATGCAGGGAGGACAAAGGACTAATATGAGTCAGCAGTTTTTGCAGCAGGAGTAAGAATGAAGCAGGACCTCAAGTCGCTTGTCAAAATTACGGATGTACCAGCTATAGTAGCTACAGCTGTTATTTCAGTGTGTCAGATCCTTATTTTAAATCAACATTAAGGTAAATATGAGCATTAGCTGGGACTTGGTATCAGCAGACAAGCGATATTAAAGGATTGGATCAGGCCAAAAAACTAGATCGGGGAGTACAGGTGCATTTATGAAAATACATATATGAGAGTTTAGCAGGAATAACCATTGGCCTTTAATTGAACCAGCAGAGTGTCATACCAGAGTGGTGGGCTCCCAGGCTGTAGACGCAGATTTGTGGACTGGACCCAGCAGCTCCTTACAGAGTTCTCTGAGACGATACTCTGAGCCTGGAGGACACAGACGCAGACACACAGACACAGACACAGACACAGACACACACACTTAGTCTCAGCATCCAACTGTTTTTTTTTTGTTTGGTTTTTTTTTTGGGGGGGGGGTTAATATCCCTGTCAGTCTCTAGAAAGTGTGAAAACTTTAAACAGTGGCCGTCTGGTACCTTCGTTGACGAGGAAACGGGCGTAGATGAGCAGCCAGTAGCGATACTCCTGCGCTGACTGCAGAGTCAGAGCAGATGCCAGCTGATTCTCCAGGAAGGCCAGCGTCATGCTCTGCTGCAGGTGGTGAGGGGTGGACGAGAGGCGGGATGCCAGACGACCAGCACTGCAGGGACCAGACAGATTTTTTAAACTGACTTCTTTATGACATTTTATCTGGAGGAAGACGCTGGTGTTAAGAATGGGAGATTTAATATTAATGTCATACTTGAGATTGCGTCCCTGCATGACTGCCAACGGCCCTGAGGATGCAGGTGCATCGTGGGTAGATAAGCAGCTCCTGAAGTCAGCACACTGGACCAGAGAGTCCCCTTTATCAGCTATCAGAGTCCTGAGAGAGACAGAGAAAAAGTTTATATTAGAAATCATGATCTGGATTATTAGTAGCAGCTGTTTTAGGCAGCAATGTGTTTCTGGCCCGTGCTGCGTCTCCACTCTTTCTCACCATGTCTCCAGTGAGGAGCTGAAGCAGTAAGACTTCCCATTGGACAGTCCAATGACTGGAACTCCCTGCTGAGTCAGCAGAGACTGAGATACTGTGCTGTCAGCACCTAAAGGCACAAACAAAAGGTTTTTAGGGAGAATAGCACCACTGGATTCTCCAGACTCACTGATATAAATAGTTGCCTAAGTCAATACAGTGTGGTTTTACATTATCTTCATAAAAAATCTCACAGTCTTCGAAATAAACACTTATAGATTATCACGTGTTAAATGTTTTTTATAAAATAGTTCAAAATTTGAGGAATAGACTTATTTGTAAGAAGGATTTTAGGAGGAGCAGGAACATGCTGCAGTGTCTCACCAGATAAAATGGTCAGTAGAGACTCGTTCTTCACCAGAGCCTTTTGTTTCTGAACATCCCTGGACACAGACAGATAAGAAATTAACAAACTGTTTTTATTACAAACACCAGCAAACTCATTAATGCTTTTGTATAGTTCATAAAAACATAAAAACCCTTGACTGAAACGGCCAATCTATCAGCTGTTACACAAATCTGTAACAGCCAAAAGTAGTATATCAACAATATACTATATAAATCAATATTTCTTTAAATATATCTCTGCAATTTAAGTATGAACCTGCATTTGTACCACACTTCCTTTAAAATATGTTTTTAAATCAGTTCAAACAGGTGGGGACAGACAAGCTTAAAAAACATCCCTAATTAATACAGATCAAATCTAGAAAAGAAAAAACATTTCTGACAGATTATGTGAGCACTGACCAGACGGACAGCGTTGCACCAGCAGTCAGAACCATGACGAAGTGTGAGGAGCAGTGCACAGCTGAGACAGGTGTGGCCAGCTGGATGGCTGGAAGGAGCCGCCGCCCACAGGAAGAGAACACTGACAACATCCTGTCCTGACAGGCGACTGCAAGGACATCACTGAGGGGTAGGAAGAGCAAGGCAAACGGATTCAGTGTTGTTCATTAATGTGTTTATACAATCTGAATGATGGGTTTATCATATGAAAAATACTTTTCCACAATGGAGTGAAACAACTAAAGCATAAAGACAAGCTGCATCTATTTTATTTACAGTAAAACACAAGACATGTCAGCGGCGCCTCCTACCTGCTCCCTGCTGCAGTGACCACTGAGCTGGGCAGCAGTGTGTTCCAGTCTCGTCCGTCTCTGGAGCATCGCAGCTGGCTGAGCTTCGAACCTGCAACTACAGACACCTCGTTCTCCACCTCCAGGAACACCGACGGCTCCATGCTCACCTTCACACAGACACATCGTCCAACAGGTATGTAAGAAACAGTCATATCCTAAAAATAATGTCAAACTGCCACCTAAACAAACTTTAGATAGGAACATTGTGTGGAGAAAAGAGACTTTCATGAACATATCGGTTTTGGTGATGCTGTCACCGATCGAGGGTGATTAAGAGCAGAGTAGTGCATTAAACATAGTGGACTACATACTAACAGTGGTGTTTAGTGAAATCTAGTGGTGAGATTGCTGATCGCAACAAACTGAAAGCCTCGCCTCAACCAAGCGCAAGGAGGAACTTTGTGGCCACAAAATTCTAGTTGTAGAAATATGGTGCTTCAACATGGCGGCCTCCCACTGTAGATAAAAATGGTTCAATCTAAGGTAACAAAACACAACAATTCTTATTTTCAGTTTGTTTCAGTTAATTGCTTTGGTTTAAAAACAATTAGACTTTGTTACTGTCAACCTCCTACTTTCTAGGGGACTCAGGAGGGGAAGGGGAATATGGATATGATTTAAGGTGAGTAAAACAACACACACACACACGCACGCATGCACGCTGGACGATATATATCGTTTGCGATAATATTGTCGTTGTTTTGACGATGTGCAAATTTCCATTATCGAGTATTTAAATTACTTCGCCAAAAATATTGAAACGCACATGGAAACTCCTCACATCCACTTAATACACGGTGCAGCAACGCTCTCTACAGCATGGCAGGATTCAGTCACATGACTAGTGGGCCTACGTGATCACATGATGTGATCACATGACCTCTCGCTAGCATCCTCCTTGCAACAGTTTAGCAGCGCGTTGTGATGGTAGAGAGAAAATGCAAGCACCTCCAGTCCCTGAAGCTACCGGTACTTCAGATGATTTAGTGCCGATACAAATCCTATGAGCTTCAGTGTTCAGAGTGCTAAGCGCCTTCAGCGGTAAAAAGATTTTAACATTTAAAAGGATATCGACTGATTATCGTTATCGCCAAAATCCCCCAAAATATCGAGATATTATTTTTTGCCCATATTGCCCACACCTAACACACACCTAACACACACACAGACACACAGTGTGTTTGTTACCTGCAGACTGAAGGCTTTCTTTATACTTGGCGTTGGTAGTTTGAGAGCAGCTACAGGAGCTGGAGGAGCTGCCACCCTGCTGGGCTCCCGCTCTGCTGGAGGAGTTATCTGACAGGAAGAGGAGGAAGAAAAACCATGCATTTATCTCTCTGGTGCTATGTATCTATTCCAAGGACATCTGCACAAAAGGAACTTTTACCTGAACATTAACATTCTACTTGCTATTTTTTTTTTTTTTTTTAAACTGTTAGTTTCTGATTTCAAAAATATTAAATGAACAAGGCTTTGACTGACTTTCCATTAAAACAAGGTCAATAAATGTCTCCACGACCTAAATATATTACTCTTTTTTGGTTTGTTAATGTTTTTTTTAGAAAGGAATGAGTTGATCTCTTAGGATTCAATGATGTACAGGATTATTGAGACCTACATAAATTCATCTTTCCCCTCCATCTTTCTACCTGAGTGAAGGGTTGGGCGATGGGAGCAGCCATCTTCTCTTTCCTGGGCCGTCCCTTCTTCCTCTTCTCCACCACCTCTCCTCCGTCCATCAGCAGCTCGGGTTTCCTCTTGCTGAACGACAGGTTTTTGTTTATAGTGGCCATCTTGTCCTCGCTGTCGCTGCTGGTGTCTTCTTTGGATTTTATGTCTTTTAGGGCGGAGATGCCATCTTTTGGCCTGCTGGACCAACAGAAAAGTACATTTTTTCAGTTTGTTCTCTTTTTGAGCTTTGGTCCACCTCTACCCAATAACTCCAATTATACTGAGTCAATCACCTGTCTAGTGGTGTGAGTCCAGCGGTGGAGGAGATGGCGGCTGTGACCCCTGGTGTGGCCTTTGACCTCTCTGTGAACCTGGAGTCCAGAGCTTTCATTGGCTCGATCTTCGAGGCAGAAGTGAGGAGCAGACACGGCTTCACACTGAAATATAAGGAAACCAGAAAATGAGAAGGAGGGAATGAGGAGATCAAGGCCAATAAAAATGAAGGCTAAAAAACAAGGAAGAGGAGGACAGAAGGAGTGACTGAATTAGGAGTGAGAATCCTGGACAGGAAGTAAACATTCACAGATAGAACATTACAGAAAAAGAATAAAATCTCAGAGAGGGTATGAGCAAAACGTAAAAGCTTGCTCTCAGCTTGTACCCGTCCTTGTTGTCTTCCAGGCCTTTGGCGATGCTGCTGGCTGGAGGCGAGGTGAGCATTGGGTCGTGGCTGGGCCTAAGCCCCAGAGAAGAAGCCTGTCCTGGGCTGGAGTCGGAGCTGAGCTGGGAGGTGAGCTGGTTGGACATGGAGGAGCCCGAGGGCAGGATGGGAGCGCTGTTGAACAGAGCTGGAGAGAAATCCCTGCAGAGAAAGAGAGACAGCGATCTACTGTTTATATGACTATCACTACTAGTGCTACAGCTACTACTGCTAGGAACATGAGTCAGGGGTCACTTTGACTCAAGTAGAGTTCTTGACCTCCTGGTAACTAGTTGAGACCCATTCTACAACCCCAGTCAGGTCAGATCCAAAGGATATTCAGATTTATCAGATGTGGTAGGATCTGGTCTGGGGTCTGTGTGTCAATATGTCTAATACCCTGGTCGATCCAATCTCTATCAGCTCCAATCACATGGTGAGTCATCATCATTTTCATCGTCAGGAGAAAAATGTGTTTTTGGAGGCAGAGGGAGAGAGTGAAAAAAAGTTCTGAAAAAATGACATGTATTGCTGCTATTTTCCACCTTTGCTGCCCATTAACTGGTGGTGCATCATGCTGCTGCCAGTGCTGGTGTTTCTCTCTCTCTCTCTGTGTGTTTGGAGCTGTTGAGGTTTTAGATCTGGTCTAATTATCCTTGACTCAATAGCGGACCTGTTGTGTTGTTACCTTGTTGTGCAGGAGAGGTGCGACCCCCTAAAAATAGCTAAAAAGACCCTAAGAGCTCTGCCAGTAGTAGTTTTAGCTCCCAGCAAGTTAGACCAAGTTGGATTTGTCATAGATCTTAGTTAACCTCACAAATGATGCAGGTTTATTAAGCAAAAACACTTCAAATACACCATACATATTGTAGGTGGCACACAAGGTGAGGTGTCTGACAAAAGACAGCACACAAATGTATGGCACTAACAATTAACCTTTTTTTTATGTTGGATGTGTCTAATATGTGTGGTGGATTTACTGATTGTCCACCAATGAAAGCCAGTTTCATATTTTCTTACCCAGTGTCCAGTTGAGCGATACAGAGCGGTGTGATTCGTCTTCTGCCATCTGCAGTTCTTGTCTCCACCTGCTTCTTCAGAAGGTTCTGCAAGACGACCAAATAAAACATCAAGCTCCAAAAATATAATTGTTTTGACAGCTTTTGAAAATGGAGCTCTGGAACTCATAAAACATACATACATAAATAATATCTAATACATCACTGATATCTGAATCTCCATTCACATATATTTGGATATCTATATCTGTATAGCTATCACTACATACTGTCTAAATATGTAAATATAATCAGTTACTGTTTCTACATATTGTCTTTCCAACATGAATCCATTTTGTCTGAAACTAAGACTTATTATTATGCTGGCAAGAAAATCCCTTTATTAACTAAAACTGTTTTAGTGCATTTATCATATACGCATATTAAGTAAGTAATCTTAAGAGCAGATATGTGTATAAAATTCACACATGAATGAACAAATTATGATTCATATCATTATTAAACAGAACTCTGTGCTTGTCCTGAACCAAACCGACAGCAGTTCAACTTTAAGACGTTCCCACCTTCCTGATGTCCTCCAGAGACTCTCCGTTCATCACACTGTTGAGTTTGGGGGCTGAAGATTCGGGCCCGGCACAGCCCGGTCCTATGTTGGTCTGGGCCGAGTTCTGTCGCTCCTGCTGGTATTTGAGCATCTCAGGGTTCTCGATGATGGTGGTGGAAAGCTGAGCCTCGGTGCTGGTTATAGCCAGACTCTTACCGTAGATGTTCTGATGGATGCTGTTCTGTTTGCCAGAGGAATAAAGATAACATGTTTGATTTGGGTTCTTAATGTTCTTGATAGAATGATAGAAGGAAAACCAACAACCAAATAAAAACCAAATAAAGAAAGAAAGAACTTGTATTATAGCAGTCATGTCCTGTCTTGTCCTCTGCTGTTCATACCAGTTAAGAACAGTGGAAAAAATCATCAAAACATACTGGTTGGGAACTAGTATTAGAGGGGAAACACTTGAGCTTAATAATGCTGAGAAAAGAATGCAAACAGGATCTAGTTTAAGCCCAAGTCATTTGTTTGTTTGGTTTATTGAGTTTAATAGCTAATTCTCTGTTCAGTATTTTATTGTCAGATGTGACTGCATGATGTCTAACCTTCTCCTCCTCACTCAGCGGGTCTCCCAGTTCATCAAGTGAGAAGTCCAGGTAGGCTACAGTGCCGTCCATCGAACACACCAACATCCCCAGACCTGTCAAAGTCCTGAGACACACACACACACAAAACTCAGACATGTGGAGGGTGTACCAGTGATGCCATATAATCCTGTTCATTAGTCTCAAACCATAGATAATATGTATGAGTATGGAATAGGACTGGATACAGTTTGGCCATCAGCCTTCTCCCAGTTGCCAACTGTGTCACAACACCCATCTAACACTCACCAGGAAATGTCCATAATTGATTTATCAAACAGATCGTGGATGACCACTAGGGGGCGCTTCAGAGAGGTCAGCTGAGGAAGAGAAACAGACAGAAAGGCAACATTAGTATCGTCAGGATCCCTTCCAGGGTTTACGTTTGCTGGCATATGCAGACTTTTGGTCAGTATTACATGTAGATGAAAATATCAACGGCCAAAATGTCCAGTGGGAAATATGCCAAATAAGTATATATATATTCATTAAAAGCATATTAAACAGCCTCATATTGTGTGACCTATAAGATATTTTGCCTAAGAAGATTCAAATGCAAACTTTTATTATGCAAAGGTTTGGTTTTACCTCCAGTGACAGGAGGTCTCTTGTCTGTCAGTATGTATGAGTGTGTGTGTGTGTTCATCTGATTGACACGTGGCAGGTGTATTTTTGGGAACCCAAGGTCAGTGTAATGTGGAATTTCGTGCAATTTGGACACGTGACTTGTTCAATATTAATACACTTTGAATAAACAAACAAACAGCGTGCTGTGCAGCAGCGGGCAGTGTTTCAGTGCAGCACGGAGCATCTCTCCTGCCGGCTGCTGATCAGCGCTGTCAGCTTAACGGTAGAGGACAAGTAGCTGCTTCTACACATCTGTTTAAACAGGAGTTAACCTATTCTTACTGCATTAACTGTAACACCAGAGATAAGAGCAGCCGTCAATAACAGCCACTCTGTGTCACGCTGTCCTCCATTTCCATCACAATCATTCTTTCACTTCCCTCTCTGTTTCACACGTTGTGTGTTTAGGTCGTTGTCACAGTTATGTTTTTAGGCCACAGTGTTTTATTGATGTTTAAGACATGTGTCCAGTAGTAAATGGCCAGGAATACTAAGTCATAAAGTCATATGTTTTTCTCACACAACAGGAACTAAAATAGGGTTAAGATCTTTCTACTTGTTGTCACATTAACACAGTTCGATTAACAAACAAAGTGATCCGTGAAATCTGCAACTTGACTGAGGAACCCTCATCACTGGAATTAACATATGTACTACTGTTTTCTATATAAACAAACAAAACTTTCTAAACAAACTGACCCAGACAGAGAGTGATCGGTCTTTGCTGCCGACAGCGCAGCAGCAGTACGGACAGCCTGGTTTTGGAGAGCTGCCGTTTTTCTGCTTCTTCTTAAAGATCTTTGGGTTGAATTTCTACGGAGAAAGAAACCAGATCTGTATCAGTACACAGATAGATTGTGAGTACAAGGCATGGTGAACATGTGGCTAAAACTTCCTTACCACCACAGTGACCGCTTTACGGTGGCCCACAAAGTCCATATTAGTCTTCCAGCCGTCTCTCTCCACGATCTGAGCGGTGGGACCGGAATTGTTCATGGCATGAGCTGACACCAGATACTGACCATCTGGAGACCAGGACAGACGCAGGACGTGGGTCGTGCCGCCGCACTGAGACAAAGAAAAAGACCAAAAAAAAAATTATTCAGACCCTGACTGGTGAAATGTGGCAGAACTGGCAAGAGAATATACAGACATATGACAGATCGTATGAAAAACCTGAATAAATGAGTGAAAACGCATAATGCAAGCAGATGTTTCCCTGTAATACAGCCATAACAATATCAACTGCCTACTCTCACAGCATCAACAAACGCAGCCAACAGCAACAGTGTTTCTGTACCTCACTGAAGGGTTTGGTGATGTTGGCATCCATTTGCCAGTCCACTGTTCTCCACACTTTGAGGCTGTGGTCATCAGCCTGGGAGGCAATGTACTTCCCCACTGGATCCCACGTCAGACCTTTAACCAATCCAGTGTGTCCTCGCAGACAAGTCACCATCTCTGGAGAGACAGAGGGATGGATGACGAGCTGACAAGAGGGAAATGTCTTCCTGCTCTATCAGCAGGTTATACTGAATGGTGTTAGTAATAATGAGGACAGTGTTATGGGCTCACTTTTAAGAAATAAAATTATCATTAATTAATCACTTCAAGCTAAACTTCTAAACAAAAATTCTAGCTTTTCATTATGAGGATGTGCTTTGATAGTAGACTGAATATTTACATTTATTTAGTTGCAGACCTGTTGCAATATAAATTACAATACAGTGTGCAATAAAGGGTTTTCAGTATTTTGTGTGTATAAGTATTGTCTTGACTCCATCTGGTAGCAGTCTTTATGCTACGCTAAGCAGTTGCTCACTGTAGTGTCATATTTACCAAACAAACAACACAGAGTGGGGTCCTTTAAATTCTGCTTATGATGAATGAAACAACACACAGTCAGGTGGAACTGTGAAAAATGTTTATGGTCTTCTATTTTTGGAAATGATACCTTTTAAAATGTAGTGACTTTTAATTCTAGACTAGCGTGTATCCATTTTTTTTCCAGCTGCGATGCTACAAAAACAGTGAGCTCTGGTTTTGGTGTCTCCTACCTGGAAATTTGCGAGCGTTCCAGATGACAATAGTGTTGTCCACGCTGCAGGAGGCCAGCCACACGTCATGAGGAGACCACGCCACGTCCATCACATCTGCAAACAAAAAACAGACACACACTGAAATCCCTGCCTCATCCCTCAAAGGTTTCCTGTGGAGTTTTGGACCTCAAAAAGCACTACGGAGCCCTTTTTCTATGAGTGGGTTGAGGTATTAGTGTGCAAGTAGGAGGTTTCTGATGCGTATAAATGTGCATTTAAATGTTTTTTTGTGCATCTTACCTCCAGTGTGGTTCCTCAGGATTGTGACACACCTCCACTGCTCCACGTTGGCCAGCTTACTGCTTGACCCGAAAACCGTGCTTGGGCCGATGAATCTACCAGAAAAAAACACACAAGTGGTCAAAATCAAACAGCTCCAACCACCAGCTTTCTTTTCAATATAGAAAACATTCTGTGGTCAAAAACAGAAATACTGATTGAAAAAATGCAATATGACAAGATCAGACTGGACGGTAAGAGCATATACGCCATCTGTATTTGCACAGTTTGTGTTTGTGTGTATGTATGTGTATACATACGCAGCTCTCTTCCACACCATGACCAGCTTGTCGTCTCCTCCTGATGCCAGGTACAACCCATTGTTGGACCAGCGCACACAGTTCACACACGCTGCAGAGACAAACAAACACTTTTGCTGACTCCAGTTATAAATAAAACGTATATGGTATGATATTAGTTGTCTGTAGAGAACAAAAATGTGGGAAAAGATTCAAGCCAGCGACTGCCTGATCAGAATCCGACTTGTCCACAATTTAGGCATGGCTACATTGACCACGTAACCATTTCTACATTCAACAGGCTAATCTGAATCAACATGGCTGGTTACCTAAGTGATTGTCCATCTGGCAAAGCATTTTGGGAATATTCTCATTCTTCTCATCTTCCTCTCGGAGGACTGGCGCCATGTTCCAAATCATCACCTTGCCAGAATCCTCTCCTGAAATAAATGTTTAAAAAATGCAATGATTAAGACATCTTGGTGTTTTAATCTGAAATCCCCACACAAGAAGAGACGGACGAGGAAGTCTGAGGCTGCAGGAGAACATTTAGTATGGTGTGAGATTCAGAACTGGGTGCTGACACCAACACTGTAAAGTCTCATCAGCCGAGAACTTCATCAAGCACAACATCTTAACAGTGAAAGAGGTTCAGTGCTAGAGGCAGTAAACAATACAATACAGCTGGTCTTACCCTGTCCACCGGTTGCAAACTTTGTCCCATCAGGGTGGATGTCAACAGAAAATATGGGTTTGCCTGTGAGACACACAAGTCAACATTTAATGATATTTATCAAACCATAGATGCACAGACACAGACTAACAGATACTATAGAGTGATTTTGCAGAACATAAGAAAAAAAGTAGTTGTTGGGAAACATATTTGGGACACATTTCAACACGGGAATATCACAGAGACATCCGTGGTTTTGCTTTTAAACCAGGCTTCATGTTGTTGGCCATATGGAAAATTCCTTTTCTGTGATTTTCCACAGCTAAGTCAGAGCAAGACGAGATCTGACAGTGTTCTTTTTTTCGTGGTTTTGTTAGTGACTGTGGATTAAATCAACATGCAGTCAAGCATTTTTCCGACTCTCTCTTTATAAAGTACAGCTAAAGTACACTATATTCCAATAAATAAATAAAAATCAAACCACTATAATTTGTATTTACCCTGTGTTTATTACGTAGGTCTAATAAATAGTGCTGCAACATTAGAGGTGTCAAAGAAAACACATACTCAGATCATGATCAGATGTTAAAATGCAGAGACAACAAGCAGCATACATTGCAGATTGAGGCTTTAGAAACTAATTTGTTTCAAGTATAATAAGCGGTTTTGCAAAGCATGACAGTCCTTGGTGTTTGCTTATGTGTGTCTATATGTTATTTCATTTTGTGAGGAAAAAAAAGTTGCTGGTTTTAGCTTCTCAAATGTGAGTATTTGACCATTTTTTCTGTTTTAAATCATTAGAAATCGTGTATCTTTGACTTTGTCAGACTGTCAGTCAGACATAACAACACATCTGAAGACGTCCCTTTGGCTTTTGGGAAAAGCATGTCTCACTCAGTAGATAACATAATTAACTTATCATTTGCAATTTGATTAATATTATGGTAAAGTATGGACAGATTGACTGATAATAATAAAAAAAAACAATTGCAGTCCTACTGTATTATTTCACTGCAGCTTTTGCTCTGGTGTTTTATTTCTGGCTTCATCACCTACCAATGCCTATGTTTCTAAGGACTCTCTAAATATTATATATTATATATAAGATATTTCAACACTGGAGGAAGAAGGTAACTCGTGCTAGTTACCAGCATTAGTACTTAAAGTCATTTATCAGCAGAGTATCAATATCTGCTTGCTTTCTCCGTTTCGTACCACTGTAACTACATCTTGTATAAACATATGAGTACACTGATGACAGCAGTCGTTAGCTGCACCTTAAATTCAGGCCATTTCTCTATCGGTTAACTTTCCACACTGACAGCTTGGAGATGTCGCGAACAGACACTTTTTTGGCTCCATGTCGAGCTTGTTCGCGGTCACTAAAATGTCGTATGGGACGCCAAAAACACCAAACATCAAGTCACTTTGAGACAGTAACTTCGACATGGGTCAACTGGCAGGTAAGTTAGCTAGCGTCAGGGTATCTGAGCTAGCCGGGGGGGGGGGGGGGGCTAACTTGGCTAAGTAGCTAGCTAGCTAGCTAAGGTTAGCAAACATTGATACATATGGAAAAGCGAGGAGTAATACTGATAATGACAAAAAACACCCGCTGTGTGTGTTCAGCTGTGGAATTTAAGTCTGGTTTGTGAGTGACTATTAAGTGACAAACGAGTCAAACAAGTGTCGAGCCCACCACCATCATGCCTCCTTATCAATTCACCCCCCTCCGACAACAAAAGCCCAACTTGGTCCAACAGATTCCTGCACAAGCTTACCGTTGTGGCTCACCCAGCTCGGCTTCAGCAGCTTCATTTTCAATCCGATTCTTTTAATTTCCTCCTATATTAGTTTCAACAAACAATCCATCCAGCCTTCAGTTTCGTTGGAGAACTAACGCTAACCCCCTTCCCTTTGTCTCAAACTCTGTCCGACACTTTGTTGTTTTTGTGGTTCAACTCCATCCTTGCAGCAGCAGCAGCATCCCCGGGACTCCGAGCCGAGCGGCGGCGGCAGACAGGCGGCCCGGACAACAGGCGAGGTGACACCAGGCAGCACTGGAACTGTTTCCGTTATTTTTGACCGCGGACCGGAAACACGTTCAGGGCAGCTGTCACAATAATTCCAGAGGGGGGAACTTTGTACATTTTTTAAAAGGTATAATGGAATAAAACAGGAGGTATTATGTTTTCGTGTTCTTTTTACTGTAACTAATCAAAACCCGAGAGCAAAAAGAATCATATTTGTTATATCGGTGTAAAATCTTCTTGATACGGCTTTTATTTTGAAAAATTATAAAAGCGTTAGTGCGCAAACGCAGAATTTAAAACGTCAAGAAAAGTATGAGGAGGCAGTGGGTCATTTAAATCATAAGGTGAAAGGTAGAAACAACTTTTTAGATTTTTTTGTGTTTTTCTTTTTTGTTTTGTCTCTTTATTATGAATGTATTATAACAATTTGTTTCTAACTAATGCAGCTGTTCTTGGAGTTGGCACAATGTGTTTAAATTGGGTGTTAATCACTTTATAAGGTATTTTGTAATTTGGTGGTTTAAGATGTAAAAAGTTACATTTAGAGAAAGATGCCTCTGAGGGCAGTTTTGGCTCTCAAACAATACAGTTTTGAGTAAAGTTTTTTTGGAAACATATCTTATTGTTCAGACGCAGAAACAATAAATTGTTGTTATAAAGGACAAATGAAACTGGGATTTATGAGAGGTTCATAAAAACATACATAAAATACTAAATACAGCCTAATTTGTATTTACTAATGTTATCGTAATCAAACAAATGTTTTAAAAATGGCCTGCTATAAGCCTAATATCTCATATGAACAAAAAGACATGTTGCATCTGGTTTTTATATTAAGGTGTACATGTTTGTACAACTTTTGACGTATTTTCTATTTCAGCTCTTAAAGAGATGGTAATTTAATTAGTAATGAATAAAATCAAAAGTTTCTTTTAACAGACAATTTCAATATATACAAGGATACAAGGTTATTAAATTTTTTCTCGATTGTTTACACACATTTTCTGAATGCATGCCTCATACTCTCAGAACTCTACACATAAAAAAAAAAAACACACACACAATGGGCAAAACCCCTCAGTTCTCCTGCAAAATGAAACTTTACATCCAAAACAATGTTATTTCGTCTCAAAATGGTATTTTGTTTTCAAATGACACACACAAACCATCATATGAATAGACATTTATAAGAACCAGTTGAACACTGATGTGCTCAATGTAAAACACTATGATGAATGGAAAACGCTTCTTCTCCATTCATCATAGTGACTTAGGCCTTTTTTTTGTTCAGTGTTACACTTATTACAGACAGTACATACTTAAGTGTATCATAAAATATTTGAGAATATTGTTTTTATACTCAGAACACACAAATACACAGTAACAAATATATTTTATTTTTCCCACAAAAACAATGTACACAGTGTACATCCCAACCAACACAAAGTTGCACATACAGTGGTCTACATACAAAACAACCGAAGAATTTACTGTATGCAGTTACAGTTTCAGTCTGGCCACAACACCTCATCCACATCACAAGCAATGTTTCCCTGGCCAAGCAGTGGGGGAAATATTGTGGATCCAGCCATGAAAAGCATCAACTGCTATATCTAACCCTAACCTGTTGCCCTTTTATGCTAAAGCTCTGATTGCTAATTGTAAAACTGTGTGACAGGTGTTTGCCCATGTGATGAGTCAGTGTGCATAGTAGGGCAATTAACTTTAGAATTTTGAATGACAGTGTGTTCCTTGTGAAAACAAGATATTTTCTTCATGAAAACTGTGTCAAATGCAGAGAATTGTGTGTAGTGTTTTGAAAAAAGTGTGTTTTAGAACTGCAATTTGAGTGTAAAGCAGGAATTGTGCTTGTAGTTTAGCAGAATTGGTTCAGGGGGTTGGTGCATGAGTTACATGTTGTGGTCATTGTGTCTCAAGTACCAGTAATTGTGTGTAAACAATTGAGAAAAACTGTAATGTATAATGTATAATGAAATTCCAGTTTTCGTTCCCTTTATGCTACCTGTAAAAACAAAAAATATATATACAAAAATGATAATCATTAATAAGTCATAGAATCATACAATTCTTTAGCAACCATTCAACACCTGGAATTTTTATAAATATTTTTTAAAAGGATTATCTTTTTGAATCTATATATATATAATAAATAATATTTTAGATAAATACATCATCCTGCCAGAATTTAGTATTTGCTTTAATATGATTACACGGATGTCTTTCTGCCCTGTGCATCACACGGCGGTTTTTGCCAAGTGGGTTTAAAATAATAATAAAGCTGAAGATTCTTGAATCATTACTGCATATAACACACAACTCAGGTATTTTATTGAAGAACACACTTAATGGGATGATTCAGTTTTACATCGGGATAATGAACACAAGTTGGGAAATTCATAGCGGAGAATTGGGAACAAAGAGCATCATTTGATCCTGTCCAGACTAAATTATGAGTGAAACACCCAGCCAGCAGAAAAAGGGTTTAAAGAGTGGAACAAATTATATCTATTTCATAGCTTCATAGAACGCATTGCAAACAAACAATACAAACATACAATCATTTATTCCAACAGAGAGACAAATGAGTAAAAAAGGAAAGAAGGGCATGAAATCATATGAACTATAAAAAAAGTTAGTAAAATAGTCAGATGATTTGTTTTCTTCAAATAAGTCACATCTTCTTAAGTGTGAAATAATAACTATGTGAAGTGTGTAGAAGTCAGATAAGACATGTTTAAAATAGTTTGTTTAAGAGTACCCCAAGTGAACATTTTTACAAAAAACATTACAAAAACACACCCAGAATCTTGCTTGTAAGAGACTTCACAGTTGGCAGTTTGTAATTTTATTTTTTCATAGTTTTGCATCACAGAATCTGTTTAGTTTTACTTCATTTATCTGATGATGTAAAACACACAGTTACATTTACAGTCAGTGTAAACAGCACACTCACTTCTCAAAACATCAGTACAATAAAGTTTCTGCAAAATTCCTTCAAAGTTGTTTCGAGTAGAAGGAGCAAGGACACCGGACATTATTCTTATCTAGTAAAAGAAGAAAATAATTCTGATGCATTGGCACTGAATCAAGTGAATACCAATACTGTTTTAAAAACTATTTGTTCCCTACACTCTGTTATAGCATTGCATTGTAGCTTTTGTGAAATGGAAAATAATGTGAGAGAGTATTTCTTCTCTTTGATCAAGCATATTGTTAGTATAGAAAAGGTTTAACCCGCTGAAATAACGAACGTGAGGATTAAGACAGATCCTGTGTTTTAAACCATAACTGGTTTAAAAATGGAACATCTGTGAACAATAGAAATATGCTGCAGCAGTGGCTTCAGAAGCAACTATGGATACCTGATATTAATTCAAGCTTACCACAGCCTCTTTTCTCTTTAAAAAAACATCTTTGACACTCAAAGGAACAATTTGGGGTGGAGTATACATTTGATACTTCACAGTAGAGAATCCAAGACCCCAGTGTTATAGAACTATGTACATGATTTTCAGTTTTATAGCTTTCTATAAAGCTGGGTAACTGTCAAACTGCCAAGAAAAGGAAATTTTAAACCTGTGCAGAAAAACTTTGCTGATCAGAGATCAGACTTAGAGGAGAGCTACAGCAGTGAGACCTGCAGGGGGCAGTGTAGAGTTGTCTTGCTAGAGGTAGCAGCACACTGAGGATGCCAGCTCCTCTCCACCAGTCTCAAGTGTCCCATCCAGTCAAACTAACTAAACACTAAACCTGCACTGAATCTGCTCACTGGGAGTCACTCTACAACACAGTGTTTAAAAGAGTATTTTGTTCCTGTTAGAGATGTTTTTTCTCAGCACAAGAACATATTTAAAGGATTTCACATGCGGAAAACTGTATTTAATGGCCTGATTATCAAATTCTTTAATGTTGGAGGTCAGAGTTCCTGCAGAAACAGATGATTTACAACCAGTCACCAGTTTAGTCAGACCTCATTGATATATATATGGGATGGACAAATATTAGAAACACCTCTCAGTTCAGCAGCACCTTAACTTGCATCCTCCAAAATGATCACAATTGAATCAGCACCTCCCTGAAACAGTCTGAACAAAAAAATTGAACATTGTAACCTTCATTAAGGCCAGAGTTATTACAGTGCTGTTGTATTAGTGTGTGATAAGAAAGTTTTCAATCAAGCTTCATAGCTTTATAGGTATAGCAAAGTTTTGTAAAATGCCCACACAGTGTCAGTTGACAAGTAATTTCTTAGCAGAAGGGGGGAGCTTCATGGACCTGATGTCCCTCTGAAAGTGGCTTCGATCTGCTCAAGTGTCTTGCCCTTGGTTTCTGGGATGAAGGCGATGGTGAAGATGACGTTGAGGATGCACATACAGGCGAAGAGCCAGAAGGTTCCAGCGCTGGTTAGAATAGTCTGGAAGAGTTTGCAGTTACAAAGACATGGATGTCTCAGTGATGTCGGAAAGTTTCACAATACATACCAAAACACACAAGAAGGCAACAGGACTGTATTATTATTTAGGATTATTATTTATCAATTATCAAATAATTTGCTGATTTGCAAATAAAAAGCTTTAAGTTGAATGGACAGTGACTGACTAAAAACAATATCTTTACCCATGTCCTATCAGGCCTCCCATAAAAAAAATGTATGTCCCAAAATGTATTTTTAACCAAAACCCTTCAAATAGTGTCCTGATGAGCACTCACCATCATGTCTTGAAAGGTTTTAGTGACGATGAACGCCATGGTCCAGTTGGTGAGGACACAGACAGCGCTGGCAACCCCCCTCACTTTGGCTGGGAAAATCTCTGACATGACCAGCCATGGGATCGGGCCCCAACCAAGCGCAAAACCTGGACACAGTAACAATTATTAATGTAGTACGATCCATATGCTCTTGAAAATCACCTGTGTAATAGGGCTGTGCATTGTCAAGAATCTGGCGATACGATATATATCACAATGCAGGGGTTACAATTATATACATTGCCATACTGTAAGCACGCCGGTATATTGTGATTAAAAACTAATTTAATTTTAGGAAAACTGTCATAGTATAAAGAAAACACCATCATATGAATAAAATCTATACTGTGGGATCTGCATTGTATTTCTCACAGTCCCTGTAATATTCAACATCATAGCCCTCCGTTAATGTTTACAACAGCGGATAAGTTTTGATTTTTTGAGAACATGTCACAAAACAAAATATTTTATCAATATTTCCTTACTGTGTGGTTGTGTAAGTTTTGTCTGAGTTGATTTAGTCCTTTTGTGGCATTAGACACTTTGCAGATGAAACCCAAATTTAGCTCAGATATTGCACCAGAAATATCCTCTTTGACCTGAGCATTTAAATATAAAATCTTGCATTCTGCTAATAAGTTGGAACTTTGACTGGATTGGATTGGAATGGATCTCACCAGTGATGAAGACCGCCATGCTGGCCAGGGCCAGCCAGGCCAGGTCAGCATGGGGTTCTTCGCCAGCTTTGCTCTTGATGTCCAGCATCAAGAGGCTCAGCGACGTGGTGCTGTGAAGTTTGGACATCAGGTAGAAGTAAACCCCGAACGCTGTGGTGCTGATTGCCATGGCAACACCTTGGTTGTTAATGGGAAAACAAACAAAATCAGTCATGACTTGGCACTCTTGTCTGGTACTAAAGAGAGAAATGAACAGATTAAATGATGTTATTCCAACACCCAAAACCACTATCCAATTAAATAAAAGGAAATAAAATACTTCAAATAAATGGTTGTATTTTCTGTATAAGAGTCAATAGTAGAGACACATGAGTAAATGAGAGGAGAACTTTCTGCTATTAAAAAAGGTGAATGGAATTAGTTTAAAATATTAACTTGACTGAAAATACCTGAGATAACGAGAAGAGCTTTCCTTCCAGCTTTGTCCATGATCAGCGCTGCCACTCCTGTAAAGACGACCTGAATCAGACCCACGATCACTGAGGCCAGGTCACTCTCCTGAAAAACAACAAAACTTTCACATGTATACTTTCAACAACACAAAACTGTGTTTTCACCAAAAATTTACAAAACGTGATTTCTGATGTGTTCACACATGGTTGTAGTTTCTTTTCTGTGTGGGATTTCTAGTTGAAGTTTTGTCAATTTATCTTTTAAAATTTACTTTTTGTTTGCATTTACATTCAGTTGTGGTTTAAAATAGGTATAGTACTAAATTAAAGTTTAATTACTGATACGAACAGGTACATACAAACAGTATCATTGTTTTGATTGATGATTTTTTTATTGTTTTTATTATTCTTTGTTCTTAAAGACCAACGTGGAGTGGTTTTGGTAAGAACAGGCCAATTATGATTGTATTCTGCTGTGTTAATTTACCGAGTAAATAATAAGTTAAACCTCACCTTAAAATGTGCCTGTTCAAATATGCTCTCAGCGTAGAACATGATTGCATTGATCCCCGTCATCTGCTGAAATAACATCAGCATGACGCCGATCACCAGAGGCTTGTAGACACCAGGGTCTTTCAGGTCTGACATATGGAAACTGGAGCCCTGAGACAAAACAAAAAGACGATACAATCAGCGAGGCATTTGAGTGTCTGCGACTGCAAACTAGACTGTTTGACTTGGTGCTGTCGAAAATGTTCTGGTCATTTGTTGATTTGAGTCTTTGGTTTCTGCAGCATTTCCTGTGGTGACTTCACTCAGTACCTGTCTCTGTTCCACCTCTGCTCAATCACAAACCACATTCTCACAGTGGACACTGTCCACCACATCACAGCCACGCCAACCACAGACTTGCCTGCTGATCACAGGCGTCCTCGATGCGGGCGCACTCCCATTCGACAGGGGCGTCCGGTCCACGCAGAAAGCGTAGAGCCTCCTCAGCCTCCCGCCTCTTGCCCTGTGACAGCAGGAAGCGGGGCGTCTCTGGCATGAAGCACATACTGACCATCAGCAGTGTAGGCGGGATGGAGCTGCAGATTGCCAGCCAGCGCCAGTCCAGGAAAAGACCTGCAGGATGAGTTCATACTGCTCAGAAGCTGGAATCAGACATTATTTTGAAAAACACAGGAGTTACGAATTGGCTGCCGATCAACTAATAGACTAGTTGTCTCAGCTCTATCCAGGACAGATTATGGATCAGCCTGAGTCTATCAGTTCATCCATCACGCAACAATAGTTGCCCACCTTCCCTTTTACATACTGTTTTCAAGTTTAGCAAATAACATAACATTTCTCTTCTCTTTTCTCTTATGTGTTATATTCTTATTTCCATACTTAACAAGTGTTACACAATTATATAGGTTCTTAACCTTTTTGAATATGATCAGGTAACAGACTGAGAGGATGTTGAGGGATCCTGAACCCCTTGAGGAATCAAGGGGCCTCTCAATAAAAAATGACATCAGTTGCCTTTGTCCCCTAGTCCCCATTTTTTGACCCAAGAAGATGTGAGTTTTTCTCCGGAGGTGTCATGCCTGGCACTGAACTGTACACAACAGACTGAAGACTGCGGCACACAGTGGAGCTTAAGTCCAGGTTTCCTCACGAATGTCTGCATCTGCTGCATCTAAAAATATGCTTCTCGGCTGATCTGATTGTTCCACTGAATTTTCTACAACGATCTCATTGCTCATCTATGTGCTGAACAGCTGCTGGTTTGTGATAGTTTCTTTTATCTTTTTAGCTTGCAAACTAACAGTTATTGCTGATAAACATGATTACATGGAACATATTTTCCCATTCTACATAAAGCTATTCCATCTGGGGAATACTTTCTCTTCATATTGACCGAGGTACAAATGTGCCATAAAATTTAGGAACTTTAGTCCATTGAATCATTTGCTAACTTGTCCTTTATATAGTGTTGACTAAATAAATACCAAACGATTGACACATTAAAGGGCCATTCAACCCAAATGTTATAACAACCATATATTTTTTCACTGTCCTCTAACATGAGACAACCCATCTCATGTGACTCACCAGCTTCTATTGAGTAAACGTAAATGGCATGCAGCTAACTACATTAGTGAGAAGCAGCTATTTTCACAAAGGGCAACCAGTGAGGCTGCTGTCGAAGAGGCAGATCATATCTGAGCGTGATCACATCACATGATGGCCAGGTTTTGGTCATCTCTTCTTCACAACCTTTGATCCACAGGTTTAAAACAGCAAAACCTCAGAAAAAAAGCACTTTAAACAAAGTTGTGTTGCACAGGGTGTTTGACAGAGCTAATGTGTAATAGATAATAACCAGAAAGAGCAAAAATATTACATAGTTTCCAATAAAAGAGCAGATTGCATTATGTTCATAATGCAGGATGTTGTAACATTAGAAATTATATCATTGAAATTTCTCAATGATTTACAGATCGTAGACTGCTCTGTTAGAGTAACCTTGTGGTTGCTCTTCTCTTGTCAAGTCAAGTCAAAATGTATTCACGAGGCCCAAATTCACAATTTGCCACAGGGGGCTGCATATTCTGTACAGTGTGAACCTTCGTTCTTCTGTTCATCTAAACATTCAGCCAGTTTCAATAACCTGGGGTCAGACTTAACAAAATGAGATTCAAGGACACCATAAACACCTCAAAGCTGAGCTTACATACCTGCGAGATACACTCCCATGATGCCTAGCACCACCATGAGTTGCACACAGGAGCCTAATGTCCCACGTACCCGCTCGTGTGCCATCTCAGAGATATAGAGCTGTAAGAAGAAAAATTACACAGGAGGATGGTTCATAAAACCACATAAATAGAGGAAAGTCCACATCAAAAGTCCAAAATGATGTCCTCAGATAGGTTTTTTTGTCATTCAAACTCAGACATATTAAAGTTACCATGATATAAAATAAAGAAACAGCAAATGCGAGAAGCTAAAACCATAGGATGTTTGAAATGTTTGCTTTATACATACTTGAATATACCAGTATATTTTTCGTCAATGATTAATCAATTATCTGACTAAAGTCATTCATATAACAAACAAATATCAGTGCTAGGATGGAATGAGGATGAAGCAGGAACCTGAATCCTTACCGGGACGACCAGTGACGTGACCCCGCTGGCGAGGCCGGTGAGGACTCTGCCGATGTACAGCATCCACACGTTCTGTGCTGCGATGATAATGGTAAAGCCAAAGACGAACGGCAGCGAGCAGAACATCAGACTGAGCTTCCTGCCGATCTTCCCCACCATCCAACCGCCCAGCAGGCCGCCGGCCGCTGCTCCCACTGTCACTATGGACTGAAAAACAACCAACACAGGGCTTCAGGAAATTACTTCTATACATTTATCAGCATTTTACAATTGTAATACTCCAAGTTAAGCAGATGTAAGGTAAATTATTGCCATTTTGTTCAAATCTGCTATTTTTTGCTGACTAGCTTTTCTCTTTAAACCCTTCAGTCATGATTATCTATGATGCTCATTTCATTTTATAAGACCAGGACAGCATGTCCACACACAAATACCCATTTAACAGGAATAACTATACACATTCAATGTATAAAAAGAAGCCACAATCATTAAACTAATATTGACGTTCGGTGATGGGATGTGTGTGAAATGCACCTTGGGAGTCGTAGTTGACTTCTCTCTTTCAGTAGTACAGACGCCTGATGATTGAACTGTGAGAGTTCACCTGTCAGTCACCTGACATTACTACTACGTCTTTTTATTCTAGTGTCTGAATGAGTGAGACATTTAAACGTTTCAGATTAAAAAATCCCACTATGGAATGAAAAAAACTGTAAATTAGCATTTAAAAATGACACATACTTATCATCTACTTTAAAGAACTTCTGCAAATTTTCAGGAACTAATCCAAATTAAAAAATAAAATATAAGTAAGTCAGCAAATCTTTTATTATAATTGCATTTGGATTCTGTTACTATGAGCTCTTTCCTCTACGTCTTTATACTGTAATTAGGTTTTGAACTCCAGTGAGGTGAGTTGAGACAACATGTGATGACATAAAACTGCTGATAAATTAAAAATGCACTGTCTAACATCTGTTCTGCTTTGAGACATGTGATATTAAATTGCCATAGCTGCCGTCATACCCCAAACCAGGAGGCCTGGTTATCGTCCAGCCGCAGCCGAGGGTCAGCAATCTTGGTTAGTTCGGGAATGGCGGGAGAGCTGTATCCCAACACGAACCCGAAACTCATGGGACCCAGAACAGACGCAAACGTTGCCAGGTACAAATTCTTGTTCTTCACTTTACTGTGGAGAGAAAGAGGAACTGAGTTTTAAATATTGGTATTTATAGTCTGTCTATTCAGTTACATTACTTTTAATATAATACAAGTAAGTATTAACAGTTTAAACACTAAGAATGATACAAACACAGTTTAATCCATACTTGTAGAGTAAGTACACTAACATGATAATGTAGTAGAAGAGGATTTGGAGTGTGTGACTTAACAGCACTTCAGGAACTTCACCAGTGTGTTAGCAAGTTTTATCTCCATTGTTGCTGACCATTTCTGAACGCAGGTTGTACAATTAAAGACACTGAATGTACATAAATGTTCTACTGTTCCACACAGCCTTCTATTGCTTTCTGTAGGACAGGGAAAAACAACACTGTTTTGCTGAAACAGTCAATTCATTGATTAGTTGACTGAAAGGAAATTCACTGACTGAATCAGTCTCTAAGTCAATCACTTCCCAGGTTTAATGTTTGATTCCAGCATATCTGGTGAGAGGGTTTTCTGCTGTTTACAGTTTTTACATTATCATTAACTGAATATCTGACTGAAGATGTCACTTAAGGTTTGGGGTACTTGTGATGGCCATTTTCCACTATTACTGGCTATTTTATTGGCTTTACAATTACATTATTTCTGCATGGTAAAGCCACTATATAATGTAGCTTGACTACGTCAAACTTACGTGAAAAACCAAAATGAATCCAGACGTGACTTTTGATTAGGTAGTAAATGTCAAGAGTCTACTAACTGATTTATATATAAAATAAATAAAAATGACTGAATCCTTGGAATGAGAGACAAAGTGCATTCAAATGTTTTAAACACGTGTTTAACAGTTAGATGTGATGTAAAATATGTCCTATATACTAAACGGGCAAAACCTCGGGAATTGCCCTTTTATAAACCATCGTCGTGTTTGTTTGTTTGTTTGTTTGTTTGTTTATTTGGATGCCCATTCGCTTTTGTAGCAACAGCAGTAGCTACTAATCCAGTTGGCCATGCAGTAAACCTACTGCAGCTACCCTGAGCTCGACCCTGTGTGTGTGTGTGTGTGTGTGTGTGTGTGTGTCCACTGACCTCAGGTAAGCATCCTGCTCAGACATGAGCCCTGTAGGATCCTCATCTCCACCCTCCGCATCCAGCAGCCTTCTCCTCTCGTTCTGGATGTCCATACTGACAGCAGCAAGGTTTCCTGGTGTTTGCCCTCTTTTCTTGTTCACCTTTTACCTGGATTACAGGTCAGAAAATCCACAGTAACGTTAGCGACTGTACAAACGGGCCAATGTGCAGTCACACGAGGCCGGAATCGAAAAAGGAAACTATACAGTATCACATGTAGCCGTGAAGTAAACATCGGACATGTCCCTTGTTGGAAACTGACCAGTTAATTCATCGCCGAAGCTGTCGGCGAGGATTTTGCTTCCTTCACCGCCGGCCAACTTGCTTTGTCAACATTTCAGTCAGCTGATCACAGGGACTGCCTGTCATTTCCCGTTTTCAAAATAAAAGTATGGCATCTTAAGTTCTTTGTTGACAAAATAAAAACGTTTGACGAAATTGGTTTCCATGGTGACATTAAGATTTAGGATTACGTTAGCAAAAGGAAAATGTGGCCAAAAGTGGACAAATTTAATGTAAAACAACTTATATAAGCTATTTGAACAAGACAATGGACACTTTTGAGAAGAGAAATGACCAGTCGGTAAATGTTTTTTTTACAAAACAATAGCAAAGTAATAACTAACGTTAACTTAGTTATCTGGCGGCAACCCTCCTAGCTAACGTTAACTTAACGGTAGCTAGGTAACTGTTAATACTAAACCATAGTGTTAGTAAAGTTACATAAAGTAACGTAAACTAAACTTATGAGATATCGTTAAGTTAGTTACATTTGAAATTAGTTTAGTGTGAGACTTTTAGTTTGAAGCTAACTAGCCAGTTGAATATTTTATTTCAGTAAGGTGCAGGTTTATGCAATAGCAAATATTGTGAAAAAAAGTGTTTAATTTTCATTTAAAGGTAACGTTAGCTTTCTCGCTATGTTTGAAATAAAATCAATAATTTAGTGTTAAGTTTTATAGCACAAGCACCAGAAAGCATTACTGAGATGGTCAACACATTGGGATAAACTCTGTTTACTTAATCTTGAAAAAAATGACGGCATATTTTAAGTATAACTTTTTCAAGTTTCCATAGGAAATGAAGATATGTTTTCATTGTCAGTCAGCCTAATCCTCCTCGTGTTGTAGGCTGGCACTGCTAGGAAAAGTGAAATGTGTTGTCAGTTGATTGCTGAGGAGCAGAGCTTTGTGGCACCAGGAGAGAAACACTCCCAGAGGAAAGAGCCACAGGGGAGCCTCATCATTGAGAGCCAGGCTGCAGAGATGTGAGCATCATGAATGAAATTAAAGAAAGACACATTGTCAAGGATGAACGAAAGGGTTCTACTTTAGCCTCACTTACAGCCATGCGTCATCAGTTCGTAATGGCATTCAGATATAGAAGCAAAGATCATATCTGCGTTGCAAATATTGTGTCTCAGGGTTGTATAACTGTTAAATAAATTCTGATGTTTCTTTGCAGTTACACAAATGGAAAAGAGGCAATGGGAAAGTCCCAGTATGAGAAGGCTGTGATGTGCTTCTCCGAAGCCATTACATTGCAGCCAGAGCAGGTGCTGGACTAACTAAGGCACAAAGTTACCCATGTTAATACTTACTGTTATTGTTTGTGCTTCGAGTTATTGATGGGCAGTACTGACGTGCCATTTTTTATTGAGATTTTTTTGATGAATTTTTATGGTAAATAGCTCAGGTGTTCACGAGAGAGGCAAAAATGTGATTGTAAACCTGCTTTGTTTCTAAATTACCTTTAGTAATAACCCTGATTATAGTAATCAAAGTACCCTAATAATCTAAGTAAAAATCTAATTACCTGACACATATGTTCTATGTTCACTTTGCATGTGTTTTACTTTCTTGGTATTTTTGTTAGTGTCTGTTAATGTGATATGTTTCAATAAGCTCCAGTAGCTTCCTATGCCTCAGACACACTGTTTGTGCATTTTTTTAATTCCTCTTCTGAGTGTGATAACTTCTGCTATTGTGTGTTGTAGACTGAGCTGTGTGTGAGCCAGGCAGAGGCGTACCTGCAGCTGTGTGACTTCCAGTCAGCAGCAGCCTATTACAAACGGGCCAGGCTCCTGGAGCCCGGGGCCTTCAGTGCACGCTTGGCATTCATTTACTATCTCCAGGTACACATTACACTCTTCTGTTTTGGCTGGGGTTTAATGTTACTGTTGCATGTACAGTAACAAACACGCCTATTAATATTATATTCAATTTCTGCCAGTAGATCGTCCATAATGTTACATGTTAGGATTTAAAGCAATTTAATAGACTAAACACAGGTGAATTTGGACTCAGTACTGATAAATTGTGCATTCATGTGAGTAAGTTAATGTGATTAAGAGCTTAAAATGTTTGCTGCCCCTCCCTGGACTTTAATTTGTTATTCAGTGTTCTCTGTTTTGCATGTTCACAATATCATTCACCTTGAAATTCAGGTTTATTCTGCTGTTGCGCTGATAATAAGGGACCCTTCATAATAAACATAAAATAATTGAATGATGATCGTTCCATTTTTCTATTGTCCTCAGGGCCAGTGTTTGTTTGACCGAGGCCTTTTCTTGGAGGCCCTGAAGGCCTTCCACAAAGCTGCTGAGGTAAAGCCCGACTGCAGGGCCTACGAGATCAGAAGGTCAGGGACCTCCGTACTAAGATATAGATTAAAGTTTGTGTTTAGATTTTAGAGATAGATGTCAGATATATGCTATGTATATACACCGATCAGTCATAATATTATGCCCACCTGGGCTCCCTGGTGGTCATAATGCTATGCAACCCCATACCAACAAACTGTGATGCTGGGGTGGTGGTGGGGCTTAAAGAGCAGCAGACAGCAATACGGATGCAGGGCAACAGTGGAGGGAGAGCCGGGAAATTGTGCAGTTTAAATAGACCGCCAGATTGGAAGGGTGTGCTTGGTTAGTGATTATGGAGTGTGAGGCATGTCATGTGTGTATAACAACGCAGCTCGAGTTGACTGCCTGAACTAGCTCCCAGGCTTCGCTCAATTTTTGTTTCTAATTCAGACACATAGTTCCTTAATGTATTTTGTGACTTGTATCCCAGCTTGGCCTGCCTGACAGCTGCAGGTCACCACACTGATTGTCTGAAGCTGGTGAACAATTGGATGGTGTTGTATGGTTCCACCTCCGACCTTTACATCCTCAGAGCCCGACTGCACAAATTGCTCAACCAGGTTACAACTGCAGGCACTTATTACACTTAAAATACCTAAAACCAGAAGCATATACTCAGTTAACTGATACTGTAAAGAATCAAGCAGCAGGACATAGGATAGCAGAATAGGTCCACAGCCACGAAAACAAACAATAGTAAGGCCACAGACAACAGAAGTAACAAAGTGTTTTGTAACAGGATTTAAAATATTTAGTTTCTCCTTCTGACAGAAAAAAAAAAGATTTATCATGATTAAACACATTTACACATAAATATATAAATAAATAAATAAATATATATATATATATATATATAGATAAATGTCTTCCACAAACAAATTAATAGAAATATTAAAATCACAAGATTTTTGTGCAGTGATATCTTGCAATATAATTGATCTTGCTGATGTGTGTTTAAATATTTAGACATAGAACATTTGTTAGTACACACTGGGTTATAGAATATTCAAACTCTATAAACATAAAACTATGCATATATAATCTTACATATGCTGCACCTACTGTAACTACACAATCAAATATCTGTGATTAAACTGCCAGTGATTTTCTCTCTCATTCAGACATCACAGTGTTATCAAGACGTGAAGTCGGCATTGGCGTTAAACCCAACGTGTCCAGTGGCTGAAGCCCTGCTGCTGCAGCTGCATGAAGCCAGTGAACAGGCCAGACAACAGGCTGTGGACAGAGCCTTGACTGGCCAGCTGCTTGAAGCCCTCTGTATGATCAATATTTCTCTGGCGAACTGCCCACTGGACGGACGCCTCTACCTGTTCAGGTGATTTCGACCAATATGAAACCTTTAAACAAGCTTCAAGTAATAAATAGAGTAGTGAAATATGTAGAAGACATCTCTCACTTACAAAGATGGTGTAAAGTAAAGTCAACAAATGTCCAAGTTGACATAATGAAGTTTGATAACCTACATGTTTTTTGACAGCGCGAGGAAAACACTGAATAAAGGAATCACATTTTTTTCAAATGCAAGTTATTGATTTTGTAGCAATATGAAACAGAGAAGGCTTAAATGTTACTGTGATGATTGGTATTCTTTATTCTTAACTAACTATAAGATTTAATTAAGATTTTGCTTTAATGATTAATTAAAAACTTCTGCAGTGCTGTACGTTAAAGTCAGGAAAATTTTATTTAATTAGTTCTTTTAAATTAATTTCCCTTCAACCCTATTGAGCTACATTTTTATTTCATTTCAATTAAAATCATTTCAGTTTCATTTAATCTAATTCTCTGTCCATCAGAGGGATTCTGTACCGACGTCTGAATGACTTCACAGCAGCCATCGAGGATCTGGTCCAGGCTGTCGAGCTGAGCGAGAAGGTGGAGGGAGAGAAGAAGGTCAGAGGTCAGGCAGAGGCCAGAGACAAGAAGGATGAGTGCAGCTCTGTGCAAGAGGAGGCACAGTTTCAGCTGGTTCTCACCTACAATGATTTTGCTGTTCAGTGCCTCAGTGAAGGCCTCTATGCGGAGGCGACTCTGCTTCTCAACAAGGCCATTGAGGAGGAGAAGGGCCAGGCAGGCCTGTACCTGAACCGAGGAGGTGAGGCTATGCACGGTTTGTGAGTGTGTGTGTGTATCTCTTTCTTTACTGCGCACACATACTCATTTTGTGTATATTGAAACATCAGTCAGTGGAGAATTTTTTGCTCAGGCCAGAATTAAGGTTTGAAAGCATATAAAGTATATAAATTATCCCTGAAATCTGTACTTTAAAACTTCCTGCACGTAGAAAAGACGAAGAAAATATTTGTGTCATTGTGTCATCAAGTTTTTCCTTGTTGTTAAGATGAAGTAAAAATGACATTGACCAACCAGGTAAGGTGTGCATATGTAAGTCAGGTGGCACTGAGACTGTCAGCCAGACAGGTTCAGCCTGACAAACCTGATCAACATTTCTCAGCAGTGGAGTATGAATATTTGTTCTGCGTCACCACTCTCCAACACCATTATTCACTAAATGTATTTGGGATTCAAAGTTGCTTGCTGACTACACCCTCAGCAGCAGTTCTATCTAAACACACTAGCACAGAAATGATTAGTCCATTTATGACTTAGTTGATTGACAGAAAATTCTGGGAAATCGGGATGGGTAATTTTCATAGTTTTCTTTTTCATTAATCAAAAACATTGAGTGACTTAAAACAAATACCTTTTTCACAGCAGCCATTTGGACAGAAAATAGTAAAGTAACAGTTGTTACAAATGATGCTTATTAAGGTTCAGTTCCATTTAGTGTAGCAGAGCCTTTCCAGTGAGCCAACATGCACAGTAGCAGCACCCTGACTCTGTTTGACCTGAATGTTACGGAACCTCAATTAGTATCATTGGTAACACCTGTGTTTACCCTATTATTTTATGTCCAAATGGCTGCTGTGAAAAAGGTCTGTTACGTTTGTCGGAAGGATCCATTTATTTATGTGTATGGTGTGTGTGTGTGTGTGTGTGTGTGTGTGTGTGTGTGTGTGTGTGTGTGTGTGTGTGTCAGACTGTTTCTATAGGCAGGGTGAGTGGTGTTATGCTCTAGCTGACTACCAGCAGGCTGAGGAGATGATGCTGTGTGATGACCCGTCCGTCCATCTCCGTCTCTCTGTACTCCACAACCTGCTGGGCTCTTTCTGTATCCAGGACAGGTCAGAACCACACAAACACACACATTTACATCCACATTCACACAGAGAAACCTAGAGAGAAAACTCATTTTATCTTGTTTAGATGCTATATTTGTGAGTGTGTATTTGTGTCTGCATCTGCAGGCGTTTCCAGGAGGCAGTTGACATGTTTTCTCTGGCCATCAAGTACGACCCCAAAGCCAGTCGGTACTATGAGAACAGATCAAAGGCCTTTCGAAAGCTGCTCAACTTGGAGCGTGCCAGAGAGGACTTCATCTGCATGCTGATCCTGGATCCCACCAATGAAGAGGTTCATCTCAACCTCCAGATCCACTGACACTGACATTTTCACCTTTTCATTCAATGAGATTAATATATAATATTTGATATATATTACATTTTAATAATATATGAATAACTATAATAATATTAATAATAATATATACACACATATATATTGATACATTTTTGTTATTAATATTTCCAAAGCTTATGAGAGTAAAGTAGTAGTAAAATGCGTGTGTGTCTTTGTAGGTGCCTCCTATGATCATGAATCTGTTCCCCGGCTGCAGCAAATCTGAGGTTTTGTCCAGTCCAGCAGGACAAGCAGTCAGAGTTCAACTGATGGACACCATCCATGCCTGCAGCTCCTCCTCCGATCCACACGAGTGAGCAACATGAATAATTACTAGAAGGCTGGGACACACCTGCTTTACACTGACTGTGGAACAGCTCACAGACAAAAAAAACATGTAGAACCACATAAATAATACTAATAAGTTAATTTTTTAAATGTTTTTATTGACTAAAATGACACTCATTGTCAGTATGTAAAGATACAACTGCCCTTGTTTTTCCAAATTGCTGTAGGACTGCATGTAACCAGCAGGGCATTTATACAAGTGTTTTTTGTGTCGTAATGTGTTCTTAGACTGAGTGAGATGCTCCAGGAGATGACTCTGACCAATGAAAACTCAGCGAGCAAATCACAACAGCCATCTGAAGCTGCAAAGGAGCTAAAGTTTGTAAACCAACAGGAGATGCAGATTATTGGGAAGAGCCTTCTGCAGGTACTGAAAGAATCATAAATGACCACAGTGGCTAGAAAGAAACGATTCATAAACAGAGGGTGACAACTCTTTCAAAATCTATGTGAAACCGTACAAAGCTGTCTATCCATCCAGGAATATAACAATGATAAAAGTTCCCCAAACATAACCTACAGACAATTCAGAACGACTGTGCAAACCATTTGAATATCTGATATCAGTAACATGGTTTTATACAACACAAGTTTGCGATTTGCAGAATTGGATTTCCTCTTCTGTTAATTTTGACACATCATCAAAACAATACTTGTGAACCATACACAACTATGAGAGCCACCCACCAACAGCATCCACACAGTAAAACAACACCAGTCTTCCTTTAGACATAAGAGGAGGTGATACTACAACAAGATATTTCAAGTGTTTTGAGGTCCACATCTCAGAGGCGATAGTGGGATTACGCTTGGTGGGGAAAAGGATAATATAAATATCTACATCTAAGTGCTTTATATGTGTATTTAGTTTTGTCTCAGACTGTAAAATGATTCCAGTGGGTATTTTATGTACACATCATTAATCACATACACATCTTTCACACTGAAGAAAGTGTACAATACTCCAAACCACAACTGTGGCCCTTTAACTCAAACTTACTGTTGAAACTTAAACAGTAGAGGGAAATTATGCAGCACAAGTTCCTTCATACACGAAAGAGAACAGTAAGGCAGACTGCAAAGTGTAAATCAACAGTGGCAACACTTATTATCCTTTAATGCCATTATGTTGTCCAATTGCAGGACAAGCAGTCAGAGTTCAACTGATGGACACCATCCATGCCTGCAGCTCCTCCTCCGATCAACACGAGTGAGCAACACAAATATTCACTAGAAGGCTGGGACACACCTGCTTTACACTGACTGTGGAACAGCTGACAGACAAAAAAACACGTAGAAACCCATAAATAATACTAATAAGTGTAGGTTAGACATTAGACTTTCATTTTTTAAATGTTTTTATTGACTAAAATGACACTTATTGTCAGTGTGTAAAGATACAACTGCCCTTGTTTTTCCAAATTGCTGTAGGACTGCATGTAACCAGCAGGGCATTTATACAAGTGTTTTTTGTGTCGTAATTTGCTCTTAGACTGAGTGTGATGCTCCAGGAGATGACTCTGACCAATGAGAACACAGCGAGCAAATCACAACAGCCATCTGAAGCAGGAAAGAAGCTAAAGTGTGTAAACCAACAGGAGATGCAGATTATTGGGAAGAGCCTTCTGCAGGTACTGAAAGAATTATAAATGACCCCAGTGCCAGAGCTACAATTGTTCATATCCATGTCCCCCTTTCAGTTATTAAAAGCCTACTAATTGATAGTTTAGATACTGATTTAGATAGATAGATAGATAGATAGATAGATAGATAGATAGATAGATAGATAGATAGATAGATAGATAGATAGATAGATAGACTTTATTAATCCCAGGGAAATTGGGTCGTCATAGTAGCCAGGTACATTAAAATACAATAAAATACAATAGAATAAAATACAACAATAGAATAAAATACAACAATAAAATAAAATACTTAGATAGAAAAGATAAAAAAAGATAAATAGGTAGGTAAGGTGCAAAGAGTTGTAGTTGCACGATGGTGGTAATAGTACTGATGACATGATGGTAGTGTTATTGTTAATAACAGTATATAATGATAATATTAATAATATTTATAATAATATAATAACAATATGTATATATAATATGATGACTGAACAGATATACATGTATACACAGATATTATACATTAATATTGATATAATGTAAACATGTGTCATATATATTTGATATCTTTTAGAACAACTGACCAAGAGGATTGTGTAACTAGAAAGAAAAAGATTCATGAACAGGCTGACAACTCAAAACCACCTTTCAAACCTTTTGAATATTTAATATCAGTTACATGGTTTTGTACAACACAGGTTCACCAAGTTTGTGATTTTAGCAAAATTAGCTAATTTCCTCTTCTTTGACACATTATCAAAACAAATGTGATACTTGTGAACCATGCACAACTATGTGAGAGCCACCCACCAACAGCATCCACACAGTGAAACAGCACCAGTCTGCCTTTAGACAAAAGAGGAGGTGATACTACAACAAAATATTTCAGGTGTTCTGAGGTCCACATCTCAGAGGCGATAGTGGGATTAAGCTTGGTGGGGAAAAATATATAATATACTATATATAGTGTATAATACAAATTATATTTTATCTACATCATGTTGTCCAATAGGTGGCAGCATGGGCACAATCTAAGTATAAGAGAATTCCTCAATATGCTCTACTACTATGTTTGACTGGTAATGTATTGCTTTATATATGACATGAGATCTTAATGTTTGGGTACTGGATTTGTAGCTACCAAATTAGTTTAATTTCTCTCTTTGTCTTTATCCCTTCACGTTTTCCTTGATGTCTTTTTTCTTATGGAGTAAGATAGTATGTACATGTTTATAAACTTTAATAACATTCACTTATATTCCCATCCATAAGATATATACATAGAATACCTGCATTCTGCCAAGCTGGGTCCAACCTGAGAGTCAAAAGTTGACCCTTTCATATCCACTGCAGGCTAAATCTGTGTCACTGTGTTAGTCTAAAAGGGTAATACTAATTTGGACCATTGCTCATAATACACAAGATGGCATCTTTATTGATTGATGAGGTGCAGCAGGGTCTCTGCAAATAGAGAGTTGGCTTATCAAGCTCAAACACACCATTTGATCTGAACTAGCTCTAAACAAGCTTATATGGTGCGTTGTCCAACCACGTCTTAAGTCAGACAGTGTTTTGACCTATTCCAAAACGCTATGCTTAAATGGAGGACAAAATACCGGCTGTCATAGATGGGTGAGAGACACTGTAAATCGTACAAATGTGAATAACAGTACTCACTTTTTTTGCACTGTCTCATCCTAAAGGCCTTCATGATGTTTCACTCAGTTGTGCACATGCAAAGTGAGAAGATCTAACCTGGCCTACTTCTGCACACTGGGCAATTCCTGTGTTAAGTTGGCATGGGTGTTGGATTCTTTGTTTTAGAAAGTTACAAACATTATCAGACATCAACCTGTCAGTTGAAGTATATCACAGGTAATCACATTAGCAGTGAAGATGTGTTGTGGCTGCAGCTCTGTGGTGTTCTCTAACAGGCAGCTGACCTCACAGCATTAACAACAGCTGTGGCAACAGCTGCCACACAGAGAAAGGACCTGTGGCACATTAGATGCTGTCTCACCATAGAAAGTACTCACACCACATAGCTAAAAGCACAAACATACCAAACATACCAGAGTCTGTCGCAGTCACTTCATGCCGTGCACTTTGGTGCTTAATTAACTGTAATGAAAATTGATACAGCATATTTTCCCTTTACCTTCTCTGAATAGGTCGCTGCATGTGGAATATTGGAGAAAGTGCCCTTTTCTGGTGTAGAAGTCATCTTTTTTTATTTGTTCAGATGTATTTCTTTATTACATTTTGATACCCACTGAAATTCCACTCGGCTGTGGAATGTGGGTGCAGACGACCACGGAGGAGACGACCACGCTCACACTTGTGTCAATCAACACTTATTGTGTTGACACTGTCGATGTCTGCTGAGCAGTGCGGCCGTCCAATATGACCTGCGGCGGACAGGCCCGGGTTCAGTCCCTCACACAGTGTGTGTGTGTGTGTGTGTGTGTGTGTGTGTGTGTGTGTGTGTGTGTGTGTGTGTGTGTATGTGTGATTCTGTGTTTCTGTTCTTGTGAGGACCACAAGTTGTCCTAAAGGTCAAATAATCCTGAAAATTCCTAAAACTGAGGACATATTGCTGGTCCTCACTATGGCTCTTTTAAGCTTAGGACTTAAAATTAGGATCAAGATTAAGATTCGATGGGCATTAGATTTCCAGAAGTGTAAGTTAGAAAGTCTTCACAGGCATAGTAATACAGTGCTGAATGTGTGTGGGCCTCAGCCCCTCAGCAGAGTGGTGCGGGATAGACAGTGGTCGTAAAGGAGCTGAAAAGTGTTTCACACTTGTGCAATAAAAGGCTTGAGTTACCGTCCTGTCAGGGTCAGGAGGCGCAGCAAGCCGGGTGGTGCCGGTGGCCCAGCCAGCCAGGTTTCTGAGGCCAGACAAAAACACCTTTCTCTGGGCACAGGAGCTGGCGGCTTGGCCCCAGCTCAAAACATTCCCTGGTGGAAGGGAGGTTCATTCACGTTTTGGCTGGAGACTGTTTTGTCTAAGATACGCAGAACACGTTTGTAGTCTTTGGGTAAGGTTCGGGGCAGGTGACGTGCGTAGACGCAGAGCTCCATGACTTTCTGAAGTGAAAGTGGAAGGGGATATGTGGGTTTGGAATTGGATTAGTGTTGCTAGACTGGAGTGGGCCTTGAAGTATGTGCCAGTCAGGGTTTTTGTCAATGGTTAGCCTCTGCAAAGTACATATCACTGCATTATAATTGCTGTATAATAATGGCATATATAATGGCTTGGATGGTCGAGGCTGTTAAAATTCCATCTTGTCCCTGAAGACGAGTTAAAAACAGGGTCACAATCATTTTATTTACATTACAAAATTATCAAAAACAAACACACACTTTACGTACTGCAATAAATAAAAATATATTAATAAAAGTTTTCACCAGAAACATTACAGTATGAACAATGCACATTAGAGACAGAAGTCATAGCCAAAGCTGCTTGGTCAGTGAACCAGAGTTAACAGACAGAGGAGTCCACCTGCTGATCCAGAAACACATCAAGATGCTTCCGTTGGGTTACAGACTGACGTCTGGGCCACCGCTTCCCGTCGCTCCAACGTCTGATGCTCCACATGACACATTTGGCACCTCGAGGACATATAAAAACGGTAAAATGTGCTTTACAGTCTTGTAATTCTTATAAACGAATTCAGCCGCGTGGTTCCTTTCCCTGAGAGAGACGGGAAACAGAAAGAGGAGGGGGGACGAACAGACAGGCGAGCAGACGAAGGGTCTCCCCTGAGGAACATTTCTAAAGACAATTTATATATTTTGGAGAGATAAAACATCTGCCTGTTTGTTCTTCTCATAAATTTTCCAGTCAGTTTTACTGGCTTGTCTCAGCCACCGTCTTTCTGTTCATGCTGTGTGTGGGTTCTTTCGTAGTGTGCTCCCTGTCCTCAGCTTTGGACAAGTGCTTCAGACAGCTGCGTTCTTATTGGGTCTTTGAGGGCACCGGAGGCCTGATTCGCCTTTTGCTCTTGCCCTTAAATTTTAGAATGCTTTTGTTTCTTTACCTGCTGGCTACAGTAACTGTTGGATTCCTAAAAATCGCTGCTGACCTTAAATATTCTCCCAGCCAAAAATTATTTTTTGGAGTAGAAAGGAACGTCCACATGATGGTTGGTTTCCTGCTGAAGTAGATTAACTTACCAGCCACATACAAGTTTATCAGCATTTGGCTGACAGTTATTTGGTGATTTTCCCATTTCCCGCTCGTAGCCGACCACTATCTCTGCCTGTTCTTCAGGATGAAGTCCTCCTACTCGATGGAGTGACAGTTATGTTTTTGGGTTCACTTCCAGCCGTTCATTTCTTTTAGCTTGCTGATGCTGGTCCCTTTGATAGGTGTGGAGGGTGGGGGGTTGTAAAGAGGCAGGGTTGGTGTGCTACATTCTCGTGTCCACAGCTTCTCTGTGGGGATTGTCCACACGGTCCGAGACGACTTCTTCTTTGTCTTGTCTGTCTTCTCTTTAGAAGTACCAGGGGACATGGACTGGAAAGGGAACAATGACAAAGCAGGATTAGGGTGACATAAAGGACCTTTGAACTTGACTGACGGGGAAAGGTGCTACTTTATTACAGAGTCAGTTTACCCACTAAATAATATTACCTTCCACTTTCTATCCAGTACATGCAACCCACTGCCCTAAGTCTGACCTGTCCAGATGCCTTTAGCTCTCATTTTTATTTAGATATAATAAATGTAACATACGCAGCAGCAGAGGGTGAAGCAGCTGAGCTTAGCAGCATTTCGTCCCGTCCCTGCATAGCGGTTCTTTTTCGGCAGCAGCAGGATGAAGGACACAGCCAGAGACAGATGGTAGAAGCTGTGGACATAGGCATAGTCCCACTCCTGCAGTGAAGAGAATACAGCATATCCTATTTAGGGTGGTTTAGGTTATTAACATTAATTCATTTCAACATATGAAGATATGTAACTAGACAGCCGACTGCCTTTTAATAATTGTATATTAATGAACAACACAAAATATTTTGTTAAAAGATAATGCTGCACATGAGCAGCTTCAAGTAGAAACTGGTTAATGGATTTATTATATAGAGAGTATCCGTAAACAACGTTGAAATTGATGATCTAGTTAAACAATGTAAATAAGTGAGAATGGAGCCGTATGGCTAACTAACTGAGACATGATCTTCATCATCATATTTCTGAGTTAGGATCAGTTTTACATTGATGATTGTCACCTCAAAGTAGAAGCGCAGCATCAGAGCGAGAGCGCCGAAGCAGCAGCCTGGGCCGACCTGCTGAGTGTACACTGTCTTCTCTGGATACACCGCCCTCAACTGCTTCATCTTCTGCAGCTGAAATTACAATGACACACACAGAATTCAAGACAGTGATTGATGTGATGGCAAGAGAGAAGAGAAGGGGCAAAGGAAAGAGAAGAAAAGTGGGGGAAACCAGGAAACAATGGAAGAGGAGAAGAGGAAATACGGGATGAAAAGAGAAGAAGAACAAAAAACTCCAACTCACCAAATCGGACTATAAACAATAACTTGACATTGTCTGACTTGACACAAGCCCACTCACCCATTTGACAGTGATGATGAAGACAGCTGATCCGATGGGTCCAGAGTAGATCCCATAGCCCCAGCGATCCTGATAGGTCCTCACAGCGGTGGTCAACACTCCAAACATGGTTATACTGGAGCGTTGGGGTTCATCAAAGTCCCCCAGAGCTGGAACAAGGAGACACATACTGCATGTGAGACAAGGGTTTTCAAACCTTTTCATCCAGATACTTCCAGGTGAAAACGTTTTTTATTCAAGAGCCTGGGCACAACAGATGGTTTGCATTGTGTCCATTTTAATGAAAAATCTTCTACATTTTTAAGCTGAGGTTGGATTTGATATTTAGCAGGCCATTTTGCAATGAGTACACCTTCCGACAAAGAGGGTGGACCAATCTGTGAAGTCAGCTATTTAAGCATTTGGCCCTCCACAGCACATGATTTAAAGCCCTTGTTACGAAACCTCTGGCTTAGATGGGTCGGTGGGAGAGGAGCAAATGTATTGTGTGTGTGTGTGTGTGTGTGTGTGTGTGTGTGTGTGTGTGTGTGTGTGTGTGTGTGTGTGTGTGTGTGTGTGTGTGTGTGTGTGATGAGAGAGTAACAGCAAGCATGTCTGAGCACATGTGAGCTCAAAGACACAACATATGTTATCAACAACTGTTACAGCCAGAGCTGGTTGTTTATAACCTTGTGCTTGGGAAGTGTAATTGTTGGATATTAACTACTAATTGGTGTTTTCTTTGATAAAGTAATCAAATGGTTTTCTTTAAGCAAATTCATGCTAGCTTTAATTTACACAAAAATACCTGTTAGCAATTTCTAGGTTTTCAATAAGATGGCTTGGAGCTTCTTTCTCAAGGTCATGTCATGATTATGGACACTGGAAGATACATATAGAGACAATGAACGTGCTGGTACCTGCTGCCACCACTAACTAGTCAAACCGAAACACATTCTGTCGCTGTATGTGTGGCAAACTGTATATTAGGACTTACCTATTAGTGTGACCCACATGGAAAGAGCCGTGCCGTAAACACTGAAGTACTCCAGAATGTCGTACCTCATGAAACACAGGATGGAGAGGCCTGGTCCATCACATGCATGGTAGATCTAAAGAAAGACATCCAAGTTCAAGTCAAAGAGACAGTCACAGGCAAACAACCTTTACACATAGTCCAAATTTCACTTTAAGTTGCACCTATATAAAGTATGTGATCAATAATAGGCGTGTCTTTCCCCTTAAAAGACATATACTGTAAAAAAAAACTTGTGAATTGGGTTGACTGTTTGAGTGTTTTTATCAATAGGGAGTGATGCACAAAACATACACGCAGTGATTTGGAGAGATAGCAAAAAAGTAATTTGTCTAGCAGAAGGTTAGACGTTTTGGCCTTGTGTTTCAATATTTGAGTTTAAGTAGCTCTTAGATAGAGGTAGATTATTTATATTTTTTACTACTTAAAATTCTTGAAATCTAAGCATAAGTAGATTTGATAAATTGTCAATGAAATGCCACAGAACCCCACACTTGCTTCTGGTGAGTTAACCAACAAGAAGGCATAAAAATGAAGATCTTCAAATGAGTAATTTTAAAAAACATGAAATCTTCCTATCAGAACCAGAAACAGTCAGTGCTAATTGATTGTTCAGTCACCAAGATTTCCCTCAAACACCAAAATCAGTGAAGTGCGGGCAACACAGTTTCAATCTCACACATCAAAACATAAGCACATTCTCACCGCAGTGAAGAACATGGTGAAGAAGTAGACCATGGCCTCCATGTGGAAGCCCCTCTTGGCAGCCACGCTGGCTGTAGGCAGGAACACCAAGCTGCTGACTGTAGGAAGCAGCATCTTGGCAATAAAGGCACCCATAGTGGAGGGACAGCAAACACTACTCAGATAGAAACTGTGAAGGCTTGTAGATGAAACAATATCCTTTGAGAAGTTCTTTGAAGTCTTTGAAGGTATCTTATGAACAAGTGAAGAAGATAAAAGTAGTAAAAGTTATTTTCTCAATGAGATATCAGGTAGTAAAGTAGATGTTCTCGGGTCCCTTAGTCCTTAATGAGTGAGTCTAGTAGTGAGTGGATGAGCTAGAGAATGCATATACAGGACACATACACTCCCATGCGGGATGAACACACCCAGCTGTCTTGTTTGGCCCTTTAAAGTTTAAATGACCCCCAGGCTGGCAGGTCCACAGAGGCCTGTATGTGCAGTGTCATGGCTGGGCAGCTGTTGCATACCAGTGTTACATGGGAGGGGCTGCGGACAGGGCAAGTCCTAGCATGTCATATTGTATCCATGGACTATTTCAAGCCACGGTTCTATCTGCTACAAATTAATCTCAGTGATTGGAGATTTTTCCTTCCTGATATGATTCTGATACCTGAAATTTGCACATTTGCTGATACGAGTACCGATCTGATACATATGCATTAAAAAAAATTTACTTTTATTATCTAGTTTGACAATAAGACATTTAGCTAGCTATGGCAAACATTACACTACTGGAAAAATGTCAAAGTACTGAAGGGTTTTGGATGGTCCCATTAACAGTCTGGTGTGTGGAACACTGAATCCCACAGATGATGATCTACACCTGCCATAGGACCTATTATCTCTTTATAGAGGACAGAAAGGAGGAAGATTTTCTCACCAGAATTGATGAAATATATAAATAAGTAATCTTTTGTATACAGTTATGGAGTGTCATTTAGTCTATTTAGTCGGCTTTGCAAGGCAACAAAAGGTAAACTTTCAATTTCTGTCTTCATAAATGTTTGGAAAGATTGGTCTCTTGCTGTTGTTTGTTGACAGTTTGTAGTAATTTTTATTTGTTACTTCCTTTGGGGAGTAGATTTTATGTTGGGCTGCTCTTCTTGTGAATTAAACTAGAAAGCTTTTTAAAAAAAAAAAAAAACGAATAAAACAATATGGTGCTTGATTAGATTAAAAGAAACACTAAGATTTTTGTGCAAATTATATTTTAACCAAGTCCAGAGTCCCACACCAAGTCAACAGATGGAATCTTGTAGAGGACATTAAAACAGCTGTCATGGGTTTCTGTTTGTTGTGGCCATGTGACATGGCATTGAGCCCACCCTGCTGAGTTACTCCCATTAAAGACATACACCCAGCACTGGGTAGGGTGGTAAATACTTGATTGCCCCAAAAAGCAAATTTCACTGCCATTTCAGTTCCAGTTTGAGTTTATTTACTCACAGTTGACTCTGTTGTTGTTGCTCTCTTGGCATTTTGGAAAACAGATTCTTGATCATATTAGGTACTGACCTAATAAAGGCCATTTCCATTCATACTTTATATCATAAATGTAGTTCTGGCCCCAAATGCTGCTGTATTCGAATCCAAAGCCCAGCAAAAACAACACCTCTGCAATACTTGAAAGTGTTCTCACATCATCGGCTCAGTGTGGTTCAACAGCTGAAATGGTCAAACAATCAAATCAATCTACCAGAAACAAACTGTTAAAGGGCATGGACATTCTCATATCCCACTCAGCACATCACATGTCCCAGAAAAAGTGACACATCATTTTCCTATTTCAAAACCTGGACAAATAAAAAATGAGAGCCAGTGTAATACAACAAGACCCAAGCTGATTACACAGAATATAATTTGGGCCCAGTCTGACTCAGTTGTCTGTCAGTTACAGGAATCAAGTGGTCCCATAAAGACCTCTTATATCACTAGTAAGTCTATAGCTAAGTCAAGCTAGTTTGAATGTGTTTAAAAAGCAACAATTTCTTAAAAGTCATAAGTTTCATACAAACAGTGGCCATATAAGGCTTATTTCTGTTTGCCTCCTCTGGGTGAAGCCATATTTGACTCTGTACTGCACTGTTGTTCCCAGAAGGGATTTCTATGGATGTCTTAAATGAGCCCATGATGGTGGGGAGGCAGCAGTTGCCCTCCTCTGCTCTCCTCTCAGCTGTTACACCTGCTCAAGGACATGAGGCAGCGACACAAAGGGTGCAGTATTGCTCAGGGGGTTTCACCCCACGCCTCAGATTCTCAGAGTGTTTCAGTAACCCGAGCTGCAAGGGCCTGATAGTTTGGGAAATGCCGCCCTGGCCTAACCACGCCCTCTGCCGGGAACTTCTCTGCAAATGTAACCTTCCTGTTGTGTTTGAAATGTGTCCGCAACCTTTGTGTCCCCATATAAAACAGGCCTGTGTTTATATAGTATAATAAGATATTGTTATAAAGTAGTTTGTATTTTGTAAGGTGGACATATAAAAACACTTAGCTCAGCATACTGAAATAAGTGACATTCTTGTAGCTGAACTGGCTCCATGGTGGTTGCAGGTCACTTTTAGTGACCTTTGGGTTCCCACTGCAGTACCCAGCAGGGGGTTTGCCACTTTCTGTGAGAAGAATGTGCATGTGTCCAACCCACCTGTGGGCGGAAAGTAATTTGCTACAGTGATGCAGTACAGCGAGTCTTGGTACCACTGTCATTGGCAGCATGAGATAGATGACCTTAGATGACCCCACCCCAAGCCCACACTCACCCTTCAAGACCTGAAGAGGTCCTGGGTCTACTTTGGAATGTACCATGTGAAAGTGGGAGAAAGCCTAGAAGGTTAGAGGCCCTGACATACTCCTCAATGGATGCAGACTTGGACAGCAGGGTGGACAGTGGCTGCACATAGTTCTGTTTATACTTTGTTAGGTGTCTGTGTTTTGGGACATGTACACATGTACAGTCTGTAATAGTTTAAATTCTGGGCTGCTGACCCTTGTGTGTACACTGACATGGAAGATCGATTGATACTGGATTCTTGAGGTCAATACTGGTATAGCTATTCAGGAGTTTAAAAAATCTGATAATGACAAATACCATCTAGAGCCAGTGTTTGGTTTGTCCCTTCTGGGTTAAGGTAGAATTCTAATTTAAACATAACAAAACAACAATTTCTATATTCAGGTGATTATACACTGATGTATATAGTTATATTATGCACATAGTTATCAATATTATATTCCATTTCCAACAGATTCCCCTGAATGTTTAATATCAAGGAACAGAAGGAAATGCTTGTGTGCAAAATTACAATAATTACAAGTGATGTGACTGGGTGGCATATTTAAAATCTCCCCAATAAACCCTGCATTTTATTTAAATGTTTTACTCAATAACAAAATATTTAAGAACTAGTGACAATTGCTGGTTCTAATTAAATTATTTGGAAAAAATATGAACATCTGTTCATGAGAATGAGAAAAATGAGATGGAGATGTGAGATGGGTAAATTAGTCAAATGTTAATTTTCTATGGTGCGTCATAGTAAATTATTACAATCTAACAGGACACACTATTTTCCACCAGTGACTGTCCTGACATCGATATTCACTCGAGTAAAAAGTTAATCTGCAGCATCTCAGTCAGGATGGATTTACGCTTTTAGACTCAGTAAATGTCTTGTTAATCTGGATTTTTGTGGCGGTGAAATGTGAGGACCCTCAGTTCTTCTTGTCCAGGAGAGTTTGTGGCCCGTGGTGACTTTCACCTCAGGACCCCTCAGTCTAAACACGGCGGGTTAGTGTGGGAACTTAGAACAGACTTCCTGGATGCATCTGAAAAAAACACCGGGCTTCCTTTTGATTCAGTAATAAATAGCTGTGACCTCTGACCCTCAGGCTTCTTTCACAAATAATTGGAGGGCAGTGCTTATGTTTCAGCCAGCCAGTCACTCAGGACAAATGGGAACCAGTGTGAGTGGAGCATTTCACCTCAGTTCTGGTGCTATTACGTTGTCAGTTAATGGTCATTTTAAAACCGTGACCGTGTTATTTTTGTTGCTTTTTTATTCATCCGACATTTTATTTTCATTCTTTGTTTTGATTTAGATTCCAATAAAACCCCCCATTTGCTCTTTTAATTATATAAAACAACTTACTAAGCAGGAAATGATATTTTTCCTTCAGTTTCCCTTGCAGAGACTTTTGGCCGTTCTTCTCCTTCATCAAACTTTAATTAAAAGCTAAGCCTTGTTGTTCTCTCGAAGCTGTCGTTTGAAGGATAGTTTTAAAAATCTTAGACCAAAAACGGCTGTCCACAACAGTTTAATGCACATGAGTGAGGTAATGTTTAAGATTATTCAACAAGTCCATCTAAAAACTATTCATAGCGCAAAATTAAAATTATCGCACATAATGGGTTAATTAAGGTGTGGAAACAAGTAACAGCAATATTTTTAGGTTTTCCTTGAAGTAATACTTTGCAATGAAATTAGTTTAAATTGTGTCTGATCATGTTTGACAGAAGTGACGATTCCAACATTTTCATGAAGGAAAAAGTCTGCACTGATAGTTGATCACACATTCACATTCTGTAGTGATTCAACTTGGCTCCAGTTCAAAATGTCTTCCACTGCAAATGCTTCAGAGAAGCTCCCTGTTTCCCAGGAAATGTTCTGAGCTGTACAGGAACTGAGGCGTTTCATCTTTCCAACAGACAAAAAAAAAACTGCTGGTTGTTTGGACTAAATGTAAGAAAGTAGGAAAGAAGCCAGCCGGAGTCTACAATGAGTGGGTTTTTAGTACAAAATGTCAGTTCAGTGCTGATATCAAGGCACTGTATCACCAGAATGAAGAATTTAAGAGCTCTTGCAGAACATTACAATCTCTACATTGTTTAAAATCCACCTGAAGACAGTAGTTCCAGCAGGTAAATGATGTTCTATATCAATATTTGGCTGGACTTAACTATTGCAGAAATACTGATGTGGTTTAACTGACTGAAACCAAACAGCTATGTTAGCCCAACAAAGTTTAAAATAAGGAAGACTATTTTCCCTTTTCTTGTTTGGTGTTCTATAATATGATATATGCGGTCTGTGTGGGCTTACTTTGAAAACAATGGGTGCTGGTGTTCGTATTCACAGTCGTGTTTTGTTGCCCATTAGAGAGTGAGAAAAACTAATGACACTGCATCTACTGCCCCAAACTCAGCTGACCTTCCAGGTTTTCTTCTTTCTTTCTTTAATCTATTTTTCCATCCAAGTGTTTTCAGGAAGAAGTGTGTTTTGTTTCACACGTTTTAGAGTGAAGCTTTTTTTTATTTCATTTCTTTCCTCTTTCTGCGGTTGTGTTTATAACGCCTTTAATTGCTCTTTTGTCTGCATGCGCCAACCCTAATGACTCCAGACTTTGTTTGGCATGCTGCAAATGGGCACACACAAAAACACACCCATGGGAGTATAAGACCTCGTGCAACATATTATCTCTATAGCTTTTTTTTTTTTTTGGCTGTGTTGAGAGCGGTGGGCTTTAATTGGTGGTGATGGTGGGCGGGGCTTATTATTCTGGTCTGGCAGCCTTCCTGGACTTAGTCTATCAGTTTATAAATCTGGCGATGTAGCAGAGCGGCGACTAATGTACCCAACAGACTCACCGGCAGCAGACTTTGAGGAAGGAGAGAATTGGATGGAGGAGGATAAGAGGCCATGAAGGGATGGAGAATGAAAGTCAAAGAGATCAATACATACGCATTTGAAACTCCAGGACCTGGATTATTAAAATGCATCAGTAACCAGAAGTGTTGCTTAATCATCAGGGACTGAAATCTTAAGGATTATAACATACACAAAGTCTGTGTGAATGTGTACTGAGCAGTATACATAGAACAGAATTAAATGAGAGATAAAGAAAGAGAAAAGAGAGTAATTGAGAGAACAAGTGCAAAGCTGCAAAGAGACAGCTGTAGAAACAGAGAAGTGAAGAAAGGAGTGTGACTGAAAGAGGAGAGAAAGAAACAGAAATAGGAAGAGAAGGAGGGGTGAGAAAAACAGCAGCAGAAAAAGATAGAGAAAAACATGAGAAAGAATAGAAAGAATTGTAATAAAGCCAGAGGGTGGGAGACAGACAGACAGACAGATGAGGAAAAGAGGGGAAGACGACATGGTGGGCAGACATGGTGGTCCTGAGACGTCTGCTTGTCCTCCTCTCATCATTCACTCTTCTCTCTTCGCCTCTCATTCCTCCGTCTGAATCACTGTCCTCCCATCTGTTTCTGGCTTCCTCTGTGTTTCGGAGAAGGAAGATTCCCGGTTCACTATCGATTAAAGAAGTATTACACAAAACACAAATTATTTCTACGTCTACTTAATTCAAACTGAAGACAACAAGAATTTGGTATTGATGTGAAGAACTAGTTCTTAACTCCAAACGGTTCTTTATTTATGATAACTGGGTTTCATCAAGAAACAGGCTTTTACATTCCACTTCACAAATCCTGAAAGGGAAGTCAGTCAGTGCATTTACAGTTGATTGCCATGCATGCTCCAGAGTGTTCATATAATAAGGATCATATAATAAGACAGTGACATGTAACCACTGAAACAAAATAAGTAGATTCAGGGAGGAGTAAGTTTACAAATACAACATTTTGATGTCCCCAATTATAGTGATAACTAAAGCCTGGCATATTAATGGCTCATATTAGCTTATATTAGCTTTATAGTTTCTAACTCAGTGTGTATGTAGTGTGACTATTATATAGATAGTCTACTATAGAAAACTGACATATACATAACATATATTGGTCACACTACATGAAAAAAAATGTTTTAAGGGATCCTCATTACAAAGTTAAATTAAAATATTTATATTTTGTGTTTATGTTAGAAAATTAGTGGTGGACAATATATCTTATATAACTCAAATATCAATATGTCCTTCGAGCTCCCAGTCCGGGTACAGTCAGCTAATTGGACCGCTAACTAGCTACTGCAGCAGCTAGTACAGTAAGCATATGAAACATGTTGCAACAGTCCCCGGATACTTTCGTCCTGGTAGCAAGGCGCAGCTCCTGAACGGATTTTGACATTGTTTGTGTTTTTCTGCAACTAATGAAAAGTGGGTCGCCAAAGACTCTTCTCAGCGGCTAACGATTAAGTCGACTATTAGGGGGCAGCCCTACAGGAAAGAAGTGGTAAAGTAGTAAGGTCCGCCTCTTGCTTGATTTAATGGATTGTCTGGGCCAAGTGTGACATTGACGGGCAGCGTGACTGTGTGCCTTGCGCTGTAAAGATGAAAATATTTTAACTTTTATGTGCGCCTAAAAACGGCTAGAAAACGCAACACGAGAGCGGAGTGCGCGCCAGTCACGTACCATAGGAAAATAATGGTTTTGCAGGGGACGTGTTTCTGTGTGATTGGCCCCTTATGTCTGCCATCTCACTGGAATACCTGTGTCCACTGGCTCTTCATACTGAGCTCGTGTTTATGTATCCACTTCACCAGATTGTGCAGGCTCAATGGGGAGTTGGCAGCATTTTCTCATTGCGAGTTTGTATCTGTCTATAGATGTAAATTATGTAAATATGATTTTTAACCAGCTTCTCTAGTGGCAACTTGATCAAATCTCCTATGGAGGGCTTTCATCTTGTGTAAAATACGCCATCTACTACCTGTTTCTGGCATCTTTTCCTTCTTTCTTCTTTCTCTACTTCTTAAACTACTCCTACTTTATGATGGCATCTGTCACCTGTTACCATCATCAGACTTCATCAGTTGAAGGACAAAAACACAAAATTCTTCCTGGTTCTTTCCACAAACATAAAATAATAATTTTACCTTAATTTTCCCATTTTGCTGTGTAAGATTCAGGGGCATCTAGCTGTGAAGTTGCAGATTACAAACATTTGAATAGCGCTCAGCCTTCCAAGCATGAAAGAGACACTAAGGTGGCCGTAGAAAACACAAGGCCAGTGTTTGTTTTTTTCCATTCTGAGCTACTGTCGAAACGTGGCGGTGTTAAACACTGGACTTTAAGACATGAAGTGAGAAAAAAACGGAAGCAACAAAATATCAACGCTGACATGAAGCTGACTGGGGAATCAATAATTTTGTCATTGTTTTAAGGACAGTACAGACATTAGCAACAAAATGAACCCATCAATACTCTTTATTTATTGGCTCCAAAAGGAAACCCTTATCCGTGCAACCTGAGAGAAATGAATGAGAAAGTTTCCTCCGGAAACTGATGATTCAGCTCATTATGGAGTCAGAGGACCCGAGGGAGGAGAGCACTGTGGGAAATACTGAGTTCTCCTTCTTCAATCTGTCTGTTAGTCTGTGTCTTTGTCAATTTGTTTGTCTGTCTTACAGAGTGACACTCTTCACCCCATGGACAGATTTATAAGGAGAGATGGAGGCAGACGGCAGGATGGGATAAAATTCAAGTACATTTAGACATAATATTAACATGTAAAGTTATATAAAGTTTGTATCTCCAAATGTGCTTCAGTAGACTTGAGATGCTACATTAATAAACACAGTCTGATTTAGAGAAAACAGTCAGAGAGAATGAAAGAGCAGCCAGCCAGGGTTGCTCCTGTTTTTTTTTTCTCTAACTCCTCTGATCCTCCCACCTTCTCCCTCTGCTGCCACTCTGCTGCTCCTGCTGACTTGGGAGGAGGAGGAGGAGGAGGAAGAAGAAGAGGGATGCAGGGAGAGCACACCTTACCTCCCTCCCTCCCTTCCTCTCTTTCTTCCTACCTCTGTCTGTCTCTCCCTCTTCACTCCACAGCGACAGCAGCACTCACTAACACACCACAACACACCACCGCTGTCGCTGGCACGCTAACACACACACACACACACACACACACACACACACACACACACACACACACACACACACACACACACACACACACACACACACACACACTGAGCGGCATCCTCAACACAGACAGAGACGCCCTTGGACTGCTGCAGGCGAGGTGAGTGGGTAAATATTTGAAACCTCCTCTGTGTGTGTGTGACTGTGTGTATAGTGTGTGAGAGTTTGTGTAAGTTGTGTTAAGTTTGTGTGCTTCATTGTGTATTTTGTGATTCAGTGTGTGTGCATGTTCTTGTGTGTGTTCATGCACGTGTGTGTCTGTGTTGGCTGTTTGCATGTCTGCATGTGCTGGTGTGGTTTGCATCTGCTCTCTGTCTGTCTGTGTGTGTGTGTGTGTGTGTGTGTGTGTGTGTGTGTGTGTGTGTTTTACGAGGTACACTAGAGCCAATGAGACTTGTTTTGCACCAGACCAAAACAAATCCACAAAATAATGCTGACTCTCTTTCAGAAGTGTGTGTGAGTTTGTGCATGTGTATGTGTGTGAAGAGGCCAGTCTGTCTGGAAACTTGTCAGCTGTTGGGAGTGTGTGTGTGTGTGTGTGTGTGTGTGTGTGTGTGTGTGTGTAAACTGGTGAGGTAGAGGCTAACATTCGTGCCAGTGCTACTTGTCAAACTGTGGATTAGGGTTTTTGTGGTTCTAAACTCTTTCAGAGAATTACAGGATAGAATCTCCCCACATTTTGCCTGTTGAGTTTCACTTTAAAAACTTACTAAACTTACTCTTAATATTATAAAATATGTCATCTGTGTACACAAAAAGACTAACATCAAGGACATTGTGGGTCAATATTAAAGTTAGGAGTCACTTCAGACTTTGGAATCATTAAATATAAGATGATATCTTATATCATTGACTCAATTATATACTTAAAAAACACTTTGGTTAAAAAGAGTTTGTTAGATATTTAGGTTACATACAACCAGAACTACACTCCAGTTGCCAGTTTATTGGGTTCACCTAGCTAAAACTAATGCAGTCTGCAATAAATTCTACCTTCATACTTTCCAGTAGGCCTATGCATTGTATTGCATTCTCAGATAGGTCTTTTCAGTAAATTGTGACCAGTATCATCTTCTGTCCTATGTGTCAGTTCTGATACTGAGTCTAAAAGTGGCTGCAAGCTTTACAGTAAAATCTTAAATGATTACGCTGCTAGCCGCATGACAAGCTAACCTGAAACTTCTTCACAACTGAAAGAATAAATGTAAGTGGAAATCTGACAAGTAGACTTGGTTGCACTTCACACTGTTTGGCTGAACTTCCATTTTAGTTTGTCACTGTAAAATTAATAAATGAGTGCAGTACTGACTATCAAATGTTACTCTTACAGCCAAAGGGCATACACCACCCAAAATCTGTTTTTAGTATGAAACTACTCATCCTATGTAGACTTAAAAGGTGGCTGTAAACAGCTTGGATTCAGACAGCGAATTCTATCAATCACAAGTTTTATGTATAGCAAAACATCCATAGAAACTTCTCAAACCACTCTTGCAGCATAATCCACTTTGCCGCTGTCCATGTGTGTGCTCTGTACGTTCCAAACAGTTGTTGTTTTGCCTAAATATAGCTAAATACACTGGTTGCGCCTGGGCAAGTATTGCAATACAGAAGTATTTTCTCTTTCGATTTTCTGTCGCTGAAGTTAACATTTCTGCAGGGGGCGCTCTTACCCTGCATTTATTGAGACTACTACTTACAATAACATAATTTGACTTCAGTTTATGGACAAAACCATTTTCATAATGAATATACATAAAGACTGCAGTCATTGTGGAGTGTGGAAATAGGTAAAAGTCTGTGCATTTTTGCAGTGGCAGCATTGTGTGCTTTACCACTGTGCTATTAAACTGCACAGACTTGCTCCAAGAAGTCTGGTGGTCAGACAGCCCACTAATGGGCTCACTTGCCTTCGCAAAACCTGCTCGGGAGTAATTTCGTTTTTGTTTCATTGCGAGTGAATGTGACACAGATGAACGGAGCTTGGTTGTTTTCCTGGGAAAGCCAGCCCTGAAGACTGAATCAATAAATAGGTCAGAGTTCAAGTGTGAGCAATCTACCCTGGCTTCTGTTTGCCTCAGGGGCAACTAAACTCCGCTGACCTCTCCTCAACTTCTCAGACTGCCTTGCGTACGCGTCCTCTGAGTCTTTCCTTCTGTCACTTTCTCCTTCTCACTCTGTCGCTTTATCCATCAGCATCTCTCAAACCAATTCAGTTCAGTTCATCTGTATAGCGCCAAATCATAACAGCAGTTGTCTCTGCACACTTTTTTAAAAAGAGAGTCTAGACTGTACTCCTTATAAAATTATTTACAGAGACCCAACAATTCCCATCTCTTTATCTGTCTGCCCTGTCTGTCTTTTGGCTCTCATGGTCTTTCTTTGTATACAAGAGGCCGAGGAGAGCACCGATCCATTTTCCACTTTGCATGTGTGCTTGAGAGGAGACTGCCACTGAGGAAAAAGAAGAGTGTTGGCTCATGGAAGCAACACTAATCACCAATATGTTATATCACTTTTTCATGTCATAAATATTGAAAAACATTTAAACTATGTTGTGGTTTTCATACAAATCTAATCAACAAAATTGTCTCAACCATCTAACTATCTATCTCTCAAATGAAACTATGCATATTACTATTGTGACTTTCCATAACCACCATGTGACTGCAATGTCCTGTGTTTAAAGCTGGCCTGGAACATTTCCTGTCCTTCTGTCTTTCCTAGCTGTGAACTGCTGTTTTAGTAGTTATCGCTTCTCTCTGAAACATTAGGCCAAGCTCAGGTAGAGCAGGTCATCCTCTTATCTCAGGGTTGGGTTGCGACCCCTGGCTCCTCCTGTCCACATGTCATTTGGCAAGACACTGAACCCCAAATTTTGTATGGTAATGTAGGAATGAGAGGTGAATTGTAAAGTGCCTTGGATTAAAGGACTATGTAAATACAGTACATTTATCATTGCAGCCCTCAGCTGTGATGACTTCTTGTTGATGATTGGTTTGTGGTCTAGTCTACAGACCAATATTCTTTTGTCCAGGTCTCATGGGAACGTGATATCAATATTTCTTTATTTATTTCAATATTAATGTGGACTAACTACAGTGTCTGGCAACTCACAATGGATGAAAGCGTAGCAGTGTGGTCTCCTTTATGGTTATGGACAGTGTACACTAGTTTGCCAAAGGTATGTGGTCTAGTCTACAGATATGGGAACATTTTATCAATAATTCTTTATCTGCTTCTCAGTGAGCAAAAGTATAGAAGTCTGACTTAGGAAATATGTAAACAAACATATAACATATAAATGCTGATATATGTTGGTTAAACTGTGGTAACAGAATCTCATTGTTCCCTCTTCAGGAATACATGCTGTCAAGATACTGTATGTGTACTAGCAATATTAAAAGCAGTCTGTAGTGAACTCCGGTTTCTTTCTTTTTAAACAGCAGCAATCAATTCATTAATGTTGACCATTGTGCTTGCTGCACAGCACTAACTACAGTGTCTGGCAACTCACAATGGATGAGAGTGTAGCAGTGTGGTATGGACAGTGAACGCTAGTTTGGCAAAGAGATTGAGTGTCGACTGCCCCTTATCCTCACAGTTAGTTTATTCAGAAATGGTTATTTGGATTTGTTACATGTGCAAGACATCGTCTTCTTTTCCGTCACTTCTAGATCCATCTAGATTTCCATCTTAAGAAAGCCACACTAATGTCCCCAGTGTCCATATCCATCCATATTTTGCATTTTGTTCCAATAAAACTATCGATCATTAAAGTTGATTAATTGTCTGTCAGTCTACTGACTGAATAATCGACTCATCATTTCAGCGCTACCTTATTCTAAACCTGCAAAACATTTTCATTTAATTGTATGATATTCACATTACAGATAACCAACCATGCCTGGCTGATATCCAGTATTAGATAATAAAAGTCCAGTATTGGTCTGATATATCGGTCTGACTGCTCTGCTCCAGTCCAGGCTCCCAGGGGACAGACTACTGCTGTCTGTCTGTCTGCTGAGGCTGCCAGCGCTACAAAAACAAGACAGCGAGGCGAGGGGCCCCAGGGGGCTGTCAGGGTGGGGACGGCACAGGGGTGAGGGAGGGGGAGAAAGGGAGGATGAGAGGACTGTGTTTACTTTCGTCCTCTGTGCCTGCCGTGCCCAGCTGGCTGGGAAACGACAGCAAAGGGGAGGAGGAAGGAGGAAGACCCTGTCTGGATGAGCAAGAGGCAACAGGCCGATTGTTGTGTGCGTATGTGTGTGTGTTAGCCAGAAAGACCCATAGAGAGCATGAGATGGAAAGATTCTGGATGTTTGGGCGTGTTTCTCAATGGGCGCATGAGCTTCTGTATGTGTGGACTTCCAGTTGAAGACATGTCTTCACTTTGCCAGAATGAGGACATTGTAATAAAGTGTGAACATTTTAGCAAATGAGGACATTCTGGTAAACTGAGGCCATTATGGCAAAATGAGGATAGTTGACCAAAGTGAGGACACTGTCATGAAGTGAGAAAGTTTCAACCAAGTGAGAACTTTCTGGCAAAGTGAGGACATTGTACCAAGATGAGGTTATTTTGGCAATGTCAAGACATTGTCGAAACTGATGGCATCGTTGTATAGTGAGGACATTATGACAAAATGACAGTGATTCAGCGAAATGAGGACACTGGCGAAATGGGGAAAATTTACCAAAATGAGGACATTGGTGCAAAGTTAGGATGTTTTGGCAAAGTGAGGACATGGTGTAAACAATGATGATATTTCAGCCACATGGTAAAATGAGTTGGGTTGAAAAAATTGTTGTGGACATTGTAGACATTTTGGCCAGTCCACACTGTTGAGGGGCCATTTGAGGGCAACAGCTTATTTTTAGGTCATGGTTTGAACTTAGGTTTAAGTCACTGTTAAGGTAGCTGTGATGACAAATGTTAGGGTTATGGAATAGGGAAAGCATTATATTGTATCAATCAATGCAATGATGGTCCTCTCAAGTATTGCCGTAAAATGGATATACCGGTACATGTGTAAGCAGCAGAGACCTCTGTCATGTGTAAGCAGCAGAGACCTCTGTCTCTGTGTGAGCCACTAGTATGAGTATGAGAAAGTCTGTGACTGTGTTCGTTTCTGAGTGTGTACATTCAGGCTAGGGCATTTGCATACCTGTGCACATGGCTCAAGCTTGAGTATGAGCGTGCACGGTGGGCAACACGTGTGTGTGTGTGTGTACTCAGTCACGCCATTGGCTGAGTGTATACACATGTGCAGCTGTGTCTGTGAGTGTGTGTGTGTCTGTGAGTGTGTGTGTGTTTGGCAGCTGGCCGGACTCCAGCTGTGTCTGGTTGGATAATGAAGTCCAGGTGCTGCTGCGCCTGCTTTAAGACACCTGTCACCAATATTTAGTGCCAGAGAAAGCCAGACTGCAAACAGGGCGAGACGAGCTGTTTGCTTATTTTAACAAGGCTGCCTAACTGGACCTGAGGACACGGGATGTACTATGAATCCTTTTCTAGAAGCTCTGTCTGTGTGTGTGTGTGTATAAGTATATGTGAACATATGTGCAGCACAGAGCCTCCAGAAACCATTCAAGTCAAACAATCTTTTACCTACTAAACTTTTCAACTGTAGTGTTGAAAGGCCCCTAGAAAGTTCTCAAATTACCCCTATAGCATGACTAACCAGTATTCATTTTTAAAGTTTTTTTTTATTTTATTTGATAGAGAGGCAGCTGGAGATAGACAGGAAGGGGGTGCAGAGAGAGAGGGGATGACATGCATCAAAGGGCCGCAGATTGGACTCGAACCCGGGCTGCTGCATATATGGGTCGCCAGCTCTACCGACTGAGCTAACCCGGCCCCCTTCAGTATTCATTTTTATGCTCAGTATGTTCCCTACTTTTGTATATTTGTATTTAATATATATTTATAGTTTATAGTTAATATAAATGTGACAAAAACGTTTTTGTTTGTCGCTTAGTACCAGTAATTAGCTGTACTTCTACATCACATCTTTTTTTCCTGATGGTAAATGGTATATTTAGAAATATAACAGTACAATACGTTTAATGGTGATCATGAGCTGTGTTTTCACATAGTGATCATACAAATTGACAAAAGAACATTATTATTAATTATCATTAAGAGTAGTTTGAGAAGTTTCTATGGAACGTCTTTTTTTAGATTTGTGTATTTATTTTTTGGCAATGAAACTGTGAATCCAAGCATCCACAAAGGAGCAAGATACAAGCTTTTCAGTGCTGCCGTTCTGCAGACTGCTGGGATAAGTGTCTCTCTAAACATAGGTTTTTGGTTCAGTATTACTTTCAAATCAAAGCCTTCATTGAGTCATTAAACTCGTATATACAACTACCCTCCACAGGAAAAGGAGTCTGTCTGTGCCTGTTCATGTTATCCTTTACATACAGACATCTACATTTCCTTATAGTCTGAAGAGCCAAACAAAGGCCTACCTGTGTAAAGTTCTAGGAAACTTACCTTCATCCTTCCAGCACATTGGGGCTTGTTTAACTTTTACACAGGCCCCTCCACTGTCCAACTCCTGTCTCCAACACCTGTGGCCTCTCAACAGCCTGTCTGTGTCACCCTCTACATGCCAGCGCCAGCCCGCCATGGACTGCCAGCACATTCAAATACCTGTAGCCGGCACGCTGGTTTTGGCGTGAGTGTGCATTGTCTGAGAAAATGCCCTTCACTTGCCGTGCCGTTGTTTCGCAAGCATTTCTCTGACGTGCTTGGAAACCCGACAGTACATACTGGGTTACATTTGTAGCAGGGTTTACCTGATGCTGTAATCTGGAACATCTTTCAGCTACCAGCTTTATATGCACTCACAAGATACGACTCCAATGCAATAATGTGAGTCAGACCGGACCTTTATAAACACTTATAAACACTGTTTACGAAAGTGCATTTAAGACGCTGTTAGACAAAGGAAGAATCCCTGTAGGGGGACTCGGTATGAAGGGTTAGAAGAAACAGATCGAGGGATCAGGAACAATCAAACAAACAAGGTAAAACTTTAGATGTGTTGGTATGCATGTTTTTGAACTATTTACGGAGTCAGGCTTGCTTTTTCCAGTCTTTATGCTAAGCTAGGTAACCATGTTCTGACTAAAGCTCCATACTGCACATGACGTGAGTGATAACAATCTTCACATCTAAATCTTGGACAGAAAGCAAATACGTGTATTTCCCAAAATATTAAGTTCAGTTTGTTTTTCATCTATTTTTGAATTGTCAATTGTCAAAATGTGAAAATGGGTTGGATTCTGCTGTCATCAGGCCATCAAAATGAATTTCTGCTGCAAAATCAGTGAGATACAGCAACTATGCTCTCTGCACCTCATTAAGTGTTGGATGTGTGTCCATTTTGTGCTGTAAATAGTCTCTGTACTGCTCTTGTAACTTAATAATCAACACTGACAGGATTTACTGTCAAACACTCTCCTCTCTGTGCAAAGGCAAAAGACAGGAGCAGCACTTCAGGTATCCCCCCTAAACAACCACAGATGTTCTTTGGGGGAGAGAGATTTCACTGGAGAGTCAGAAAGGAAATATTACGACCACAAATGTGTTCTCGTGGCGTAAAAAAATCCAACTTCAGGCCTTTCTGTGGGTTTGGAAGCTGAGAGGCCTCAATTTGGAGAGGGAAAAGACATGAAAAAAACACCCACACATCTCAGCAGTATGCTTTCATCTACAATTCACATAAGTGCCTGGACGTGGGTTTTTAATGCCACGAGAACTCATTAGTGGTTATGATATTTCCCTTCATACCCTTCAGCCTTTGTTAGACTCATCACTGGGTGAAACAGACAGATTTCTGGCCGAAATTCCCTCCATTAATCAAAACATTGGCTGCTCTGTGTTTGGTGAAAACTGTCACGTGTATCTGGTCTGGGTGTTGAGTGCTTGAGAGGTTGCTGATTTCTGGCAGTTGATTGTCTATCATCACAAACAGGACACAAGGCAGTACGGTGTACCTTCACATTTACCCAACAGTTTTCTCAAATGTTTCAGTATTTCATTACCACACATTGAGAAGAAAATGCAATCTTTAGAAATCTGGGTTTCCTATGACAGCAGAGATGTTTTACTTATCTTTCATAACTATATGCTTTATACACTCTTCACAAAAGTCAGGGGTCAATTACAGAACAGTGCCTGGTGGAACTGGTCTAGGTTCAGTTCACCAGATATTTCTTTTTTTGTTGTGCACATATTAAACCAGTCTTTATTTCTTTATCTCTTTCTCTGTTTAACCAGGATGAGGTTGTGGTCATGGGAACAGTGCGGGGAGACGGGCGTGGTCCTGTTGGGCTTCCTGACGCTGGCAGTGTCTGTGGGGAACCTGTCCACCAGGGGGCTGCAGGTACATAGGAAACAGGAAATCTCTCTGCTAATGTAACAAAAAACACTGCGACTTAAATGGTAAATGGACTGTACTTATATAACCTTTCTTGTCTTCCGACCACTCAAGGTGCTTTACACCACACGCCACATTAACCATTCATACAGTGATGACAAAGGCCCACACAAACAATTAGTGGACGATCCGCTCTACCTTCTGAGCCACAGCCACTGTCTTTTGGTTGTCTAATAAACATGAATCAGACACCTCTCACTGGATTGTGATGACACCAGATGGACTGAGCTGTGTCATTTCAGAGAAGTATTCTGAGATTTTGGGAAATTTAGATGTAAATGTGGCTGAAAATTGAATCAGGTTTTGTCCAGCAATAACTCTAGATGTGTAGGAAGCCTAGGTGAAACTGTGGCCACTGCCAAGTGTAGTAAAAGACCAATACAACACTAAACATGCCCATTTTCAATCAAACTGAGTGTAGAGGAAGGACTCACATAATTGAATATGCATAAAGCATCATAATAAGACCAGTGTTTGAACTTAAGTATATCAATTGTTCAATCCAACCTTCAACAACTCTATTACATACAGTTATAGATACAGTAAATACATTGTCTGGCCAGTGTTACTGGGACTGTCTACTATAGCTCACAAGTGCTGAAGCTCTCTATAAATTTGTGCAGACAAAATCACTTGCAATGTTCACACCTGTTGACATTTTCCCTCAGACATGACAAGTTTGGAAGCAAAGGTTCCATCACAACAACACCCACCTCCTCAGCCGTGACATTAAAGCTGAGGGAAACATCAGAGATCAGTCACAGCATCCATGACCATGACTTTTTGAGTTTGACTTTACTTTAGGTAATCTTCTCTTTCATTGAGTATCAGTAGGTCAGTGAAATGACCACAGAGCTAGCCAGAGCTTTTGTGAGAATGTCAGCTAGTAGTGGTGGAAAGTAACCAAGTACATTTACTCAAGCACTGTAGTTAACTACTATTTTGAGGTACTTTTACTTTACTTGTTTCCATTTTCTGCCACTTTATTTCAGAGGCAAATATTCTACTTTTAACTCCAGTTAATTAATTTGCATTCAACCATGTGGATACAACCAAAGAGAATCATCATCATCATCAACTTCATCAAATATGGTGAACTGTTGAGAGATTGTTATTATTATTATTTTTTCCTTTTCATGGGCTAAGGTGCAGTCTGAACAGATGCGTTTTTTAGTTTGCGATGCATCAATAATTATAATCCAAAAATATTATATACATTATTCGGAAATGGGCCATTCTGCATAATGAGTAATTTTACTTTGATATGTAAAGTATGTTTTGATGCTAATATTTTTGTACTTTAACTTAAGGAAATTTGAATGCAATCACTTGTAACTACGTATTTCTACACTGTGATATTGCTACTTTTACTAAAGTACAATTTCTGAGTACTTCATCCACCTCTGCCAGTTGGTAACTAAGTGTGCCAGTCACGTCAACATAATTAGTTACTTTATTATTGATCTTGTGTATTAATCCTATTTTCCAAGCAGAAATCTGAAACTTATTGATTTTCAAGTAGATATACAATAGACTCTTATTATTTAAACGTTGTCTGCTTGATGTGCTACAAGATTTCCACTTCTACAGGCATCTCTTACAGGTACAGTAATGTTACTTCATGGAAATGTATTCCTTCATTTAGAATACCACTATCCTGAGACAGCTTCCATTTTTACTGTCACCTTCAATATCAAACAACAGCTGCATTTTTAAGGGCTTCCTGCTCTTGTTTAAACCAAAGATACATACAGAGCTCAATAAGAGGGCAGGTCCATCTGCCTGAAAAAACCTTGAAAGGTACTATTACATGTTAATGTTTTATTATGTTAAATGATTTTAAACACAAAATCACAGACAATTTTAGAATTATAATGCATTAACAACAGGCTAAGATTGAAAGAAAAGAAACAACATGAAAAGTGTAAAGACTAACTTTAAAAAGTGATCTGAGAACTGACTGATCTGTCAGTCATTGTCTCTTCCCATCCTGCCCTCTTTTCTGTATCTCTCTCTCTCTCTCTCTCTCTCTCTTTCTCTCTCTCTCTCATCTATCTCTCACTCTCTCTCTCTCTCTCACTTACGCCTCCTGTCTGGTATTTCCAGTGTCTCTCGCCCTCTCACACAGCTGCTCTGTCTCACACCTTTACAAGGAGCTCAGTGCACATTCCAGCGGTCACTCTGATGAATCTGTCTGAATGAAGGGACGCAGCCATCGGCCTGAATTAATGCTGCTCCTGCACGTCAGGAATGTGTGAAATGCTGACCATCTTCACGCGTTGGAGCCCCAACACAAAACACTCTGACGCTCATTTACTGTCATTCTATTTGCTTCTGACGCACTCTGTTCTGACTGTCCAATCATTTGTGTAACAGTTTTACACACTGGAATCAGAGTACTACTAACACTTTTACAATTACTGCAATTGTTGTCACTGTTACCAATGCTGCAATGACTTATACTACACCAAATATTGTTGTTACAAACACTACAGCTTGTACTAATTCTACTTTTACTTCATCTATTATGTCCATTACAACGCCTACTGCGTATGCCTCCACCACTACTGTTTTTGTACCACTCCCATTAATGCTATGGATAACATTACTGCTGTCTTTAATGATACTGCTACTTTTGCTAGTGTTACTCACACATACTAAAATAATGACTATGGCACATGGCCAATATATGGTTGAATTTAGGCCCTTATTGGCCAGTATAGCAAAAGTACCAATAGAAACAGTACTGTGGACCCAAAGTGGTATGAAAAAGAGAGGATTTCTCTCAGTGTGGATAAATAAAGGATTAAAAAAAATGTTACCAGCCATGTGTAAGATTTATTATTGGGGTTGCGACAGAACTGAGATTCTGGGCCAAATATTGCCCACATGCAACCAATCAAATATAATCTGCTTTTAGATACAGGCCTGGTCATAGAAAGGCTAAGTTGTGGCCCAGTTGTGGCCCATGTAAAACCCGTCTTCAGAGCTCAAGGATGTTTTGTGGCTATGGTTGTGCAGCCACATTCTGATGGATTCATTACTTTTAGTCACTCAAACTAAATTATTTTACCACCTCACAAAATTGTAATTGCAAGTGCACAGCTATAAATAAAGATATGAATGGAATAGTAAAAGTCATCTGATTTGATTCACTATGAAAAGTTTCGGTTTGTCTGAAAGTGTTGGCAGATTTAGATGCACTGTAAACACAAACAGCCGCTTCTCCATAGGTCTTAATAATGTAAATGTGACTAATGCTACTACTATAACTGCCAACTGAATTACCATTCCTTGTGTGTCTATATGTATTTGTGTGTGTGTGTGTGTGTGTGTGTGTGTGTGTGTGTGTGTGTGTGTGTGTGTGTGTGTGTGTTTTCAGGAGGACAGCGTGGCATCCAACAGTCTGGAGGAGGAGCTGGAGGTGACCACGTACTGGTGGGGGGAGTGGGCCAAGTGGACAGCCTGCACTCGTACCTGTGGAGGGGGAGTGATGTCACAGGAAAGACATTGCCTCAAACAGAGGTCAGTCAATCTGCACACACACACAGATGTGTATTTCTATAAATTTTAGGACCTAGATCAAGTTTTTTCCAGGTCCACACTTGAGTTCAGTTCTGACATATGGAGCAACATTTGCAAAGTCTGTAAGATAAAAGTCAATAAGTTGTCCATAATGTAACAAATCTAGAATACATTTAACTTTTTCTTTTTCCTTATGGAATTTTTTCATCAAGTTTTCTTGCTGTTAACATGAGGGATATGATTTGCACATCAGTGTCCGTACAATGTAATGAGTGAGACATGAATTGATTTGCAGTTTGGTCCCGATCCTGAGCTCAAACTTTTAGTTGTCCCAAATTAGATAATACATTTGCTAGTCACCTTAAAGGAATAGTTTTTCATTTTGAGAAATACGATTGATACCACTCACCTAACTCTTTGTAAGAAAGCCAATAATCATATTTCTCGAAATGTTTCTAACTATCCCTTTAACATAAACCTTTTTCTAACCACAAGTAAAAAGGTTGAAGTATAAACCCTTAAAAATTCTTAAGCTGAAATAACTGCTTCATTTTATGGGGACCAGCTTTTTTTGTCCTCAGATGGAGGCGAGTCCTTACAATGTGAGTGAACAGATTTGTGTCCCCACAACGTAAATAATTCATACACATATGTACTCATTCACACACTCAGAAGTTATACCAGCAGTAAATCATGGATACGCATATTCATACACAAGCACATTTGTGTAGCTGCACTTTCTACTTGCACACACGCATTACAATGCACTCAGATAATAATAATAGATCAAATTAGTAGATTAGTATATTTGGGGTGAATGCACTCTAAGCCCACACGACATGATTCTTAACCTGGTATCTCATTATGGTTATGGTTACATTTTCTAATATGTTGTTATTTCTCCAAATGTTTGCTTTCTGTCCAAAGAAAGAAAGTTGCTGCTGGGAAGGACAACATGACCTGTACAGGAACTGCTAAGAAATATCATCTCTGTAACACTAAAGTGAGTCACAGATTTCCAGTTAATTTCTCATCACTTTATTTCACATCTTTATTAAAACAAACACAGTACCTCTGACTGGCTGACAGTAGAAGACTGTGGTTGAGGCGGACACCCTCCAGGCGTGACTGAATGTAGCTGTGTGAAAGTGAAGCCGGGCGGAGCTCAGAATGATAGTGTATTCTAAGAAAACCATCCCTGCACAAATAAACGCTTAAAAATACTTTATTTGTGCAACATACTGTAAAACCAAGTTCTAACAAGTGTGAAACAGACCTCTTTTAATGGTCTGTGCTGTCTCTCTGCACTGCAGGAATGCCCTGCCACTGGGAGGAGCTTCAGAGAGGAGCAGTGCTGGTCCTTCAACTCCCAGCTTTACAATGGGAGGAACTACCAGTGGAAACCTCTGTATCCTGGTAATAACATCCATAAAATGCCTTAACAATTTCTCTTTAGCCCATTTAACAGACCAGAGGTGAATGAGGTCTTGTGTCTGAGCTGTTGAGCTTCAACATTGTCCTACATCCAAAACAGTAGAATCCTTTATATGACATCTTTAAACAAATTGTGTCTTCTGATATGCTTTATGTTTTTCTATTCAGATGTAACTGCCTGTTGATAAAGAATGTTGTTTTAAAATCTGTTCCTAATTATTATCTGAATGTTTTTTCATTTATTCACCGCTTTGATTTTGGCAATTACTGAAATAAAAGGTTGAATGAGAAACAAGTAATGGGAATGGAGGGATACAATAAGGGTCAAGGACTAGAGGACTAACAATAAATCAAAGGAAAGTAGTCAATGCTGAACCCATAGACCCTCTGAAACCCTCTGCACCACCTGCCCCACACCAAACAACAGACAGACAAAGTTATCAACTAGCTAGTGATCAAAGTCGAACATCTAGTGTCTAAAGAGCCAGAGGTTTTCCTCAGGAGTTGGTGGAGACCAAATCAGAGCTAAAAGGAGAGTGAATATTGGACTTACATTCATCAGGTGAACACAACCTTTGACGACCATTGAACTGTGTTCCTCTCCAGACGACTACGTTCACATCTCCAGCAACCCCTGTGACCTCCACTGCACCACAACTGATGGCCAGAGGCAGCTGATGGTGATGGCGCGAGACGGAACTTCCTGCAAGTACAGCAGTTACCGTGGTGTCTGCGTGGATGGTAAGTGTGAGGTGAGTCCAGCAGCTTCTTTACTTTGTCTCTGTTTTACTTCCCCTCAAACAGTTTAACTCCACTCTCAGTTTTCAGCACCACTGAGAGCAACACACCAAGTTTGTATGACCGAAAGACCCACAGCTGCTACGGTAGCATAGCAACTTTCTGACAAACAATAATTTGTTTGAGGTGTAAACTTACAGAATATTCATAAAAACAACTGAGTGTATGCAGAAAGTTACACAGTGGCCGAAAAGTGGCATCAACCTTCCCCAACCAAAAAGCCAGATAGACCCTTAATTTAATAGGCAGTACCCCTGTTATGCTCCATCCAAACTATTTTTACACATAAGATTAGTCATGTTCCTTTCAGAGCAACAGTGTGATGAGGATGAAACAGAGGGAGGAAACGCATTTAGAAATGAAACAGTTGTTTGTTTGTTTGCCTTGTGCTGCTAACATTTTATCCATTTTAGAATTATTTTGTTAATGATTTTTAGTTGGGGTTTTTTTAAGGATGGAGGCAACCAACTGCATGTACTGTGACTTTTCACATTAAAGTTGATGTATGACTCTGGCCAAAAAATCTTAACATAAATACACAACATGTAGACATAAACATGAATAAATCAAAACAAAAAAATGAGTGCATCACAGAGAGAAATGAGGCAGAAGTCACATCTTTCAGTAGTACTCATCCTCTACACATATTTTTTTAAATGATTCATTTTATGTCAGATTCTTTTTTGATCAACTTTAGAAATAATGTAACCTTATGACACAAAATATTTCCTAACTTCATCATTAGCATGCTATTTAAATGTAATTATGATTTACAGATTTTTTTTTAATGTTATCCTCTCTTCTTCCACTTCCTGCTTCGCTGCACAGCCAATCGGATGTGACGGAGTACTGTTTTCCTCGAACACCTTGGATAAGTGTGGGGTCTGCCAGGGGGACGGCAGCAGTTGCAGCAGAGTCACTGGAAACTTCCGCCGTGGGGCCATGACTCTGGGTGAGCCTCGTGTCCAGTTTTCCCTTGCTGGACGCACACAAATGTTTTTTTATCACTAGCTATAACTAATTAATATAGGATAGGACTTTCTCTGTCTGATACACACCAAAAGATTCAGAGAAATTGAACTGATTAAAGTCATTAGGACTGGTCAGAACATTTTTCTTGGTTACAAAAACAACATAAAATAAAACTTAAAAGGGTATATAAAAACACATGAGGTGACACTGACTACTTCCTTTTTCTGTTGTCAAGGTTACTCTTTTATCACTCAAATCCCTGAAGGATCATGGGACATCCAGATCATTGAGAGAAAGAAGTCGGCTGATGTTCTAGGTGGGTACTTCCACTTTCCCTGCTCCTCATTCACACACACAAACACACACACACACACACACACACACACACACACACACACACACACACACACACACACACACACACACACACACACACACACACACATACACACACACACACACACACACACACACACTAATGTCAGTTAACTTGATGGAGACAATGCAGGCCTTTGGCTTTTTCTGACTCAATCTGGAGTTCACTGATTTTCAATGGGTTTTGTACCTCTCAGATTTTTCAATTTATCTTCTTCTCCAGCTGTGACCGACCAAGCGGGCAACTTCTTCTTTAATGGGGCCTACAAGGTTGACAGTCCCCAGAATTTTCACGCAGCAGGAACCGTTTTCAAGTACCGTCGGCCCATGGATGTCTACGAGACCGGGATCGAGTACATTGTCGCCAAAGGACCCATCGACCAGGCCATCAACATTCTGGTACACCCAGCCCTCCTCCATCCACCTCTCTCACTTCAACTCCTCCTCCACACTCATATTGACGTTACCCATCTACTTTGTTTAGTGTAGTTTCTTCCCTGTGAAGAAGAGTCTGACCTGTCCTGCACCAGCCTGCCCTGTGACCTCTAACCCCTAACATGAAATGCACATATATGAATTGCACAATCTATCTACCTTAATTACCTTCATAATTACACTGTAATATTCAACTAAGGTTCTCTAAAAGCCTTTAAACTACAGAAACAAAGAAACATTTGTTGTTTTGGCCTCAGCAGTTAGCTAATTCTGAAATAAGAAGCCCAAGATTTAAGCTCTAGGCCATACTGTTATTAACTCTTGAACTTAATGATTAAGATTGTTTACTCATGAAGCATTTTGTTTTTTGGGGTAGCAATGGAGACTGCCAACACTTACAGCAACAAAAAGTAAAGAGAACAGAGTCTATTCAGAATATTTCCTGGCAGCAAGATGCTCATGTGTGATTGAAGTGGTGATACTGTTGCAGCGTAGCCCCTGCCCAAAATAAAGTGTATCGTCTCCTTTGTAAGAGTGTCTGCCAAATGTCTATGATGTAAATGTCATGCAGACGTAATAATGAGTCTGTGTCTCAGGCTGATTGAATACAGGCCTTGTGTTCTGACAGTGGCCATAAATCCCAAAGAGTGTCCATGTCACAGGCCAGGTTTGATAGATCTCCCTGCAGGATGTTGGAACACAGAGATCCTCCTGGACATTCATTGTGACTCCGCTGGTCCCTCTCTGCTAACAATGAGTTTTTATAATCAGGCTAACATGTAAAATGTCACAGACTTCATTCTGGTTTTGGCCTTAAAGCTTTATATTCTTTCTGTAATTATAATCTTACGTCCAGTTATTTGTAAAGCTGTGGCAGACTCACACCTATTAGAGCTGATAGTGTGTGTGGCAAGTCAAGCACAGTATAAAACTACTTGTAACTACCCTGCAATACATCCTGCCAGTCCTGTGGCTACATTGCTCATTGTCCATGGGGAAACATCACCTTCATACAACGCATGCTCACATTTCTCTTTCTTAAGCTTTTAAGAAAATTTCAATTGAAGTTCTGAAACCAGTTATAAGGGATGACAGTTAAACATGGACAAAATAACCGTCATGGTGTGCAAAGGTCTTAATGTGAAAATAATTTGAGTGGATTTGGTCCTGGTTTGTTTTTAACTCTCCTTCTTACTGGCCTGAAACACCTGACCTTGACATGACTCACTTCTTTCTCGTCACTCAGGTGTGGAACCAGAACGGTCGCACACCGTACATCACATACGAATACACCGTCCTCCGAGACTCCCTTCCACCTGTCCCACCTCCTCCCGTCTACACAGGATCAGACACCTCAGCCGGGGAAGTTTCTGTGGAGGTGGGGGGTCTGCTTTCCCCTAACAACAGTATATATGACCAGGCGGCTCCTGAGGGCCAGTTAGAACCAGGAGGTGCCGAGGGACAGAAGGGCCAAGAGACCAATGAGGTGTACGAGGAAACAGCGTCCATCGACTGTGACGTGGATGGAGCAGCTGACCGAAAATATTCAGGTAGGGACTGTCTGTGACCTTGGAACTGTTTGTGATGTATGAAATATTTGTGGTTAAAATCTATTATTATTATTATTATTATTATTATTATTATTATTATTATTATTAATCGATTCATCATTTAATGCCCATAGAGTCCAAGGTGATGCTTATTTTGATCAACCAGCAGCCCACAACCCAAAGATATTTTATTTACAATCATTACTTTGGAGAAGCAGAACTGAGTGAATATTCCTCTGAAGTTACTTTGAGACCTTTTACATTTTATGGGCAGTGTGATACACGTGCTAAAGCAGGGGTTTAGAGTCTGTGGGCCTCCCCTCAGACAAAGCTTGGAAAAACTTACTTACTTTTACTTTTGCATAGTTTTGCTCAATTCCTGGATGCCTTTGGGATCATGATTATGTTAACTGATCTCACAGACATTCAACAATTGAACAAAGATACCCTAACATTGCTGTTAGAAAGGTCTGTCCTAAGGCAAAAAACCCCAAAACTACTGTATCTCTGAGCTACCTCTCCAACCAAATCACACACATTTGGGCTATTATATTTGTCTGTTATCTCTTTTGATAACTAATGTAATATTTTTTCACTTGTATTCACTGTTGCCTTCCACTTTGAAAACTAAAGTGATCTGAGATTTGTTGTTTTCACTGACTCTGGTGACACCTGTAGTAATATGATGTCATTGCTTTGGTGTTTAACACAACCAGGTAGCGAGTAACAATGTAGCACTAATATAATACTAATACACACAATGATGATAACCTGTAAGCAAGTGTAGCAGTTCCTCTGAGCAACTATTCTGAGTCTGTGGTAACAGTGAGAAAGTGGGGACGGTCAATTTATCTTTTGCATTTTTATAATGTAATGTATTGTTACTTATCAGGAGACATATATGCCAATACCAATATATCTGTTATAAAATAATAATAAAATATATTGGCTGGGCTCTAAGAGACAGAAAAGGAGAGATGGAGAATGTGTGAGAAAGGGGAAAAAAACTGAAAGGAAGAGAAACTAAGAAAGAGAATAAATCAGGTAGTTCAGTGGTCCATTGCAGATGAGACAAAATAGGTCAGATTTTACAACCGATCTTCTATCTAGCTCTCTTTTTCTGTGTATCTGTGAGATGGCCCTTTGGAATTCTGCATTATTCATGGTACAGACACATAAAGAGGATCAGAGGCAGATGAAAAATTCAGAGTTTCGTGGTGTTTTCTCCTTTTTAAAATGGCTGCATCACAAACATGAGACAGTAATGGCCTTCCTGCAGGCTCTCAGCTCGCTCAGCTGACTGCCGAGTCCATTACACCACCGCTTTGGGTAGTGAGATGAGATGGAGAGGTGGTTGAAAGGCTCACCATACTTTCTACACAGCCTGACGTCATACTACAGAACAGATACTGGCCGCTGACTGAAGCAGTTTAAGCTGAGTTTACCTTCACACCTTCCTTTTCTGTTTCTGTTCAATTTCACATTTTTACCTGTAAAAAGTGCAGACTAGCACACATTTCCACAAGATACATTTAGTGTCCTTCTATACACTGAATTTGGGGCGAATGGTAGCTCATGTGGTAGAGCGCCTTAACGCAGCTTCCCCAGTTGGTTGCAATGCAACATTTGTCCTCTCTGCCCTTTGCTGCATGTCTCCCCTCCCCTGTCTCCCCCCTTTCCTGTCTGTCTTCACCTGTCTTATCAAATAAAGGCATAAACCCCCCCCAAAATATCTTTAATGAATAAATAAATACACTAAACTCTATGTAGGCCGGGCATAGCGGTGGTGTTGCATGATATTGAGAGGTGTGTCTGATATTTTATTCTCCCTCTTAATATACAGTTTTTATAGTCTGTATTATGTTATGCTTTTACACAACCTTGAAGATATCAGAACATCATCAGTATTCATGTTACTGAAATGCATATAAACCTGTTTGTATAATGCATCTGACACAGCATCAAAACATTGTTTTGGGCTGTTGTATTAGATCGCATTATATTGTACTTTGTAAAATGTGAAAATGTGGAATCAGAATCAGAATCAGAAATACTTTAATAATAATAAAATAAATAAATATCAATGTCTGGGCTTTGAATTTCTTGATGTTATGGTACGTTCCGACATCTACAAAGATTCTACAAAGAAACAGAAAGCATTAATCAATGAGGAACTAAGACTAAAATGCAGGTAAACACCCTACGATGCACAGCTCTGACACTTTAGCTTGTGTTCATTCCAACAGAAAACAAATGTAGACCAGAAAACAGTTGCAAAGTTTTCCAATCTGAACTGAATATGAAATAACACTCTCAAGTGCAAACATGACCAAAAGACATCACAGATTGCACTTAAATAAGATGTATGAATTTACTCTCCAAGCTGAATTTTTCCACTTTGATCTAACAGAAGGAAACAGCAGCCATACAGGCAGCACTGCCAACCCTGCCCCTGATGGTGGGCCCCTGGATACGGGGCCAGACTCCCCAAATCTCATATGGAGGGTCCTGCTGGATGGCCGAATTGGCCCTGATGAGCTGCTCATCAATATCTCAACCAATCAGCTGCTGACGGAGGGAGACAGTTTGTTCTCGTCAGAGGTGGGACCAGCAGAGCTGGACCTGAGCAGCCTGGAGCAAGACGGCCCTTTTGGTCTGAACGAGACGCTGGAGTTTACTCTGGGTCGCAAACGCAACGACAGCGGAGACAGTTCCTACCAGAACAAAACAGTGCAGAGTGGGAGGACCTCCAGCCGCTCCAACAGAACCAGGTAATCTAACAGAAAACAAATAAAAATAGCTTTAAATAAATCTCAAATGTGTTTTATCTATGGTCCACTTTGCAAAAATTTAAGTTTGGGCTCACAGAAAGCTGTTATCCCTCAGGCTGGGTTAAGTCTGGATTCAATATTTTCAGGTTTGGTCACACCGGGCCTGAATGTTCAGACACTGTCAAGCCCCTGGGTCTGCCGCTGGCTGAGGGAAATATGCTGCAGGCTGTACGAGAAGCAGGCTAGGTGGTGTGGACATCCTCAGAGAGACATAGCCAGAGGAAGTGGCAGTGAGACAGGCTGTGTGACAGGCAGTGGGAAAAGCAAAGGTACATAGAATCAAACAGGCAGACAGAGCATAAAGCAGAGCAAGCAGTAGGGCAGCCAAGTAGCAAAGGCAAAGTGAGAGAGTTAGACAACTACGCAAAAACGCAAGTAATGTAGTAAGAAAGACAGGTACAGAGACAATGCCGTGTTTCGCCAGCAGGTAGACAGCAGGAGCAGCAGGTGGACAGATAGACAGTACAGCAGGTAAACTGACTGATATACAGGCAGTGAAGGAGGAAGACAGATAGACAGTAAAGCAGTTAGACAGACAGGCAGTTAGATAGGTAGACAGGCAGTAAAGCAGGTAAACAGCTAAATATACAAGCAGATAGGTAGTTATACAGCAGACTTGTCAGTTAATCTATACAGGTTACAGGTTAACCTATACAGGTTAACTGACAAGGGCAGGCAGACAGGTAGATATACAGGCAGTAAGGTGGTTATACAGGTAGATATACAGGCTGCAGGGCAGGCAGACAGGTAGACCTGGCAGGTTTTGCATTCATCATATTTATAATTCATGTTGGCTTCCTCTGTGTCCAAACACGGCTTCACCCGTTCTGCAGCCAGCAGCTATAAAACACACAATGACACGCCCTTTCCTCCGAGAGACAGAGAGAAGAGAGGAAACGAGCAGAGCAGAGGAGCACAGAGGGGAGGAGGGGGATACAGGCACACTTAGAAACAAATAATTCAAGGTATTTGCAAAAGAAGTGAGAAATATGATGCAAAGGGGGAAAGTGTGCTGTCAGACTGTAGTCACCTCTTGGGAGAAAATAATGTGCAGGAATCAGTCTGGCTAACATGGAGGGGTGCCGGCGAGGTATAACTCAAAGTGCCTGTGATATTCAAATAAACGTCTGGCGGCTGGCTGAGGCGGAGGGAATGACCGGTGTTATGACAAGAATGTGCATGACTTTTATGTGATGTGATGAAAAAACAAAGTGCGTCTGCCGGGATGCAGGCTGTGAATCAGCTGTCACAATTTGGTTGTCTGAGGCCCGGGAGACAGTCTTAGAGTGTATGTGTGTTTCTGGATCTGCACAACTGGGTATCCTTAAATGTACGGAAAATGTATGTTTTGAAAATCTATCTGTAGTCTTTAAATGTTTATATTTTGCTCCTTCGTGAAGGACGGTAGCTGAAATCAGTTTGGATTCACAACAGAGGATTTTACAGTTTTTTTCAATTGTTTACACGCAATTTTGAAAACCGGGTTCTTTTTTTCAAAATATAATCACAATTATCCAAACACCACACCCAATTTGCATAATTCCGAGATTGTTTGCAAAATGACACACTTCAGTCAAAACATACACACTTCAGTCAAAACATATACACATATTTGTGAAAATGCTATTAGTTTTTATTGAACCAACACAGTCGTCAATAATCAGACACTATTGCCGCCAGTTTCACACTGCTGTGATAAATAAAAAACACATTTGTAAAAAAACTAATTTTAGGATGTGCATGTGCTAGGTTTTTGGCCAGACATTGTTATGTAAGGGATAATTTAGATGTCAAAAGAAATAGTGACAAACCCACAACTTCATGATTAGTTTGAGATATAGGGAGAATGTACACAAATAGGCCTACTATAAACTTACCAAGCACTGCACAACACTGATGCTGCAGACTGAATATTTCAAGTATTTATTTCAATACTTACAGTATTTCTTACCACAATCAGTTACAGTAATCAACCAACAATGAAATCAATGAAACAAATAAAATCTGTAGACAAATAAAAATTACTGCATGAAGTACATACACTTTGACTCTGAAGAAAAACTACTGTAAAAGCAACAAGAATACTGTAACTATTCATCATCTCTCCGTCTGGCTGAGTGCTGCGTTTTCAAATTAGCACATGTGTGCTTCCACACCTGGTGGACAAGGAAGTAACCTCACAATCCTTATCTGTGTCTAAGGTGTGAAAATGTGTGTAGAGTTTTACAAATCCCTGTGTGTAATGTTTTGCAAAAAGGGTGAAGCAGACATTGTGTGTAATGTTGTGCAAATCTGTGGAGGTGTTTTGCTCCTTGGAGTAGAATTTCACAAGTTATGTGGAAATTTTTATTTTAGTGTGTAAACAATCGTAAAAAACTGTAATGATGAAAAGTGTCAAAACTTTGATAGAAAAAACTGCTCCGGCAGTATAAATCCACTTCTTCACTGACCATTTGCATGCACAGTACGAGTTTCACAATTTCACAATATAGCTAAATGTTTGCATGACAAGGATACATGCTGCCACAACTACTGCTTAAGTTTTCCTTTCCTTGTGTGTGTGTGTGCGTGTGTGTGTGTGTGTGTGTGTGTGTGTGTGTGTGTGTGTGTGTGTGTGTTTTTGTGTGTGTGTGGGTGTGTGTGTGTGTGTGTGTGTGTGTGCGCGTGTGTGTGTGCGCGTGTGTGTGTTTGTGTGTTTAGGGGAAATCAAAGGAACTACCATAAGAACCTGAAGCTGAGTGCTGCTGACATGTACCGCTGGAAACTGTCCTCTCAGGAGCCCTGCAGCATGACCTGCTCTATAGGTACATACATGCAAACACACACACACACACACACACACACACACACACACACACACACACACACCTAAAGATCCATGAGCAGTCAGATTAGGAAGTTTCATATCTTTGACTATCTGTCATCACCCACCTGATATCAGTTGTAGATCTGATTAAACCTCGAACCCAACAGACTGCAGACCAGGAGGCTGTAACACTCTCTGACACTAGTTTGATGCTCACACATCTTGCTGTGCATTTACACTGTAAGACACTTGATTGAGTGATAAGTGATTGTTCCAATCAGACTACTTGCATATATATCTTAATACTGTCTGGAGGGGATCTTCAATGATAACGGCTTTTGTTCTTTCTTTCTTTAATATAAAGCACATTGAGTTTTTTTTCCTATTGTTTAAAATGTGCTATATAAATAAGTTTGTCTCCCTTCAGCTTATTGTTTCTTGCTCACAATCCAGGAGTATCAAAGTCCTTTGTAACATGTATTCGTTATGATGGCGTGGAGGTGCACGATATGTACTGTGATGCTCTGACCAGACCGGAGCCGGTCCACGACTTCTGTATTGGGAGAGAATGTCAGCCCAGGTAGAATACACCATACATTTTGATGAATACAATGAATCAGAAATTATTCAAACTGCTCAACAGGACATTGTTCAGTATGTCTCTTGTCTTTCAGATGGGAGGCGAGCAGCTGGAGCGAGTGCTCAAGGACCTGTGGGGAGGGTTTCCAGTTTCGTCAAGTTCGCTGTTGGAAGATGCTCTCGCCCGGCCTGGACAGCTCGGTCTACAGTGACCTCTGCACCATGGCTGACCTGGAGAGACCTGTGGAGAGACGACCCTGCAAGAGCCCCGCCTGCGGTCCACAGTGGGAGGTGGCAGAGTGGACCGAGGTATGAGATCACTTGTGTTTAAATATAAGTAGTAAACATTTATTATGTAACCCATTTTTATGATAATATAAATGTATTGTTGTTGTATGTAAATATATCTTTGTTTTGGATGCACCCATAATGCACACTCTGTGGAAACAAAGTTTCATGTTGGGGACAATAATCGATCTATCTTTAAAAAAAAAGTTATTCATTATCCCCATATCTCTTTAAAAGTAAAACTTTACAAAGTGATTAAAAAGGGCTCCAAATAAGATCAACTGGAGCAGCTTGACATCACTTCAAGTGTCAAGAGCACCTACAGCTATATTGTACTCTCTGAGTCTGATAGTCTTCCAGTGGGACAAGGACCTTCTGATAGCAACACTGTTGCGTTAATGCTACCTGACAAAGTATTTACTGTGTTGGCTATAATAAGCTTGAATGTGTCTCTGTGTGGCTCTCCTTGGTCCAGTGTCCTGCTAAATGTGGCCGCAAAGCCCAAGTGACCCGCGATGTCCGCTGCTCAGATGAGACCAGACCATGTGACGCCATGACCAAACCACCAAACATCAAAAACTGCACCGGTCCACCCTGTGAGCGCCACTGGACCGTGTCTGAGTGGGGGCCTGTGAGTGACTTTACTCTCCATATATAATGCACTGCACGTCAGCATACATGAGTGACAATAAATTACTCTATGTATGGGTTTTTTTATTTTATCACCCTTATCTGATCACGGTAAAGTGGCTGCTGCTCTCAATAGAAAAAAAAAGGTTTTAGAGCTTGATAGTGTAAAAAAAAACCAGCTCGCCTGTTCCAGGTGTTTTTACTCCAGCAGAAAAACTGTTATAAGTGCCACAGTGTGAATTTATGGGGTTTTTTTGTGTTGCACGGACAAATGTGGTTCCTAATGTTCCATTCAAAGTCAAAGTCTGGAAACTCGCAGGTCTAATTTACAACCATGGTGTGTAACCAGGCACAAACATGGATCGATGTGCAATTTTCTTTTCCTCAAAGTTATATATTATTCCCCACTGCAAGAGCAAATGTTAAGTCGGTAATATGTATTATTATTTAGAAGATTAACAACTGTGAGCACATGTACCCCTTGCATTTTTTATGTACTCTTATACATTTTATTATTTATTTATGTACCTCTGTACAATCCCACAGAACCAATGTAATAGCCCAGCAAAAAATGTTACAATGTATGTTATACTGTGGATGATGTGGCTAAAGCAACACAACGTCCTTAAAAACCCTAACCTTAAGTTAAAAGTAAAGTGTATATCCGTTTGATTTTACTTTAAAGTAGAATATACGTATTTCTCGCTGTACTTATCCATGTAGTTTGGTTTCAGGTTGTGAGGGTTTTTTGATGACACAATTCAGTGGAGGTGAATGGAATCTAGTTTGGGTAACCACAAGATCCACTGATTCCAAAACAACATTTTGGGTGCTTCAAGCTTTTGGTTTCTCTTTAAAACCGTCATCATGAGCAGATGTGTTATGGAACAAATGTTAAGAAATCCAGTAGCAGGTGTGGCAGCTGAACATCAGTACTAACGGCATAATGCTGCTATAAAAAGTACTTTTTCTTCCTCTGCCTAAAAAGATAAACAAGAATGTGTCCTACCACTCTGTATAATGCACAGAACATGAACAGATGCTTTACTACAGTAAATAATCAACTGGTAACATGTAATAGCACAGTGGAATGATCAGACTTCCTGTGATGTTATTTTAAATTAATGTGATATTTTATCCCATGTGACGCAACATAATAACATTTTTCCCTTCCTCTGACACAGTGTGATGTGACATGATGCCATTTCATCGCATGTGATGCTTCCTATTTATTTAATATGATGTGAGGCGACCTGAACTGACTTCATCTGACAAGCAGCGTTTGTCTGTGAGCTTCGTGACTTGGCTAAAGGAGGCAGCAATGAGAACTGAAATGCCTCCTTTTGATTATGAATCATCCAGTTTTGACATTTGACCCTTGTTATTGCAGTGCTCGGGGGCATGCGGCCAGGGGAAGATGGTGCGTCATGTGTACTGTAAGGCTCCGGAGGGTCGCGTGGTTCCTGAGAACCAGTGCTCTGCGGAAAACAAGCCACTGGCCATCCACCCCTGTGGGGAGAGAGACTGCGCTCCACACTGGCTGAGCCAAGACTGGGAGAGGGTGAGGGCTCATCACAGTGTCGAAATTAAGATTGAGCTATCTATTAGTAGACCTGATAACTGATAGATAGATTAACTGATTTGCTGTTTGACATAAAAGTTAACAAACATTTGGACAATTGATTATTTTGTATTCATTTATCAAGAATCATAATAAAGAACTTGACCATGGTTACAGTTAGGTTATACTTTTCCACATCAGCAAGATTTTGCTTTGTGTCCAAGTCCCTTGAGTTGTCAACAAAGATATGAATAATTTCAGAGATGGGAAGTAACCAAGTACAAATACTTTGTTACTGTACTTAAGTAGTCTTTACTGTAATTAATGTCTGTAATTTACTTGAGTACTTTATTTTTGCGACAATTATTTACTTTTTTTAAACAAATATCTACACTTTCTACTCCTTACAACAGGCTTGTTAATTTAAATTTAAATGTAAAATTTGAATGCATTTGAGGAGAATTTTGCACGCCTTCCCAACATCTAGACCGGTGCATATCACGCATGACAGACACATCAAGACAAGAACATAAAGGACGAAACAGACAAGAGAGGGCGACTGTGCCCTAGTTGAAGTTTCAGCTTTGCACACGAACAGCCGGTACAAATGTCCTTCAGAGAAACCAAGAGAGGACTTTTTACTTTTACTAGAGTAAATAAGTTTTATCTGTACTTCTACTTTAAAGAATGTGTCTACTTCTACCACCTCTGCTGTTTTTGTCTGTAGTGTAACACAACTTGTGGGCGTGGAGTGAAGCGAAGGACCGTCTTGTGTGCCGGCATCAGTGGAGGAAAGTTCCAGATCTTTGATGATGAGGGATGTGGAAGCAATGAGAAGCCTGAAGAGGAAAACACCTGCTTTGAGAGGCCGTGCTTCAAATGGTACACCACCCCCTGGTCTGAGGTGAGGTCAACACAGTCCGTACGCCTTACTTTCACACGTCTTATATGGAGAGTGGATCATCGTGGGTTTCCCAACAGGACTCTTGGTCCAGACGCACTGTTGTAAAGAGATGAACTGAAAGGTGGCTCTGAACAGTTTTTATTTTGCTGCTTCATGTAGGACGGCAGCTGTAGTTAGCTTGGATCCACAGCAATTAGAATATATTCAATAATAAACAGGAAAAAGTGTTAAAACGTCCATAAAAACATTTTCAAACTATCCTTACAACATAATAGCAGTCAGGCCATAGGGACTTGGCTTGGAAATTTGCTGGTTGGCCGCACGAACCACTGTATGCAGTGTGGACGGGGGCTGAGAGGTGTAAAAACTGTTTCCAGACTGTAGATTCACGTTTTGGTGTTTGGTGCTGCTCATCCTGAAGACTGGAACTGTGCTCAGACCCTCTGATACTACAATGTTTTTGTTGGGACCAGATATATAATATACTAAATATAGATTTTTTTTTCAGATTTCCAGTTCAGATTTCTACTTTTATATACAACAGAGGCTGTTAAGGGTTTAGAGCAAAAGGGAAATGTTTCCATACTATATTAGGCAAATATATTTTGATTCAGAAATAGTTACAAAAAGCTGTAAATATGTCCAAAGAAGACGAAGAAGAAGAAGTGTCAAAGAATCTTTTACAGCTGAAAACTTCAATCTTCCTCAATCTTTCCACTTTGATATGAACTCATTTTTCAACCACGTTCAGTCCCAGTCACACCCCTTCTGCACCACACTGTTGATGTGTAATGCCTGCACAGAAAGGTGGTGTCAAGAATCATGTTTGATTCTAAAATAATTTTGTTTTTGGTCATTAATAATAAATTTTCACTAATTCCAATATGTAGTGAAAAACATCCCAAACATCTCTTCATTATGTTTTATTCAGTCTGAATGTAGGACAGACATGTAAAATGTCTTAGCACCAGTAAGACCACAAAGACATCTTCCAGTTCATCCGTGGTGTGTTTCTGCTCCTGTGTGTCCTCAGTGCACTAAGACGTGTGGTGTGGGTGTGAGGATGAGAGACGTGAAGTGTTACCAGGGCAGAGAGCTGGTCCGAGGCTGCGACCCCCTAACCAAACCGGTGGCCAAACAGACGTGCACCCTGCAGCCCTGCCCCACTGAGCCGCCAGGTAACACCTCAGGAAACATACTGTTCTGCCTACAGAAGCTTACACACACACGACACACACACACACACACGCCCTGGAAGTAGGTCTCTATGCAGTTAGCAGTTTTTATCTGGACCCAGTGATTTATTTAAGATTTTAATTTATTCGGAAATCTTGAGCAGACTTGTGTTGCTTTCCCATACGTTGTTTTACTGGAGTCATGTTTGCCCAAATCTCTACAGTGCAAAGCTAGCAAGACCCATAGCCAGAATGGCCACCGTTACGAGACCACCGTGTCTACACAAGACTGTAGGTTGTAGAATGCAGGTTGATTGCTGTAGTTACATGCAAAAAAAAAAGAAAATAGACTGGAAGTGTAAAAATGTGCTTCTGGGTTGCGTTACGTTACTTCGCCTATGTAGACTGATATATTGTATCTGCTCAGTCAGACAGTGCAAGATGGACAACTATAAAACCTGGCTGAAAGACCCAGGGTTGAAGCAATGTAATTTCCCTTTAAAATAGATGACGTTTGATAAATTAAACAGGGTTTTGTTTTAGACACAGCAATGTAAGCTGATGATTCGATTGAACAGTTTTGAAATTACTGACACGAACGTCACCATTGTGTGAACTGTGTCCCAGATGAGAGCTGCCAGGATCGTCCCTCCACCAACTGCCTGCTGGCGCTGAAGGTCAACCTGTGCAGCCACTGGTACTACAGCAAGGCCTGCTGTCACTCCTGCCGCACCGTACGATCTCCAATCTCCTAGTCCAGGACAGCACAGCTTCTCTCCACGTCGACTCTTAACTCCAGCATGAGGAAAGAAATGGGTACATTTATGTACATGTGGTACTGCAGTTACTCTGAACAGAGAGGAAGCTGAAAGTCAGAGATGGAAGCTCCTACCTGTTTTTAATAAAGCTTCCTCCAATAACTTGGATTTAGATGGGTTCATTTGTTCATCAGTTTGAGAATTGAAATCATCTAAAATTAAATCGGGTCATCTTGATATTCGACAAAAACATTTTGTCAGTCCTGTTGATAACATCAACAGCAACATTCGTACATAAAATGTAAACACTTATTCTCCATTTGCTCTTTTTCTTATTTCATATCAGTTTCATTTTCCAAACACAGACTGTAATGTGTGTCTGGTTTATTTAGAATAAATAGAGAAAGAACTGGACGAAAAACTATTTTTATTTTGAGAAGAACATGTCTACTACTCAAGACTGCATGTTGAGCCCCACAGCTGCCCCTCCCCTCACTCCTTCACACCATCACATGATTATTAAATTTTAAAAATTCTCATCAAACTGTATCTTTACCATAAAGGCAGTTGTTATCAGCTGTTATTGATTATTTATCTTCCTCTAACACCATGTGGAGTTGGAGAAAAAGTGGAGTCAACACTCAAACGGTCTTACAGACCTCCATCATCAGCTAGCAGCGTGCTCTTGTGTTCATCGCTGCAGTGAAAAGATGTATTAAATTATTTCTCAACGGAATATACTGCATGACTAGAATATTTAATACAGATACTGTTTATGAAATATTATTTAATTGTGTTTCAGTTTGGTGTCTGGCATGTAAAAAGTTATATTTCCATTCCACCCCCTGCCGCTTGGCGCCATGCCGGTACGCCTGCAGGATATGGAAGCATATTTATTAGTCATAGCACATTTTCATTTATCGTGACGCTCCTGATGCCAGCCGATGGTTATTCATCGGGTCAACTGATGCCAGTTCTGGTCTGTGTGTGTGACAGAGGAGCAGAGAGTTAATACAAACACAGAAAGAAACATTCCTGACACTTGAAGTATGGTTGAAATGTATTCAGACGTGTACATGTATGTCTCATTTTTAACTATTGTGTACTGTGTTTTTATATTACTGATACCTCTTTGTACAAAACTAAGTATGGAAATTGTGTACTGTTGATAATAAACTGAAAACCTAATGGTACTGACTTGTATTTCAATAAAAGAACAGTTCAAATGAACTTGTCGTTTTTATGTGAATGGATGTGTTTATTCAGGGAATATTGACCTAGCATGTTTCTCTCTAAGGAGAAAAGAGAAGAAAAGAGCTGCTGAGGGAGGATTTTATAGTTTTATTTCCCCTTTATTTAACCATGATGGCCTCTTGGGATCTGAATGTCTTTGTCAAGAGAGTCCTTGTCAAATGGAAGCACAATTAAAATACACTGATGAATTAAACTGTATTAAAACTGTTGCACTTTGCAATTTTAGCTTAAGGGAATAATTGTAGTTTATGCTCCTGTTGAAACTGGGAGTGATGGTTGTGGTGGTGCATCACAGCTATGAACGCAGAAAAAACACTGGTGACTGAAATCTATGTATCCTTCAGTGACCTCCAATCTCTTCTTCCTAAGTAAACAAGTCGACATGTCTGACTTAATGAAGGTCAAAACTAATAAAAAAAAACAGAACAAAATCTGTCCAGAATTAACCATCCCTGCTGTGCTGCTCTGTATCAGATCTCTCCCAGGAGACATAGACACAGATACTGGACGGTTTGGCATCATTTTATTAACACTGTAAATTAAGTCACTTTCACACACAGAGCAGCATCGGCAAATGCAGGTTTGCAGCTGACGCCCCCTACTGGTCAGTGTGACAGCATCAAACCTCCCATCTGTTGGCGTGCAGAATAATAGAAACACATCAACTACTGAAGCAGAGAGGAAACAAATGCAACAGTTTCAGTCTTCTCTAAAAAACACTCACTGATTAATAAAAGTGGTTCTGCACTCATTCTTCCTCAGGAACTTTAAAATAAGTGAAGAACCTGCAGCTTCATGCCCCAAAACACCCTGAATGGATTCATGTCTGAGGCTTTACTGATCAACACGATGGATCTATGGCAGAGACTTTTTTGCCCTGAGTTGAGACTCCCAGGATGCCCTTCCTCTGTGACTACATGTAAACTTTAACCCCAAATACAGATGCAAGACAAATCTCAGTAACCTAAAAACATCACTCTTCTAGCAGAGGGTCAGAGGTGCAGTATACATCAAATTGTTACTTTACTCAAATGTATTTTTTCAGCATAATTTTCTGTATTTGAAGTTACAGATTGGTGGAGATTGAAGAAGCAATCACAGCCATAAAAAGATTAATTCCCACCACAAATGTAGTAGAAACAAAGTTTCAATATACCTGTCTCTACAGACTCTATGCTCCTATTAGTCAACGTCATGGAACACGTGATGTCAGTGAATGGCAAAAAAACCCAAAACCCTACATCTGTTGGATCGGGTTATTATCCGGCTGATATTGTGTAGTCGGAACACAATGTCATCCGGCCTGCTCATATGAATGTGTAAATAATCGTGTGTCTTGTCTGAAATCCATACTACAAACCAATAACCACATGGTGATTAACAATTCAAGCCTTTTTTTCTTTTTTGTTTTGTTCGATAACACACTGACTGATTTTAATATATTTTATTTTGTCACTTTTCCAGTGTGAACACATTTGAGTCAAAAACCTGTGTAGTCTGGATTTGGGACACAGCAGTTATTATTATTATTATTATTATTATTATTATTATTATCGGCCGAGGCTTTCAGGCAGTAGTCTGCCTCAGACGAAGCGCTATGTGGAAGACTCAGTTCAGGTCAGAGGTCATGTAAAGCAGCAGTCCCCAGAGTTCCAGCTGCATTATGTTGACTGAGGTTGTGTTCCAGGACTGGATATTAGTCATTTCTATCATTACAAATGTCAGGGTGAATTTAAATTTTGAAAGTTTTCTTACTTCACTCCAGCTCTCTGTTCAACCTCCAACCTTAACAGGACAGGCACCCTAACTGTTGCTTCATCCTAGTGAAGGTGTTATAGGTCTCTGCAAGTTCTGCCCTTCTATCTATCTGACATGCTTGTGATCAGAGCTAGATAACCACGATGTGTTGCTACCGGAGGCTTAACACACTTTCATGATAAACACAGGAGGCCAAATCACACATGACACACACCAAAAAAACACTATCAGAATGAACAGATCTTATGTCCATTTTTAGCAGCATACATTTTATCATTATCCTCAAGTTTAGTCAATTTGCTCCAAATTAAGAGTTTTATTCCATCTGAATGTTCATTTTGGGGTAAATTAAAAAGTTATTTGCAGCTTCTGGAGTGAAGCTGTTGTTTCTACTGATGTGAAGTGAAGTTTGTAAAATACCAAACACCCATCTACTGTACTAGAGCTAAGAAATACCAAAATGAGCTATCAGTTATTTTGTCCGTTTTTTCTTAAAAGCTCAATACCTTATGTCGGAGAAAAACTCTTCGGATATTATTTGAACCCTGGCCTACAGCACAGCATCTATCTACAGTAGGATGTCTTTAACAGGAATAAATGTCTTCCGGAAATCACAGTCACTGGATCACTGAATGCTTCAGAAAAGCCCTTTAAAATGCATGACAATGTGTTTTCTGCACCGCGGCAAACAAACTGGAATTCACACACTGACACACTGACAGACAGACTGACAGTATCACCAGCTGCATCTGAATAATAATCAAATACACACAAAAAAGACACAACCTCGTGCTGACAAATGTACACAAGTGAACACAAACATGAGCTCCATGTAACATTGGAACTACTTACATTTCCAATTTTGGATGATGCCGTTTCAAATCAAAAGTTCAGAAACTGAATTTCTAATGAAAAGAAAATGTTACCTTCAACTTGGTCGAATTAGCTGTTCACACAAATCATTTAATTGTCTCTCAGGTGATTTGAGTAATTTTAAGAAGAATATGTATCAAGAATGTATTTTTTATTATCACAAAAGCAATTCTTGACACTAATAATTAAATTTGATCTGGTTAAAAATCTAATTTAGGATATTATAAACTCTTGAAAACTCAAACATTGAAGCAAAATTCTTGATATTGGAGATTTCTGATGTCAAACAGTCAATATTGTACGGAGCTTGGTAGGTGCCTCAATCAAAAACTAGTGTGTACGCACAAAATACTACTTTGTGCCTTCAAAATCATTTATGTACGTTCAGTTTAAATTTAATGCTCTTAAATTAATAATTTGTGTGCATAAATTAGTTTTCATCCCCCATGACACCTGCTAGGCTCTCACTATTGATGTCAAGGAATTATTAAAAGCTGAAATGGCTTCATTTATGTCTGGCATCAGTTTGAAACCTTAAAAGCCGCCCACACCTATGTGTAACAGCAGGTGTTTTCAGTTAGTTTGGCTGATTAGATCACAACTCTGTCTCTGCACAAGAAGCGGTGTAATCAGGCAGAATAAGTGAAAACCCCTGTGCAGCTCGGTGTGTGGGAGCTTCTATTTGGCTCTTACGAGGTGTTAAGTGAAGGAATCCCACTGTGAAAGAAATAAAGGTGAAATGTAAGAAAAATGTTGTCGGACACTGTACAGTTGTTGCTACACAAACACACACAAAAAATATTTTATATAATATCCACTTGTATATTTTTCCACTGCATAAATGAATCACAGTCAAGTGGTATTGTAAGTACACTGTAAAAGTACACATATATACTGTATGTTCAGTACTGGAGCAGAGTACTGGTCTGTTCTGGGGTACAAAAAATTGGGATTTGCTGGAGTAAACAAAGGTGTTACCAATGATTCTAGTTCAGTTTCAGGTTCAGTTCCATTTCGTGTAGCAGAAGCTCCCCAGTGAGTTAACATGCATATAAGCAGCACCCTGACTCTGACTGACCTGAATGGAACATAATCTTGATTAGTATCACTGGTAACACCGGTGTTTACTGCACTCTTTCATGTCAAAATGGCTGAAAAAGGGTCTCTCATGAGCAGTCTGATCTCCAAATGGAAAAAACAGACTATTTCTTCTCCAAAACCCTCTTGATTTGGAGCTTAAAGTATATATTTTATTCTATATATATTCTTTCTTATTAACAAATCCCACGAAAACACCGAAACCAATAATGTGTTAGCCTGTCTCTCTGTACTTCTGTACTTCGTGTGGTAATGAAGGAACATGTCACCCAGTCCAACAGTGTAGCTCATTGATGTGTTTTTAAATGTTTTTAGACTATGTAGCTCTTTGGCACCGGGAGGAATAAGATCAGGCTTTGGATTCACAAACAGTATTTGTTAGGAGAATACATTCATTGTTGGTTTTGGTCCACACATGGGATTTGCTGACAATTAAACCAGACTCCTTTAAAAGGGACTCGGTTATCCTGAACAAACTGTCTGATAGCTATCGAGGCATTAGCCTCATTGTCTCTAGTATGGTGCTTTCAAACTAACAAAATTCTGTATTAAATTTACTAACAAAAGCTCAAATTGTAATTCAATTATTGTTGATACTTATATACTTTTTAATTAATTAATTAGCTAATTAGAAAACACACTAATTTTCTACACACAAAAACAGACATAATGGTTAGGTCAAAACTGACAAAGTCTGTTCAAGTCTGTCAGAGACAGAAATGCATTCAGCAGGAGTGGTAGACCTCCAACATGGCTGCCAGGAGTGGTGTTCTCCCAAAAGCCCTCAGTGTTTCAACATATCAGTACAGCACAGTAATAATGCTGCATCCCCAGCACAGCACTTATAGAACATGTTCATTGAGTGTGTTTACAGACTGTACTGAGTCAGTGCACATTGTATAAATCAACCTTTCCTCCAGGCCAGCAGGGCGCCGCTGACTCCACCCTGCCTGCTCCTACACGTCAGTGCTGACACTATGGGTGACCACCTCCCTCATGGTGACGGAGCGGATGAGGTTGAGCTTCTGGTAGAAGCTGGCCAGGTCCATGGGCAACTCCAGGTCCTGCTGCTGCACAGTCCTGTAGCTGACCCTGCGGCCGCCGTTGCACAGCCTTTCCGGGTGCTGCAGGTAGAAGGGCAGCGAGCAGCGGGCGCAGGACGGGCAAAAGGCGTGTGAGCGCTGGCACCTGCGCGGGGGTGGTGTGGGGGAGAAGCTGGCAGGCCCGTTGGCCTCAGTTAGGAAGGTGGGGGGGTAGTTCTCTGGATCGTCGCCATAGTGCTCCGGCGTTGGAGGCGTAGGGGGAGCGGACAGAGCCAGGGGGCGGGTCGGCGACATGGTGGCGAGGTCTGGTTCCTCCTCTTCCCCCTTCTCAGACTCCTCCCTCTTACAGCAGTAATACTTGATGGTCAAACACAGGAAGAGAGAACTACAGGTCAGAGTCACTGTCAGACATAATGCAGAACACAAGAAGTCAAGCAGAAACTAATAATATGAAGCTCAAAGCACCAATGTGCCTAAGTAGTACAGTGCCTGTTTAAAAGTTAAATACTTATTGTACTCAGATTATTTTCACGGCAGGGTGTCTTTTTGACCACAATGATTTAAAAAATGCGCGTCTAATCCATTGTTACATGTATTACATTTTGAAATGCATGTTACTTTTCATAGTACTGGCAACCCGTAGTGTTAGAGTCATGTATCTGGAGGGGTAGGGGGTGGCAGCTCTCATTTTTTTAATGAAAATGAGTTAAATAGTCAGTAGTAAAGTAGTCATACCTGCAACCTACATAAACACAGTACAGCGACGATGGTCAGTAAGATGACTGTAGCCAGAATTCCTCCTGCGATGACCACTGTCCCGGCTGACATTCGAAATCCTCTCCATCAACAGCCTGCAGGGAGGAGGAGGAGGAGGAGGAGGAGGAGGAAGAGAGAGGAGGGCAAGGAGGAAGGTAGGATGAGATAAACGTGGAAGGAAAAATGAGGAAGAGGAGGAAAGTAAGAGAAGGAGGAATCAAAGAAGAGAGTAGGAGTAGAGGGGACATGGAGCAAGAGGAGAGAGGAGTTAGGAGGGGGATGAAAAGGAGAATAAATAAGGAGTGAGGGAGAGCATGAGGGAAGAGAGAAAGAGGAGGGGGAGAGGCACAGGTCAGTAATGAGAGAAATGGAGGAACAGATGGAAAGAAGATAATGAGAGAGAGTCAAGGAGGGAGATGGAAGAAGGTCAGTGAAAGGGGAAGTGGAAAAAGACGATAAAGAGATGAGTACAGTGACAGAGAGCAGGAGGAAGAGGAGGGAAAATGAGACAAAGGAAGAAGTGAGGACAACATGAGAAACAAGGAGGAAGAGAATAGAGGAGATGGGAGGTTGAAGGGAAACAGGAGTGAAAGTAAAAGAGGAAAATGGGGTCAGGAAAGGCAATGAGGGAAAGAAAGGAGAAGAGGGGGAGGAAAAAGAGCAGAAGTAGGTGAGAGAGAAGGTGTAAAGAGGATGATGAGGAGGGTGTGAAGAGAGATAATGATGTTGCCATAAAGTTTTACGACTATACTGGACAGCCCCAAAATGTTAAAACTGGTTTCTCTTGCCAGCAGCCATTAGTGAAAATATTGCGGATCGATTTTTATCTTTTATCTGTTACAACTCAGCGCACATTGGGCAGTAAATTAAGCCAAGTGAAAGAAATTAAGTCACAGTGAGCCAAGTGAGCCAATATTAGCAGGTCTGATATTCCTCCCATAAACATTTTCTTTTTTTGTTGGTCCTGACCCAAACCATCCAGGCATTGTGTCATTTTGATATTAAAAAATAAGTGTAGATGTTTAAGGTATAAAAACGAGTCACACTACTTCCTCCTTTGGTCCTGACGGACAAGAGTTACACCAGTGATTCACACACGTACTAGACGTCTTTGTCAGGTAAACACAAACATACATTCACACTGTCACATGTCTTGTGAGAACAGTATCTAAAATGTTCATGATGTTCTATGATGGACACCGAAAATATTGATACCCCTGGACAGTGCAGTTTACACTGACAGAATTGAATCGTGTGTGTGTGTGTGTGTGTGTGTGTGTGTGTGTGTGTGTGTGTGTGTGTGTGTGTGTGTGTGTGTGTGTGTGTGTGTTTGGACGAGTTGTGACTGAGAAGAAGTTCGGAGTTATTAATGAAGGTGAGACTGGCTCCAGACTGGCCTCGAGGTTCAGAGACAGAGATATGAATATGTAAATAAGCCTCTAGTTTATGGTTAGCATTTCATGGGCTAATTACATTCCATTAAACATTTTGCATTTTTTAGTTTAAGCCCGAGTGCTCCCAAAGCAACCAGACAATTAAACAATAAGGCAGTCAACAGAGCGCAAACCTCTGCTCACTCTTAACCACACTCCAACCTGCAGAGCGCCAGCCTCCAGGATGTATCAAGGTTTGTCTTCACGTGCATTATGGACAAAAAATGTCTAGTGACTGAAAGCTCGATTCTACACCTTCACCAGCGTTTAAATCAACAAAAAGAGACATACCGGTGGATAAAAAAATCTGCTGGTGACTTTATGAGAACTACAACTACCACAAAAAAGATAGATGGACGTGGAAATAGAAAAATTCTTCTTCTTAAGAAGGTATAGGGATGAAAACAACCCACATGGGTGCCTAGTTAGCTCACCTAGTAGAGCTGGTGACCATGTACCAAGTTGCTGCAGTGGCCCAGGGTTTGAATCTGACCTGTGGCCCTTTGTTGTTGTGTGTCATCCCCTTTCTTTACCCAACTTTCCTCTCTACCTTCAGCTGCCACTATCCATTAAAAGGCAATAAAAGGCCAAAAAAAAAAAAAAAAACTTTAAAAACAATCCACATCATATTTATTTGTTTCTGGAAAAGTCTTTCAAGTGAGAATAGGAAAATAAAAGCCAACAGAAGAAATAAATGTGGAACAAGGAGGATTTCTCGCAGAAGAAGAAGAAATAATTTAGAGAAAAGGTGACACAGTTTTCCTTTTCTCTTCACGTGTGAATGAGTACAAGTCAAGAAGTCAGTTTATAATCTCCTTGAAATTACATTAGTAAAAAAGAGAGAGGAGACACTATGCATTTTTTATTATTCACTTTCCCCTGTTTTATGCAATAAATCTGGTCCCAAACTAGAATTAAGTGTGCATTAGCAAATGGAATTAAAAATCACTAAAGGGACACCAGGAAAGGTTCCTCAACCTTTAGTGTGATGACAGATGGAAATTTAACCAGTTCCTCCTGTGGGTTTCTGCACTACTGTACTCGGCAGTCAAATATCCTGCTGAAGAGTGAAAGCGCTCATCCTTGATGTCAGATTAATATTATGAATTTGAATTATGAATATTTAGCTTTCCCTCATGTTTTATACAATAAATCAGGAACCAAAGCAGCATTTAAAAAATGTGCACTGATGAATAGTAAAACACCGGCAGGCAGACGCAGAGAGTCATGTGAGAAGAGATGTGACTGAACTGAAGCCATCATCATCATCTCATTTCCTTTGCTTCCTGTGGGTGCGACGAGGGCCAGCAGGAGTGTGTCATGTCGTGGGACCGTCACACTGTGATGAATGTGGAGCTACACGACCGACACGCCAGCCAACACACCAAGAATAGCAGAGGGAAAAAGTGAGATATGGACACAGTGTAAGTGTTAAAGTTCTGTGTAGTAGTTAAAGCACACCTGCACTCAAAAATCAGTTTATCTTCTTGCTCCTCTAGTTTGATGTTTGATCTTCACTGTGCAGAATGATCTATGTGCAGAGTTTGACAGTAAAAGGATGTTTTCACATTCATCTGCTGAAAGTGGAAAGTTTCTCTGCTCTTATTAAAATCAGATTTGAAGGGGCGGGGCCTACGGGCATGATTTGTGACATCACAGATATCCAGTATGAAACTTAAAAAGTGCTATGTAGAAACTTGAAGCCACCCGTGCACATACACTGAGAATGGATTTTGCAATTAAGTAGGAGACATCTTGTGTTCAGCAGGAAAACTTAAATGAACAAAATCTGCAAACTCTTGACTTTTTAATGAGGTAGAAGTGGGATTTTAATGTGGAAATTATACTTTTTTGTAGAAAAACATATCAGACACACATATTGCTCCAAGCTGAATATTTGTATATATTTCTTAATGCAAGTCTGGCGGGGATCTTTGAACTCTGGCTGGCACAGCTATCTGAGTTTATATCCAACAAACACATTTCCAGAAACAGTGTTTCTGTTACTCTGGATATACCACAGACTTCTCTGTGAAGAGGTTCAATAAGGACTGATTCATCACTAAAATATAGTTCCAATTCAAAACTGTCAATAGTGAGGTCTGAGGATCATTCAGAGAAACCTAGACATTGTTTCTGGAAAATAGTCCATTAACCTTCATTGTACTGCTGTGGCAGCAGAGGTCTGATTTATTTATTTAAAAGGATCCCCATTGGCTGAATTCCAGTTTTGCTATGTCCATCATATGTGCACCTCTAATTGTTAAATATATAAAGGCGGTCATTCAAATTTTATCCAACATTAATTTCATTGTGCAAGAACAAGACATCATACAGTACAGTACCATTACTGGACTATTGATCACATATGTAAAGGAGCAGCTATTCTGATGATTGATGGCTGTCATTTAAAGACAGGTAACATGATTGGACCACACTGTTCTAGTGAAATGACTGTGAAAGAAGTGGAAATCTCTAAACTTCAACCTTTCCAAATAGTACATTCACATACTTTTCCTCTGAGTACGACATGAAAGTAAAAACAGAAAAATGAGCCCCTGTAGGAATTGTAGTGAATCTACTTCTGTAGAAATTTGCAGGCTGCCCATTCCTCTACATTACTTAATTTACATGTGTGAGGCTGTGTTATGTTTACTTGTTTTACATGAGTTTTCATATCTAAGTACAAAGTTAACTGTAGTATCAACACATCTCCGAATTTGAAACTTCTTTCCAGGAAGCTGTCTATTTCCCACCACTCTCCATCCAGGAAACGGCGTTCAGAACCTTTCTGACAGTTTTGAGTCTTTTTAACAGCTAAATGAAGTCAAATGAAACACAGGCTTCCACAGGGCTCTGTGCCACCACACTCGCATATTGGATATCACGTTCAGTCACAATAATCCACCTGAACTCACAATGTCATGTTAGAGACCAGAAGGGTCCATAATGTGCTACAGGTGATTGCTGGGAAATCTGTGACAGAGCAGCAACGCCTCCCACAATCAAGGTGTGAATGTTTCAGCTTGTCACCACTCAGGAATTCCAGATACATGAACAAATATTGCCATTAGCTTCCCCTCTCATCAGCACCTTGAGAATCAACTCGATCACTGGCTATTGCATTGTGTTTCTGTAGCAACCGAGCCCTGGACATCAGCATCCCCGAGGGCTAGAGAGTCGTTTACACCCACACAGCCAGTCAGTATCACACACAAATCACCGAACAGAAACACACTTAAAAAAGGTCAACATCCATTCATCCATCCATCCATCCATCCATCCATCCATCAGTGCTTACTGAGACCTTCAATTCAACTAAATAAAACTCATCTTCCTTTTTTGATCTCAGAAATATAAATAATAAATGATAAAATCAGCTAAAAGTAACAGAAAAAGCACAGACACTGCAACAAAACTGCACCTTATCAAGTATTATCCATTATCAAGTAGCAAAAGTCTCTTTTTATCTTATTTCAACTTGTTTCCAGTACTCATTCAAACAAGACAGAATAAATCAGATTGCTGCACTCGACGGTAGACATTCTTTAAACAAGTGGATTTTCATTGGAAAGGGTTGAATTTTCACCTATTTCAACATTCAGACTTTTTTGACTAGATATTAAGAATTTTTTTGCAGTGTTGAAAATAAAAAAAAAACTGCAATGAATGTTAGGTAACAGGTGACAGTGGTGAATTACTTCCATTATACATAAGTTTACTTATGGTCATATTGCTAGTTTTTTTTCCTGAAGATCAAAGTAATTCTTATTTATTCCTTCATTGTTGATGCAGGTTATATATTGCAGGAAGACAGCGGCTCCTTCTTTGTGTTTGTCTGTTGCCACATAAAAAAAATTCCATCCCAATGTGAATCAGTCTTATTGACAAGAAGAAGAATTTAAAGATTAAGTCTGGTGATATTCTACATTTGTATTTCTGTCAATTAAAAGACAGAAACAAATCCGCTGCTGAAAATAGTCCCCAACAAATCCACTAGTTCTTCCTGTCTGAGTAACTATTAAAAATACAGTGACCAGCAGTTATAGGAAATTAATTTGCCTTTTTTTAATAAAACAAAATATATGTTTGTGAGGTGTTTTTAAAGATTTACATCTTCAGTACAAACCAGGTCTTTTTATGACATTTATTAACAATTAGAAAAATCTTGAGTAATACTAGTTTTGTCCTTTATTAATACGTATAGTAATATATTATAGCCCAAAATATATCATAGTATGGCTCCAAATATCCTTAGACAATGTTACATTATAGAAGAGGAGGTGACTATAAATTCTATGTTGAGTCGGAGCCATAGCTGCCATTATGAAAACTGAGGTCATGTCCTCAGCACTTTTCTGGCCTAAAAGCAGTCAAATTAAAATATATTTTAACTAGACTACTTTTAGGCCATTAAATAATAAAAGCAATCAGTATTTCTTCACCAATGATTTATTGCAGTGTTAAGTATATTGGGAAACACAAGCTACAGTCTGAACAGTTAAATGAATGAATTAAATTTATATGAAACATTGATGAAACCTTTTATTTGGTGTTTGGTCAACATTTAGGGGAATGAGAGTTTTTGAATGACTTGGTGAACTCATTATAAGCAGACACATACTGTTTATATATAAATGATATACATTCCTACAGGAATATCATGTTACACACACACACACTGAAGCTCGAGACTGTCATTACTACACCAATTACTCGTTTCTAAATCCTAAATGAATTCTTGATTTGTGTGCGTAAAAGTGGAGGCTACCACAGACAAAATGACCCGCACATTGAGGATACCACATGTTTGAATACTCAGTTAAACATCACGGTACAGTTTACTAAAATTATCTTCCAAAAATCTGCTCTTTGTGCGCACATGGTGAGATTTTAGCGCATTTTAAGCGTTTCAACCGCTTCCCAGCACCATGGCACAACCCCCTTTAACAACTGCTTTCTGGCACTTTGTGCAGTTACACCCAGCCTGTCTGCTTCTCAGTGCACCGCAGGAACCACAGACACTTCCATACAAACAGCTGGTGATCTTACCCATCACATTAGTATTTGGATCGTCCCATGGCGTCCCCCGCGGCACCTCCAGCTCGGGGCGCCTCGGTTTGCGGGCAGCGGTGACAGTTAGGAGGAGGTGTAACCAAACCTGTAACTCTCAGCTAACAGCAGCGTTTTACATCCACACACACATCTGACCTGCAAGAATTAGGAGCAGAGATCTGTCTCGGTGCGTCAAAGAGGGAAGGAGGGCAAATTTGTCTTCACATTTCTTCTGTAATTTCACAATCTGTACTTCGTCCCACGGCGGGAGACGTTTCAGATGTTCGAGAAAATCTGACAAAACTTTTACTTCATGAGAAACTGTTTCCTTCGTTGTTTCTTCTATTAATTCTCCATTAATTTAAGCGCAGTTGTCTGCTTTTAAAGCTGTACAAATCAATAAAATCCCCAAATTCTGAGATTTTCTCTCCGGGTCCTTTGGAAAAAGAAAAAAACCTTAAAAAAAAGAAATCAGACAAGCAGCTGATCCAAACACTCGCAGGGTGAATGCACGAGGACGACTTATAATTAATTGTGGGATGTAGTTCTGCACAGATCCGGTCTCATCCTGTCTGTGTTGCAGCGCATTCATTTCCAATGCTGACCTGACTGGATGTGACCGCGCGTCACAGCAGCGCGCTGCAGAATACCTGAAGGATGCAACCAGGTCGCTTTAAATGTCGGCTGTAAAAAATCTTCATTTTAGCCTTTATATGATTAGTCAAGTGACGTTTTCCTTTTAGTGGTGGAATAATCTTGTTTAATATGTAACTGTACACAGAAATACTCTCAACTTATGGACACTTTTTTTTATATATTTAGGGAAAACACGTTTAGTTATGTTAGACACTCTCCTCCTGAATTGTTTGTTAAAATAGTTTTTTTTATATAACATTTGGTCACCTTTATGCTGTGTTTCAGGTGTATTGCAGCGTTGTGGTGAGTTGCACCTCCAGTCATTATTCACCCTCACCTTCTGCTGCACCTTAATAGGCCTGAGCCACATGCTCATCAGATCTGATCTGGGATCCAAAGCTTTATGAACATTCTTGTGAATTACAGGGAATTTCTCCATCCTCAAGGACTTCCTTCCTAGAAAGGATGGAAGGACGGATGGTAATGTTCATGCATTATTCCATAATGGTCACACCCAATTCTAGTCTTACAGTCACACTATTAACCACATAGCCAGAATGAGCTTTATTGTGTTATATATGTGTAGCAGTTTGTTAATACATGAAACAAACGCACTTTATTCTGTTGTGTCTTTTTTTGGCAGACCATTGCTTTCTACACTTCGTCATGGTGTTTAGACCACCAGAGAAGGGTTTCACTCTGTTATAGTATAACTTAATATAAAGTAAGATTGCTGTTTCCTTCCTCTTTATCTTGGTTTCAACTTTGAAACCATGATTTAACACTAAAACAGCCCTGTAGCCAAATAAAATCCATTATTTCTTGACCAAAAAAAGTGAGAAGAAGTTTCCTAAAGCCTGTAAATAAAGGAGCCATTTACAAAATACAGAACTTTGTGAAAAGTGGAAAATGTGGAATATTTCACGTCAGGATAATTTTCTGTATCTGTTGTTAAGAAGAAATTTCTAACTGGACAAAATCTGAATCAGTAAAATTAGTATTGGCTTACTGCTGTGTTCCCAGTCTACCCCTCTGTCTTCTCTCTCTCTTTTCAATCACTCCACTTTGAGCAGCACCAAGAAAAGATGAGTCTAAGGGAGGCTGAGAAAGAAAAGATTTTATTGTGTGAATTATTTAGCGGTTAAAGCAGGCTGAGATTCCACTGTATTGTGCAGACAAGAGCGTGTAATATTAATGAGTGGAGACTAGAGGTTATTTCTCCTCTTTTCTGCTGCTCCTGCTGGGCTTCAACACTTCAGCATCCAGCTGCTCCCACAGGAAGGTGCTGCTCTGAGCGGTGAAAAAAGACGATCCGGTCAAACCTGGACCCACACTGCAGAACGCCGACATGAAAGCTGTGACTTTTATCAGGCTTTTTCAGTTAAAGCAAGAAAGTAAGAATCAGCTTTACTGGGGGAGAAAGTCTGAGGATCTCGACGTGGTCGTCTGTTTTGTGTTGGCCACATAACAATTTGGTGTAAAAGTAGACTTTCTACAACAGCATCATTGTTGAGATCCCTAAAAACAAAATATGTTCACAAGTCTTACTTGTTAGTTATATGCCTGCCCCAGAATCTCTTGTTGAGGTGGATGGATTGGACATATCAGAGAACGTGGCTTTAACACATGATACTGCTGTTTGCCTTCCAGCATCTGTTTCTTTCAACCTCGACCATGATCTTTCCTAAAACAAATCTTTATCATGACAGCTGCAGGTTAGAAAATGCTCAAATCAATGGTTTGAGGGCACTGAAAAGAAGTCACTCTCTGGGTGAGAGGCAAATATAAATTAAAGTATTTTGTTGTTTAATTTGGAGGACTTGGTTTTTGACTTGGGAGACTGCTGTTTACATTTTGTCTACAACCACCAGTATATATTGGTTTCTTTTATGACCATAATCTTTCAGTAACCTTAATAACAACAAAATGACTGGCCGATGTACGTGTTACTATCGGGCTGCGCTGACTATTAACAGAACTTTTCCTAATCCTCCCATCATAGCAATCTATAGACAGAATATTAACGCCAGGGAAGCGAAGGGACAGTCGCCTGGCCTGTGTGATCAATTCAAATAATAAACTCAACTCAGTTCCATTTTAAATGTATATTTTAAAAGTGGAGGCTGTACTTTAAATAAATAAATATACAGACAACACCTTTAAGTAAGAATCAGCAGCTCTTTGTTCTCTTCGTCACCTCTCTCCTCTCACTGCGCGTCAAGTGACATCGCTCAATAAGACAAACAGGGTCTCACTGTAAGTCATCCACTCAGCATTGATTCCCACATCAGGCCGATGGATTAGCTTACAGTGGGGACCGTCTACATGTGGCAAGGTCAGGTGACAGGTCATCACTGATGAGGCAAAGTCTGATACAGATGGAGCATTCACTGTGTCACACATAGCTTTCAGTGAGGAAAGATAGATAGATAGATAGATAGATAGATAGATAGATAGATAGATAGATAGATAGATAGATAGATAGATAGATAGATAGATAGATAGATAGTAGTTTGAAGAAGCAGACAGGAGTTCTGGCAGGGAAGAAAACATATTTTAGCCACATAAAAAGGCCCACCTAAATAAAATCCATATCACTTTAAGTGTACATTATAGTAAGAATATTTTTTCTTTTATGCCACAGATCAGCTGTTTGGGTCAGAAAGTGGCAAGATCAATAACCCTCACGTTTCTAAGGATTTCAGAGATGGTGAGTGATTGTATTATTTTGGTGTGTGCCGCTGTAACTCTGACTCTGTAGACATTATACCTGCTTAACATCAGTATGTTACTATAGATTGCTGATGTAAGCATTTAACACAAGTATAAGCCACAGACGTATAGTAGTAACAGATACCGGACGGCAAGATGGTGCCTACTCAATCCAATGAGAATTGCTTACCTTGTGCATACGACATTCCTGGGAATGTGGCCCGCTGAATATGCACAGTAGTGTTTTCCCCACTAGCCCCTCCTGTGAGCTCCCGCTACACTATGATGTCAATAGGATGGGACTAGTTTTGTACCTATATATATATATATATATATATTATATATATATATTGTCCTCATGTTGGTCATTTGTCTAATAAGACCTTATATGGTCAAAATGTATGTATGCTAAGCTAGGCTAACCATGTAAAGGGCTACAACTTCTCTGTTATAGGTTAACACTATTAACATGTATTAAAATAAAAATTGGGAGTCAGCAGGGCAGCTTAAATAGGATCTGCCATTAAATTCAGTTTGGATTATTTTGGTTTAAATTCTGCAGTGATTTGGATTAAAACTGAACCACATCATTGAGAGCAGAGCAAGGCCCAATTTAGTTTGGCCCAACTGAACACTTGGATCAGTTTTAGTGGCGCCAGGGTTTCTATTCTTCTTGTAACAGATTGTAAATGTACAGAATGTAGTTCCTCACCTCCTCTCTGGTCTCTTTTTTCTGCTTTGCTTCGTCCTTCTTCTCAAGCAGGCGAGGATCTGTGTCCTCCAGCATTTGTTCCACTCCAGTTCATAAGCCTGACTGGCACAGAGGAGCAGCAGAATCCTTAATGTGACACAATGTCATGATACCCACCAGATGCTATCGTCCTCCTTTGTATCTCTCACATCCTGACAAGCACCATGTTCAGCACACTCTGACTGATCTGAGCTCTTGTTCTTTCAGTCACAACATCATCAAGAACATGGCCATGGCTTTCCACTCAAAGTCTGTTTACAACTGCAGCATCACCACAAGAAGCTGCAGGACTGTATACCAACTGAAACATATATCCAAGGGAGCATTTAAGTCTTACTTATCATAAAATTGTTAAAATTTTTAGAATTTGAACAATTATTATTCAGTTTTTATACTTTTTTTCAGGCAAAGAACATTTAAAAAAAACAAAAATCAATAACAATCGATTAAAAAAAGGGGGAAAAAAATGCAGATCACATTTCATTTTTGATTTTCTTTATGACCTTTTTCTTTTTTGCAGCAGCCATTCAATGTATTGGCATTCTGTGATTTCCCCCCATATTGTAGATTTCATTTGCTGGCGGAGTTTGCCGCTCACGCACAGGATTCAAATTCAAAACCTTAATAGTATCAAAGTTGAAATTTGAATTCTCCTCACTCTCTGTGTAAGTAAGTAAGAGGATGAAGCAGGGTTTGAATGTATATTTGGAAACCGTGTCTAAGCCTTGAGCCTCTGAGTTGGCATTAACCATGGTAACGGCTGACTGACAACTGAGAGCTGGCGTTGCTAGGAGACAAGCTGTCAACGTCTGTGGAATATCACACTGTAGGCTACGTTCTACAAAGATTGGTATAAGACACTTTTTCTTTCTTTTTTTCAACAAGTCTACATAATGTTATCTACTGTTAACGATGTCCCTTTACAACCTCTGGAAGACCCTTCGAGCTGTTTAGTTTGTATTTCATTGAAGAAGCTAGTTATCCTTGCCCACTAGACATTACTTTTCATTTATTGGTCATTGGCAGCTCTTGCACACTCAGTGCTGTGTTTGTCCTGCAGAGGTGTAGCTAGCGTTAGCCGTCTCTTTTTGTGGTGACGGCAAAGAACCACACTGTCAAATCTCACATCAACAGGTAGTCCTGTAACCTCAGCACTTGTACGTGTTTCATAATCGTATGTTTTCTTGTGATTCAAATAATGCAGTAACACAAAGAGTATGTAATTGAAATACTGTAACCTATATACTGATTTCACAGCAATAATGAATTTGTGCTTGCTTTCATCACCAGTAACCACAGATGTCGCCAAATCAACCAGACTGACACCATTAAGATAACTTTAAGCCCTGATATAATCAGACTTCAATTTGTTTTCTTGTCTCAAGGGACATTAATTAGAAACAAAAATGCCAGTTAATTTATCTCCTGATGTGAACTTACAGCTGTTTTCAGCAGTTCACACTCAACAGAATTAATGCTTTGAATTAATGATTCAAACATTTCACTGGCCTCTGTAGAGCT